TAGTTTTCAACATCAAAATTCCAAACAAAATACCGTTATCCCCTTTATACATGTAAATGTCTTTTGCAATATAAAATTAATAAAATTTACGTCACAAAATGTGATGCAATACAGCCTTATCACCATACAAAGATTCAATATCGAATACATGTCAATTATATTGTACAATCACTGAAATTTTATTCGTCGTGGATTAAATATAAAGAACAATATGTTTGCTAAATAGCTGCGATCGATCAATCAACGCTGTTCCGATGTCCAAAAAAAGCTGGACGCTATCACGAACGAAAATTAATAGCAGTTGTTAAAACGCTCACCCCAGATATTAATTTCATATCAAACAGTAATCACTATATAAATATGTACAATATTACTATAATTTCCATTTTTGTTATATTCCTTAAGTAAATAAAATTTTTATTATATAATGATATTACTTCATAAGTAACTTCACAGCAAGCACAATATTTGTCTAACTAAAACTTATATAGCTTAATCTGTTGATGCTATGATTTTTTCTATAATATTCTTATAGCGTATAATATAATGCATAAAAATATTTCAAAGCAATCATTAATACATCACGCGTAATACAGCACGATTCTTTAAATATATAATATGTTGTATAATATATTTTATATATGTACTATATTACAAGAGACGCGCCTGTTGTAAAAAACCTAAATCGAATTCACAAAAATCAAAGTCTTTGAAAAATATTAATTATTTATTCTTGTTTCTGAAGTCTGTTGTTAGAAATGGATAATTTCTATGTCCTCTTAATGCGATACAAACAGTATGGTGATTATATAATTGAATATATACTTAGTAGTTGAAACTTTTTTCAAATAAGCAATCTTCGTCATGAAATTCTTGAAAGTTTTTAACTTTAAATTTTTTATATATATTATTCAAATTCTAAAACTACTTATTTTTGACATACTTCCAAGTATTCCATCCAATAATAATAATCTAAGTTTTGTAAATAAACTAATGTAAACTAATATTTTTAAAAGAAATATAATGTACATAACATTGAAAAGTTCGATCGAAGCTCTGCTTATTCAATTACAGAAGAAGTTTTGCAACTTCATTCAGATACAAGTTGATTACAATATTATTCAAGTTATTTTTCTCGGAACTTGTGTTTCTTATGTTTTGTTGAAATGAAAAAACTTCACGTCCCTCGCCTCAACAACTAGACTTGAAGTAACGCTGAGTGTTTACCATAATTTTTGTATTAGATGTCAGGATATATAAATTAAACAATGGGGCGCATCTTCATTTTAAATTTCGTAAGCTGTTATAATTTTCTTGCATCATACTTTTAAGCCGTCATACTCTAGCCATAGTTGGGTGTGTATTACATCTTTTTCGTCATTTTCCTTTAGCGTTTATCAATAGCTTTGTTAGAATGAATGTTTCGTATATCGTTTTCTCTCTTTGATACATATCTTTTCAACATCTACCTACACACATCTAATAGTAGTTAGGTGGAAACTAATAATTCACCTTTCTATCGAACATCTAATATGACAAAAGGTGTCACATTATAAGTGAACAAAATTGCCAAACCTTTGACTCCTCGTTATCCATAAAGGATCCAATTTTCGACAGGCCACGTCACAACTGACACATCGTTACGTGACTGAGCCTTTGACACCGAGGAATTATAATTTTATATCAGACGCAATCCACGAAACCAATTCCGTAAAGGTTACGTCTAAAATGAGTTGGAATAAACTTTTATATAAGACTGCTGTCATCCACTGTCTTAATATGATTTAATTGCTACACCCTTATTTAAAAAGTTCAGTATTTAAGTTGTATACAAACAAAAATGAATAACTTATGATTACTTTAATTATCTAATCTTGAAGTTGTAATTTGTTTAGATGGATCGTAAATATTAGTAAATTACTTCAGTCTACATACAAGAATACAATTTATATAAAAAAATCACTGGACGTACGTTGAATAACATAAACCTTTACATAATGGCAATGTACAAACGCCTATAAATTTATATCTACTGTTCAAGTTGAACTCGTTTGAAACACAACCAACAGTCAAATTTTTAATTGGCTATGTAATCGAGATACATCAATGTCACTAAATGAAAATATCTGTACAGCAATATCTGTGGACTTCGAATAAAAATATTTGCGTTGCCCCAATTAAAAACAAATCCACAATCTCGTTACGCTTTCATTAAAATTTATATAAATTAGGCCGATCTTCATAAAAAAAATGTAGCCTTTTCACTTCATTCGATCTCTGAACCAGAGCGGGAATATGATTTTAATTTAACATATGAAATGATACCATATATAAAATTAATTGCAAAACGTTTTTAGGTACCTTCATAATTCCCAAAAAAAACAATAGTAATCTGTCTGAATGTAAGAAGAATTTCTTTATAAAACTCTTATCTCTTAAAATACTTAAAATCAATATTGGTTCCTCAAAATGATTGATCGTCAGAATATTGTGATTATAATTTATTTAGGTATATCAAATTTAAAACGTATTACAACAGGGACCATGTATTTCCTTATGTATATAAATTTCAACTTATGATTACTTCTTTTATTTTTATGTATTACACAGTATGTTTTAGAATAAAATCTAAAATGGCTTAGTAAAAAATTAAAAGGGAATTACTTGAGGTTACCCTAAGCTTCAACCGTTCTTTAGCTCTTTAGACCGAACTAAGCGAACATTTTCTAAATAAACATAAAAACTTAAGTCGATATGAGCTTGACGTTCCAAGTTGTTTTTAGCATTGTATTTTTATTTAATTTTCTCTTTATTTAGATTCTGATTATGTGTCTATAAATGTATTATATAAACTAAGAAATTTAAGTCATTGTACAGAAATATTCTATTACTTTTAAAATTAATTAAAAATATTATTTTTCAAATATTTTTTGCCATAAAAGGACAAATAAACACTGAACTGTAATAAATTTTATTTGTTTTTACAAATATATATATCGTTTATATTTTAATAGAATGTGTATCAATGTCTATCGATCTATTTCTGTATATCGATGCCATAAAATAAATTAAACAGAGGCTTAACTCGAGATATACGCCATTATCTTATAGACGTCTAGAAGACGCTTTCACAGCTCCTCCATATTGAACAGTATGTACTTGACCTAACATTTAATTCTCTTCAAACTTTATATTAAATTATTAACGAAACTCACGAAACTTAAGGCTAAAAGAAACTTAAAAGGTTTTAAGGAGAACTCGACCTTCAGCGCTATACGAGTTATTAAAATATTCTCAAAATTTAAACATTTATCTAATAAACAAAACTTTTAAGGGTTCAATACTGTTTTGAATCCATTAAAGTATAGAACTTTATTAATCCCCTAGTCAAAATATATCTGCCTGTTTGTTTTATAAGATTACTTTTGTTCTATATTATAACAATATGTAACGTTTTAATTTAGCTTACGAAAAACCTATTATTGGGAGTCTACAGAAAGGGCTTTGATTTCGATTATAATACTGCCAGACATTGCTTTGATGTATTGATATATTTATGAGATCGACGATTTGCTTTGCTTCTTTCACCACATAATTGATCCAAAAAGGTTTGATAACATTATTCCCAAATAATTCATACACAAGTATCACAAAACATCTTGAAAGAGATAAATCTGAGATATTTGGTTTGTTCGAATGTTTACGTTTTCAACAAAATCCCTTATCTATTGCCACTTGAAATTGCTTTCCGGAACTCACGATAAAATGGTATTCACTAGGTTATATAGTCTGCCTTCGATACATTTTTAAACGGATCTCAAGTAAATTGAATTACAAGATACAATTTCGAAGGTTTTTAAGATTTGAACGTTATTTTACGACTTTTAACAAGTAAATTTACTTTTTACAAGACTTCTTTTTGGATTCAATTTAAAAAAAATATTACTACCACTTTGTTTCAATTAACACATTATTTAAAAAACTTGACGAGTCATATGTAAACAATGTTACCTTTATTATAATATCGAATTTAGCATTTTTCCATCTATACTATGAATACTTTGGCTTTAAAGAAACCATTAGACAAGTGTTTAACAATCGATGCGTATTTCAGACGTTATTCCAGTGACAAGAATCACAATTTCATTTTCAAATTTTTTGTATATATATTACAAAATAACATTCATATGTATATTTATTAATTGCTAATTAAATGTAATTATTTAATTTAATATTATTCTCCCAAAAGCTTTTTTGTTTACATAAAGATCTCTGTTTAGTTTCATTAAAATGTTAGTCATATTTTAGCACCACTTTTTTAAACTAAATAATAAATTTAAAGATATTTAACTCATCCTTGGAAGAAATTTACACACTAACAGTGATTAAAAACTTTTAAATTAATTATTATCTGTAAATCTTTTACGCCGCATTTCCCAATTCCCAAACATTGGCATATTGCCCTGGAACCGTATTTGTTAAAGAAATCCTTGTTTTAATCTAAGTATATCTGTAATCTACACTTCTTTAAGCTGATTTTATACAGTAAAGTTATGTCTAACCTGATATCGCAGTAATACTATATATTTGATTCTGATATATTTTTATAATCCTCTACTATTAGTTTGTGACTACATAAATCTCTGGATTATGGATTTTCTTTCTCATCTTATCAGACATGACAGACTTATTTTTAGACAATGAAAATGCCTCTTACACAAGAACAAGGGGATGACAAAACAAAACAAGGGGAAGCAGCAAAATTTAATAAGACAATTTGACCTTCCATCTTAGTTTTGCTAATCTATCTTTTATACCATGGATCCGACTTATTCCTTTATCTTTTTTACTTTTTCATAAAATTATTGAAATATTGAACTATTATTATTTTACATAAAATACATCACTATATAAACGAACTCGATAAATATAAAGTGAAAAATTTAGTTATGGATTCTATAACTTACCTAACTCACTTAACATTAACGAAGATGTTATAAATGAAGACGTCCGCGTCGCCCGGAGCTCATGTTATTACAACCAAGACAGTGCTGACAGTAATCTGCCCCAGAATATGTATAAGAATACATTAAGCAGCTTTTGTGCGTATTTACAACTTAAAATAGAATTTCTTGAGCGTAAACGTATAATGTTCAGGAATTGTTTGCTATTGTGTTACAACACTGAATAGCACATTCACCTAATTTGATCACTAGCTATTGTTTACATACTATTGTCGTCCATATCATGTAAAGCTAGATCAGTTTTAGTTAGATTTAAATGTTTCGAATAACAGTCGTCCGGGACCAAATATATATTCCGTAGAAATATATATTTTGCGTGTAGAGATGTCAAGTTGCAAGCGTCGCACGTCAAGCGATGTCAATTTGGTAAATATGAAAAGTGAGACGTGACGTACAGAGGAAAGGCCAATAAAATATGTGATATTCAAAGTGAGTACTGGCATTGCAAAATGAAAATTGTATGGAATTTAAAACAACAATCCACTGAGGAATCTCTGTTATGTTTAAAATGGAATCAATTTTTTTAGAAGCGTTTTTGTTTACATGAATATTTGTTTGATCGAAATTAAAATTACTAAATGTTAATATGTTTGTCATGTTTAATTTACGTCACTACAAGTTATCAGGAATAAATTTAACAGGTGAACGTGTTTATACATGGTTAAGCTTCACATAAATTTTTCAATCCTGCCAAATTTACTCATTATCCTGTCATTGTGCCATCAACAATTCATGTCTCTCTTTATTTATTAAAATAGATTCATCAGCTCCACATCATAATATTCTAATGTCACTTATTTTAATCAAGAGCTCATATTATAATTAAACTAACAAAACAATACGACACTCAATCACAATCGGAATTAATATAGCATCGCTGAATGATCTATGAATAATATATGAGATTAACACGTCGCTGTAAAGAACCGTCGAACAAAGTGAAACGAACAATTATATTATATCATTGTTTTGTTTTCATTGTTAAAACAAATATGTGTAGTCATATCGCATGCAAACGCACTACTAGCCACCATAATGTAGTTCCGGCTCAATGAGAACTGATGTATGTACCAAATTAATTGATTAATTTATTATGAAACAAGTAATCACATAGCTAGAAAGATCTTTTATGTTTTTTTGTACATTACCACTCATTATCAGATGACATATTTTATGTTCAATCATTCATTTTTTTATATCAATTTGTATTTTTGTTATGTACTTCTCAATAATTAAACGGTTGGGGTTCTTTCGTTTAAAATGTAGTTGAAACAGACTGCATCATTTCGTGCGTTGTTCTTTGTTAATTTATACATTTTTGTTTCCTGTTATTTAAAAACAAGCCGAATCAGATACCTTTTAATATGTTTCTTTTGTTGTGGTGTTCCACTGTTGTTTTCCAATTAATTAGAAATATTCTTGTGTGATTCTTTTATTATACATAATTTCTGAAATCTTTCATAAAAAATAAATAGCCATCATCCGAAACTATGGTTTACTAGTTTGACATTGATAAGTTAAAGAGTTCACGTGCCCCTTTTAAATTGGTAACTTGCCAAATGTAGGTTGATTTTGATTTTAATATGACGTCTGGATGCACGACGGCAGAGTTCAGTTAGTGCGGACCTTTGAAGATTGTGATTGTGAAGGACGTTCGAGAAATACAAGGAAATTTAGAACAATTAAAGTTTCATTTTAAAACATCATGGAACGTACTAGAAGAAGTGACATAAGTGAAGACGGCGATGATGGCGCCAGTCTCTAAAAACAACGAATCTTTGATAAATCCGATATGTATGACATAATCTTTACTTGAGCTGAGTTAAAAAGAAGTTTCAAGTTTTCCCAAGGTATTTTTAAAATATATCTAATAATAAAATAACACAGAAGGTACAACAAAATTGATATAAAATAGAAAAAGAATAGTGACCGCTCAGTTGGTTGTAATCCCTGTTTTTATAAAGCTTGATGTTAAAGCATTTAGAAAAGTATCCTCCACTGGCTATACATTATCGTGCCAAACGAAATAAGTCTGGCTTCCACAATGGAATATGAACAACTATTTTATATTTCCCAGACTAATGTTTTGTGAAAATAAACTTTATTACTCCCTTCTTTATAGATAGAGCCAACAAATGTACCGAATTTATTTCTGGTTTGATGTCACGTTTTACAGACCTATAAATAAACATATATAATATTTATATTTCTATATATTTTTCCGGGTTTACGTGTCTTTGTTTCTATGTACTATTTAGATCTGCTTTTACATCAAAAAGTTTTTTATCTGGTACATGTGTCTCGAGATTGAACTTTCATTTTGTAAACGTATTTTAAAATACTTAAACAGCAACACTGCACCAGCTCGAGGCTTTTGTCCTTCATGGAACAATGGAGTTTTGATGTTAAACTTCTCTTATCTATATTTGAATTCATCCCAACCTTCAAGAATATTATATAAAAAGTATAATTAATGATCCCTGTTTCTATTTCAAAACATGGAAAACTTGTGTTACAAAAACATTTTCTGTCACAGTTCCTTTTCTTAAAGATAATGACAGACGGGTCGTGTAATGTAACTAAAAAGCAATTTAATTTAGTCCCATCCAGCACTCCATTGTTAAACTTGTTCAAGCCAACTCTTTGAAACTCAATCGATTTAAAGTACTTTCTTTTTTCTCAATGGAATTTCTGGGAAAAAGATGCACTGCTTTAAGTATACTTTTTTGAATATTGAAACGAACCGTTTTATGAAAGGAAAACTTTATATTCGTTATAGATGCTTACATCTGTTCCGTTTCAAAGAATTATATTACTGATTCAATGAATGAAAAGCGACTATTTTTAAAATTTTAATTAAAAATTTAATAGTAAAAATACTATTTTCACACAGCAAAGGTTACTGTAGCAAGAAGAAATAAAGCAAGAATTCAAATACAAGAAATAGTTCGCACATAATTTGAAGTAACACAAAAACGCGTGAATTATTGTGCATGTTTTAAATAACTTCTGTATTGACTTTCTTTCGCCAATTTTCATGTAAATACGAAGGTATCAAAATCCACTCGAAACATGCATTGCTTTGAGAACTGACGATGAAAACATAATAAACTTTAATATATTTACGATATTGTTCTAGAATTAAGATAGATATTTTTATTTACAACACCTCATCGCTTTATTATTTAAATACATATTTATACAAATAGATTTTTGTTTTACTAAGTTCATGTAATCGTTTTAAGCCCATCTTGTTCCCATCCCATTGGCGTGCTGTAATTGACTGTGTGCCTAAGACAAACGTTTACTGTTCTAAGCATCGTGTACACAAGCTTCAAATCAGCCAATCCTAGTTAGCGTTAAATGAAGTAACGTTTAAAACTAGTCGAGTCAGCCATTTTACATTAATAACGCAACCCAATATAATTCTAAAATATGTCCTATAATTCAAAGATCTACAAATTTTTTTCGTGTTAATTTAATTTATGTTTGATTGTTTTTAACTACACTTTTTAAAAGTAAATTCAATGATATAAGGCAACGTTTAACTAAAACAGCAGCGGAAACTAAAAATTCAATTTGACTCCGGTGAAACTAAGAGCAAAAATGTTTACAATTTCTTGCAAAATATTTTTACATATATATGAAATCATTACACAAATTTGACGCTTTCAAAATCAAGGATATATTAATGCATTGTTACATTATTATTTGTCGCAACATGCTTCCGAATGTGAACAGTGACATGTAATATATATTCACGCTAATAAATATACATACGGTGACGAATGACGTCACTTACGCCGTCCTCCTAACATGGTGTTTTATTTTAGCAAGGGCAAAATAACAGTTGCTTATTTTGTAAGGCGATTTTTCACATTTACGCTCCAGACACGTGCAAAATTCTATATAAAACTGCTTTATTCAAAAATTTACACAGTAATAAAAATGATAAGCTCGATAAAAATGTTATGAGTCAAATATGAAATACTCTCGCATATTTAAAATATGTAGAATCTTTTGATTAAGAAACTTAACGATCAAAAGAATTTTAAAATCTTTGGATTAGCGAAGAAAAAATTAAATGTCGCTATTTCTGGTTCAACTCACAGTCAAACAGAATAATGAAATGGGATATCAAATACTCTTAGTAAGCAAACACAGAAGCGTGGTTGAGAGTTCATAAAATGCTTATATTTATGACGTGATTCTAGACTCTCTTTTTACTTTACAAAATTTCATAGTCGCTGAGTTCGCAAATATACTTTGCAGAAAATCAAAGCCAGCACATAAAGGACACATAGGACAGTGAAGCGATATTTTCGTCTGAATTATTAGAGCTAGATATATATTGTTATGTGTGTGCTCTTGGTAGAAATTATGAGTTAATCTTTCCTTTACTTCCAGGAACAATCCCATAAGTCTTATCGTCCTCTGACTGTGCTCACTTTTCGATGGAACTACGCTATCCATGGACTACAACCAGCTGGCTACCACCTCGTGAATCTACTCTTACACGCACTTGTCTCCTTACTATATTACAGGTATGTAAAATATCATAATTTATACGTTTAAATTATATAATTAATTCCTTCCATTTAAAGCTGGAAGTGGAAACTTCGAATTGCATCGGCTATTTTGCAAAATGTTGTTATATAAGATCGAAATTTATCACTTGAAAATATATATCTTTATATATATAATTCTTCTGTGAGCGTGTATCTCACTGAACTTCTCTCAAACGACTGGACCGATTTTGATGAAATTTTTTGTGTGTTCAAGGGGATCTGGGAATGGTTTAGATTCACAATTTTGTCCGCTGGACAATGTTTTTTTAATTAATTTTTAATTTATTAGTAGTTGTTGATACAAACGTTTTTTTGTGACATTAGATTTGACAACTAACTAATATGTCAATCATTCTGTCGCACTTCAAAACACGGAGATTTATGGTTTTAATACGTAAACTCCAAAAATATAAATAAAAAAACGTAACAGATATTTCTTGATTATAGGGCGATACGAAGTTCGCCGGGTCTTCTAATATATCACATATATATATATATATATATATATATATATATATATATATATATATATATATATATATATATATATATATATATAGTAGTAAATAAATAAAGTTATTTAGTGAATAAAATCAATATTAAAAACTGTCTAATAGAATTTATATTAACACTACTCACAAGTTACGATCAAATAATATTTGAAGAGGTCTAAAGTACTTCACAGAATTAAATTTACATTAGTTGTAGTAATTGGGAACTGGTACCCAATAATGGAAATCCAATATGATTTAAACTGTAGATCTAAACTTCAACGATGGATGCCCTTCATATTTGCGATGAAATTAATTAATATTAAAGTCCAATCACAGCTGCGTCGTTAACCCTTAATTGTTAATTGAATCGGGGAAACTTTTAATTGTTAGAACTCAATAATCCAGTCATTTGGCCCGGGAGCTCAGTCGTCTCTTTAATTATTCAGTACAATTTCCACGTAATCGAGTGCTTTAGAGCTGTTTACTCGTGCCTGCAACATTCCCATTAAGAAAGAACGTTCCTATCCACAGTAATGAAGAATTTCGAAAGAAATTAAGTGTCTTAACAGTGTTTAGTTTATAACGTAATATTTTTTTTATATTACTTACAGCTTATATTCTCGCACTAAGAGAACACACGAAGTCTTTAATAGTAATGTATATAACCAACATTAAAAGTTATTAACATTTGTAAACCCATTCCCAACTGCTTGTCCGGCAATTTAGCCACTAATGAGTTATAAAATAACCATACGTTTCAGAACGAAATAGCTGTTTAAAGTCGAATAATTTTAGCGTTATATTAAGTCCAATACTGTTTAAATAAAAGTAGGTCAGTTCAATTTGTGTAAAGTTTATTTTAATTTTTAGTTTCGTTGCATGTTAATTTCTGCATCTTCGCATCTACTATTATCATAATTTATTCTGAATTCAACACAGGTTTTTATACATATTTTTATACTTTCACCGATCATCCATATATATACATATTTAAAAATGGTTCGTTTTCTGAATTTATTTAACCGATTTCCTTGATCCAATCAAATAAATATTCATAGGTTAGTATGGTATCATTAATAAGAACATTTAAAAGCTGAAGTGTAACGAGTTAAAGTTTAATCCGTGTGATCCGGACCTCAGCTTATAACGACAAACGTCCACTTTAAGCAGCCATTAGGTACCACATGTACCCAATTAACATTAAGATCTGCCTCATTATAATTTGATTTCGGATATTAAAATGATATATGTAATTTTTACTGCAGTTTTTTAAAGGAGAATGGAAATTGTAGGTATGCTGATTCACTTCATTCTATTTTCCTTTAACTTTGGAGTTACATAAAACAAATAAAATATTCCAGATTCGGGTTATTTCTTGTTATTTATTAAGCGATAATTGCTTTTATTTAAAACCCTAGTCTACTTTTAATAAGATAAATTACAATTTATTATTATAAAACATTTGATTAACTTGAGGGACTGAAGACTGGTGGGAAGACCCCTCAATACCGTTGTAATTACCGGGAGCCGTACAAAACAAAAGTTTAATTTGCTCCCTAAGATATTAATTAGCAAAATAAGATATTATGAGTTTGGAAATAAGATAAATAAAAATTAGGTGCTCTCCTACGCTTCCTGAAAGACGGAGTTACTTAAGAGAATTTGTATAATGTAAGGAGAAAACTCGTTCTTACTTATTCTATTGAAAATGAAATCTCATCAAAAGATTTCATTTTTTTTACGAATTGATGTTTTATACATATATAAGATTCGTATTAATAAGACGGTTTTAATTATATTGATGGTGCTCGTATAGGGTTTTGTTCGTGAATCCGAATTTTATTTATATATGTAGATATATTTTTAAACCCCAACAACCTCGCTTTCTTCTCTATATTCTAGATTTTTTTCCATAAACTACTTATAGAAATTTCGAGGTATAATTGTAAGACAGGTCTAGATAGCTTCTAGTTCATAAATCAAAAAACAAAGTGTTTTACTCTCTAAAATGGTTAATAGCAATTCATTTCATTCGTTTATTTTAATTAACGAAATCCTGTAGTATCTGTTCAAAGTATCAGAATTTTTCACTTTTCGTTTAACTTATAAATGAAATTGTATCTCATATAAATTAATCACTGGATATTACGCATGATTGGTCGTAATATATGACTTTAAACAAAGTTTGTTAACTTCACTTAAGTATTGCAATGTCTATCGTACCATTACAATTCTATTACCATGTATATCTTTTATATATTATTCATACAAAAGCAACGGAATTCAAAGTTTTAATGGAATTGCTTTTTAATTCATTACATAGAACACGAGAAACCCTCATGAACAAAAATTTAATTCAAAGTCAATACAAAGTTATACAAATGTTTCCTATATTGTTTAGCATACATATATATTACTGTAGAAAAAGTGGATCGTAAAAAATCGCCCCGGGCCGAGATAAATAAGAAAATTTGATACCAAAGACAATTGAACTGTGGATCATTCATAACGTAATGAAGCAAGACTGCGGCTGCTTACTCCCTCAACAACAAAACTATTCCAGCCATTCTGAGTTTACCGCACCAAACAATATGGTCTACTATCCGTTGAGGAGTTTTTCATTTTATCCTCATGGGAGGAGATTGAAAGCCGAGGGTACGGGCAACTTTTTACCGCGAAGTTAAATTAGTTTTTCATTACCTCAAACACTGAGAATGTCATAACTCCTCCCCTAATTACGACCCTTTGTCTTATCTTTGCATGCCAGTAATTAATTACGTTGTGTTACGTTATTAATTTACTCATAACCGTGTATCGCTGTAGCAAAATAATTAGTCAATTTATTTATAAGATTTCATTTGTTTGAAGCCGGTCCCGTCTGAGTACGTGGTTAAAACGTGCTACTCGCTTACTATATTATAAAGTTTATTAAATTATATTATGAACTCTATATTTTTGAATGTTTTAACTTACAAAGTTTTTACTTTTTCTTATTATTTTTTGTTAATTACACTGACGACTTAATCTACATCACCTTAATATTTGATAGTATAAAACCAGAACGGTTCGATGATTCACTGGCGAATTGATTGCGTGGTCCTTTGAGACTCCTGTGGGACATATAATGTATATCCCTGATTATAACTCAACGCCAGGCTATTTAATTGCAAAGACATACAAATGTATACTCCACGTATATGATATATTTGAATAATCAATTAGAATTATTATTTAATAATGCAATTTTAAGAAATCGGTGTCAATAGAAGTAAACAAACTCGCAAACTTGAAATTCAAATCACGTATTTTTTATATATATTCTCTCCAACCTTAGCCACGGCTTATCATTTTTTATAAACGTTCTGCTCTTGTACTCAACGTTCACAAAATAGTCTTATTTTCTCGACGTACTTAATCGTCATCATCATCAGCTTTAACTTGAAGATAACACGTATTTTTTTTTAATACAATACATAGTTTAATAATGAAATGTACAGTGTGGATCATAATTTTAGGTGTAAATTTTATATTAAACTAATTATAATTTTATTACTGTCATGAAATATTAATCTGTAATTTTATATTTTGGCCAAGGTGTGTTTGGACGTTTTATTCTTCTTTGCTCCAAATGAACTGGTATAATCAGTGGAAACTTGCCAATAAATTAAAATTAAAAAATTAATTCTATTCGAATTATTTCAATAATTTTGAAAGATTAATGAAAACTTTAAAAGTTTTTATAAATGTACGTTAAAAATCAGAATGTTTTGATAATAGTAAGTTTTTCAACATCTATATCGTTAAAAAAATTGTGTATCATAATATCGAAGCATTACATTGTATTGAAAACTAATAGAAGCTAAAGGTAAAAGTGACATGGCTATACCTTTCACCGTCCATTAAACATCCTCTCAATATTAAAAGCTTTTTTATGGTCAAAAACAATATATTGTTTCAAATAAAACAAAACATAAACGTTCAAACCTTTTATATTAGAATTTGAAATCAACGGAACATCATTTTAGTATATTTTTAAGACAATTTTAGTTTTTTAGACAAGTTTTTTATTAAATAGATCCAAGAATTGACCATTCAAATTATTAAATAAAAGTACCTACTCTTTAAATGATTTTATGTACATTTATAATGTACATTATTTGGTCGTGTTAATTTAAACTTATACATAAGATATAATGTTTGAGATATGCGTTAAAACTAAACATTTATATAAGCAAAAAATGTTTAACAAAGAAAAGTGTAACAATGTGAAAAATTTGAAAGAATTTCAAAGAAATTGTTCATAAATATTTAATCACGTAAATCATCTCAAATTCCAAACGCTAACAAAACTTTTTGTTCGTGAATTTTTTAAATAGAAACTTAAATAGCTGCTAAAAATAAAAAACAACTTTTAATGCATTGGACCATTCATAAAACAAAATATCAGCGTCGTTTGAGAGCGTCGCAAAAACTGTAAAGTCACTAGCCCCCAACAAAAGTTCGTCTTGTGAAACATTGTAAGAAATTCATCTTTGTAAATTGAAAAAGCTAGTGCAAGTTTCCAGTTATATACATTGCTTTAAATATTCTTGTTCATCTTTTATTTTTACGACTCAACTAAGTAATGCACCCATTCAGAGTGGCAAGATGAAAGCCAACAATATTGCTTGTCTTGTTTCTTAATATTATATACAGGGTGACTGGTGAATTACTATCAATATTTAAGGAGAATACTCGGTACATGATTCTCATTCGAATTATGTAAAAAAAATAGGTACTTAATTTTTGACAAAATTTCCGTATAAATAAATAAAGTGTTGACACGTTCCAAGTGTTCCAAGTGTGGACGCGTGTGGCGGCGTGCTGATACAACACCACGCCGCCGCGCGCGTATGTGTGAGTGTGTGTGTATACCTAATCTGTAGGGTGTTCACACGATGCGTAATTAATTACATAACTTTTGGTTAACTTTACTTAGAAGTTTATTAATATTTATGTTATATTAATTTTTATTTTGTCATATATGATCGTCAAATATCACGTCCTCAAGTATCGATAGTAATTCACCAGTCACCCTGTATATCGGATTTATTAGAAATTCGTTGTTTTTAAATAGAGGGACACACGCCTCGCTGACGTCACTAATGTCACTTCTTTTAGAATGTTCCATAATACTTTAAATTTAAACTTCAATTGTTCTTAATGCTCCTGTATTTCTCGACGGCCCTTCACAATCATATTCTTCAATGGTCCGCATCCACTGAACTCTACCGTCGTGCTTCTAGGCGTCATATTTATACCCAGATTCAAACGTAGTTCTCTTCTCCTTTTAAACAATCTTTGATTTCGTTTTATTTTTAAGAATGATCATGAATACCAATGTGTTTTAATAATAATAATTGTTTTGACAGGTTTAAGTTATTTTCATGTCGCATCCGTTATTAAAGCTGGCAGCGCGGATATATATATTAACAAAAACCGCTATAATTTATAAAAAAAAAACACTTCCTTGTTAGACGAAGATTTAACATATGAATAATTACTTTTCTTACCCTAAAATACAGTTCAAATCAATTAGATTATTCGCAGTATGGCACAAAAAATAGAATTATACGAATCGTTTTTCTCTAAATATTAGCACAATATAATATATCGTATATGTTTTACATACAACATAACAAAATTAAAATATAACTTTCGATTACAACTAACAACTTGTATTTTGATTGTGAGATCATTACGATCTCATTATAACATAAACTTCTCAAAAGATTCAGAGTCGCTAACAAGCAACTAAAGCTGAAAGAACTTTAGTACATAACAATCAAATTAATTGGCGATCGAATCCAAGAAAAACGGTCAAATCTATGTATTTAAGAAAAGGTAGAAAAAACTTATAAATAAGTAGTTAACATCCTACCCTATGACTAAACGAAAGTTTTGAAAAAATATTATATAAAAAAGTATTTCATAATCTTCTGACAAACTTTTATTTATTCAGAATAAAATCCGAATTATCTAATAACTGCATTTGGTACTGCTAATATTAGATTTGGTAATTTTTGGTAGTAAGTAAATACTTTACAGTTAAATATACATACATATAATTAAATATTATTTAATAGAGACTGGAGACGATGAGGAAATATTTTGTTTTTGTTTATACATTTTATGAATTTGATTTTAGAAGCAATTCTGAATATATAATAAAAGTTTAGTAAAAGTCACTAAAGTGTACGTTAATTCCTACAGGAGTGAGTTTCCTAGCACGAGGTCTCAATTAGTTAGTGTTGCTGTGGCCGGAAAGTGTCGCCACCTCGCAAACTTGACCAATTATTACTTTCATCCCTACACTCAGGAACATGGAACTCAAGTAAACCTAATTAGGCACGTATAGATTCGTAATAAACTAGGTACCTATTACAAACTTAATGAGGTGAATGACGAATGAGTAACGTAAAGAAAAGCGGACGTAATAAAATATATAAGATATATTTTCTTAGCTGGGGAAATATCAGAATATTATGAGGAAAAGCTTGATTTTTTAATTAAATATCGCGTTAACGCTACATTTGGGCCGTGTAATGTTTTCTTTTTATGAACGCTGAGTTTCACACATTATTAAACTCGTCGTTACACACCATTTATATCCATTTCAGGACGATTTAAATGTTACTGGAATTTCGTTAAGACTTTATTTTATAGAAAATATAACATCACATATTTAGATATTCTTAAAAGTAAATAGAAAGCAATATCTTTATTTGTATTACTTGAAATGTCTCTTATTTCTTTTATTGAAAATTGCTTTCTTGTGTATAAATAAAATGCTCATTTAAAATATAATATATTTTTTTTTGTTATAAACTTTAAAATATTCCCATTATATAAAACAAACATACTCAATATCGACCTAATATTAACAAAATTGGGTCAAACATAGACTCCTAAACAAGCATTTACAACTATTCATTTGAAATGGAAGCGGTTGCGCAGTGCGTGGGAACTTTACCACAAAAGTTTCACATCGGCCTCAAACTGTTGATAAATTACGGTCATAATTTATAAAACAATAGTTGAGGTTAACATCTGTACCGGTCCGAATATTCTAAGTTTATATTCCGGGATTATATTTAATTCTTGCTTCCGACTCAAATTGGGAAATTCACAAACCCTTGTATTTAAAAAAAATAATTATATATTATGAATTTAAATATTGAACGAGCGTATATTAACTTTGTTTTCTGTATTGCTGAAAAAGGTTTTTAATAGTAAAAAAATTTTATTTAACTAACAAAAATACACATTTATTTATCATTTAACATTGTTTTGGCAAGTAATCAAATGCCTAAAATGCATTACATCATTTTGGATAACAGTTGTTAGTCTTTAATTGCTGGGACGACATTAATCAAATTTAGCTAAGAGCTACCGAAAGGAAGCAGGTTTTAATTGAAAAAAATCTCATCATAGTTCGTTTGAGAGCTACGATGCCACGTACATAAACACACCGACACACTCACCCACGGACCCACACATAGAGAGATCAAACTTGTAACAACTCTATTTTTGAATAACATTTTTATTATAAACTTCATTTTATATAATAGTAAGTAATTTCATTTCCTTTTATTAGTGTTGAATTCAATATAAAGTTTACTCCAATTACTCGGGATGCTGAGCTCAAGCACGAGATTTTAAGGTGCACTATGATGCTCACATTTTCTTTCAAGACGAACTAAAGTGGACCACTTCCTCCGGGGATTCCTAAACGTAACTCGCTTCACAACGTACATACCAACGTATAGATATTTTAACATTACAGTTGTAGCAAACATTTTTTCATAATTTAAAAAATGCCATTTCTAACTTGAAATTGCGCGTTACAAGAACACGTATTAAGCGAGCTATTATTTCCACGGCTTGGGGGAGACAACACAAATTTAGTTTTAAATATCATTTAAGAAAATTATAAAATTTTTAATCTTAAAAAATAATGTTGCAAATATTCTACTTACGTTAACATTTATAAGTAGCGGGCAAATTGAGGACAATTATTATTAAATCATAAACATTATGAAGCTTACTAGAAGGTTTAATACATATAAACTACTTAAGATAGTGTCGAGCACTAAATCTATTACACAAATCATTGCAACTAGGAACAATAACAATTATAGTTTTAATGCGACTTCCTAACTAGAAATAGACTTGAAAGAATCTAGCGAGAAGTGATAATGCGTTAATTTTACGAGTCATTTAAAACTATATTATTCCTAAAGTACAGATTATATAATTATAGTCATTATACATTATGTGATTATCTGTATTTTCTGACCGTTATGATCGCTCAGCTTAGACCACAAGCTCTGGACTAATGAGTTCTACGTCGGGTTCGCTTATCAGTTTGTAAATGATGTTGAGTAACAATTTCAATAGATCCACCACATTTCCCCGGTAATAGGATAAAATGACCGACTTCATCATAATGTCTATATTCGACCAAATAAACGAAACTATATCATTGATTTGTAAAAACCTTTCTTTTAAAAGTTTATCACAGAGTTAGAATACAAAGAAAATTGTTTATGGTATAGCATAGACTGCAGACATATAATGTCGTCATTGGAGCGATTTGCAATATACTCTCTTCGTTGTTAGATAAATTGTAAAGAGGCATTCCAATTTCTCAAGATCCACGATCTTAGTTCAAATACATTTCTAAAGCGATGCTTACAACCAATTCTAACCGCAACCTCCGGGAATACGTTCTGTAGTTGCATTATCTGTCACAAACCTAAAGCTCGCCATCTAATAAATTATACTCGTACGGTCAGGGAGCGTATATCACTAACCTTTCAAAGTTATGAAACTTAAGGAATAATTTAAGTAATTTATATATAATTTTTGTAATTTTTTTTCATTATATAATATTTTTTCGTTATATGTAATTTTACTTCCATCCCAAAAAATATATTAACATAATTTCAAATAGAAACTTTCTAAATAAATTTCTAAAATAAGTGGATTTAAAAAGTTTTAGTCCATTATTCTTCAAACTAAGGAGTGAAGATTCAAGTGTATTATATAATTTGTAACAATAACAACTGACGTCTAGTTGAATTAAGAAATAAATTGGCCGTTAAACTTAGTTGGTATTGCGTGATTAGTTAAGTGACCTAGTTTATTTTGTTTCAGAGTATGCGCTATGTTTCTTCCGGAGTTCGCTAGTTTTGTGGCGGCCATTTTGTTCGTTGTTCACCCAATACACAGCGAAGCGGTAAGCAAAACCATAAGCCATAAATATTACATGAATGTATTACGAAACGAATGAAATACATATTTTATTGTTATTTTAAGGAATTATAAGCTTTTATTAGCTCAAGTTAATTCCAATAACTGGAGAACCTTTTTTCGATTGCTCTTATGATGTTCTTGAGACTTCCATTATCGTCGACTACAAAAAAGTATGTGCTTTCATAACTCGATTTAAATGTATTAACCTAACATAATTATAATAATTTTACTTAAATTAATATTTTGTGTTCTTGCTCTCGTAATTCATTTTTTAAATTACTTTTCACATAATGGTGTAACATTTACATTTATTTTCAAACATTTGTATAATGTAATTGATGTTCGCAAAATATTGAGTTCCTGCCATTAGTGAAATAGGTCCAAACAATAATTACTAACATTACTCTTCGTTTTGTTCAATTTAGTCTTTTCTGTGAATATTTAACATGTATGGTTATTGTTCATTTATATTACACACATTTTTTGTTAGAAATATCTTTTGTATTTGCTTAAGCCTATTAATAATAAAATAGGGTAAGTTTGTGAGGACGTATAGGTTGGTTGGTATTTCAAGGAAAACCTACTTAACGGACAGTGAATAAACTGTACAGTAATTTAGATTAGACATTAGAATGAGATACAGGCTATAATTTATACCAAAATTCCGCATAATTCCCGTGAGATCACGGCATAATATGTAGTTGTTTCACATTAAGTCATGTAATGCAGGCTACAGATGACGCTGGATACCATATCTCTTATTGTAAAACATTTAAGTCTCAGCCTTATTCTACGCAACCGAAATCGCGTACTAAAACTAGTTATTAATAAAAACATTTTCTGTGTGTAAATTAATTTCTTCACAAATCCACCTAGCCATTTTATCACATGCATACGATTTACATAAAAAAAACTTTTTTTAAATGAGTCAGTTTTTTTTGGATGAGTTAGTTTTTTTCAATGAGTTTTTTTTCCTAAGAGTCTCGTTTAAAGTACTAAAATATATAATATATATTTTCGTACTTTACTATTACCATTATATATTACCAAGTTAAAATAAGACTTACTACTGTTACACTAGTATATTAATATCGCCAAAACCAGTCCTTATCAGACTAATATTTCATTCATAGTTCCATTTAAAGTTTTAATAGCTCCATGTGATTCCAATGCATATTTTTACATGTAAATTATATTCTAGAATAAAAAAATAAAAAAAAACAAGTAGCACGAAACGAGTATCTGTAATGTTTACAGAAAACACAGAAATGGGAACGAAATACTCCATTATTTATACGTTTCATTTAACAGAATAAAATATTACTATGTACTTTACCTAATATAAATTGCAATAAATAATTAGTAAAGGCTAATAAATAGATAATTAAGATTTATAAGTATTGTTTTAGTGTTTTTTTTGAAATTCAATTTACTCCAAACAAACGCCTTTTATTTAAAAACAGATCTCACTTATTATTCATTACTAAAATTTAGTCGAAATGGCCGTATATCGAGACTATATTCATATAAATAAATGAATCGTATTACTTCACATTTTGGTGTATTCGTCATTTAAGATAAAGAAAGCGAATGGTTGCTATTGGTAACACAGTAATTATTTTCATTTGATGAACCTGTCAATGTCATTATTGCTAATTAATTGGACGCTTTTATGATCGCCTCATGAGATTTATCTGACGTGGACTAGATGAGATACTTATCTTATCAAAAGAGCGCTTACTTTGTTCAGTTTCTCCAGTATATATATAAATATTTTATGGTTTTCTTTGGATGATGCTCACAAAACAGCCAAGATGAATAAAGTTCGATATATAATTATACTTTGAGGACTCAGTCCTCGTCATTCTTATTAAAAAAAAAACATGAAGCTGTCAATTATACCTTTTACTTAAATAAAATACATTTATCAATATTAAATCTTAATAAAGTCCATAAATATTCATTTCACGGACACGCATAAATGACTTTTTGAATTTAAGCCTGTACCATTTTTCGAGCTCATTTTATCATTTTATAAATTTATTTATGTAGATTTCATTGACTATAATTTAGAATTCTTATAGGTCAGAAAACTTATTTGCAATTATAATCGAATATTATTATCTCAATCCAATTCAATATTCCAGATATATAATTATGTACATGTGTATATGTTTAATTAAGTACGTATTAAAGTATGTTGTATATTAATATTATTTTAATAAAGTGTTATTACGTCCGCTCTTTCAGAAAGTATCAAACCCAGATAAAGTGAAAACAGACGCAATTACCGCCATATTTTAAGTTTATTTTCGTAGCAAAATAGTTTGATGAAGTCGCCCGTGCGCTTTATGGAACTAACTGTGTTTAAAGTTAACGCTAAACATCTTGACTCTTTCTCAAATGTAGTTTTTTATATTGAATTTTATATATTTTTTTTAAATCATCACAAAGACATCGTAGAACACTTAAAGAAACAATTTTAAAGTGAACTGCAGTTTTTATTAAGGAATATTACAAATTAACTTGAACTTTATCGATTCGTATTTCTAAAAGGTTAAAATTTGTGAGCTCTCCCTGGTATTTCATTAACTTCTCAAAAGAAAAACGGGGCAATTGTGTTAAGTAACTTGAATTTATGCTTTTAATTAAACATATTTTGTTATACAAACATTGATTTTCATACGCGTCGTGTTTTAAAGGATTTATTTTTCGGGTTGAGTTATAATTTATATTTCAATTACAATATGAAGTAGCTGTTTTTATAATTAAGTGTATTGTTTAAGGAAAATTTATGTGTAATTATATTCGTAGGAACATATTTACTGGATTGTTTATAGAACTTGTTCGTTTTTTTATATTTATATGTGATTGACGCTTTATAGGTGACGGGCGTGGTTGGTAGAGCAGAGATGTTGTCGTCTGTCTTTTTCCTCGGCGCTCTTCTATGCTATGCTCGAGCAGCCAGCAGAAGACGACACACCGGTAATAATTTAATTTCAATAACTATTTCCAACTTTGACCAATTACATAATACATTATTAATATATTATAAATATTAAATGCCTATATTTTTAGAATGTCTATGTTGTGAATAACATTCAAATAATGTTAATTAATTAATACCGCATGATACATCACTGTATCGCAGCTGAAATCCCAAAAATTTTGATATCATTCAAACGCTGTTTCATCGGTCGCACTGAATTCTGGATTTAATATTATCCGTAACAAGTAAAATACTTTACTGTAACACCGAAATAATTCTGACGCGTAACATGACATCTGAAATTCACAAAATCTAGCTTTGATATCTGTAAATGACTTCGTTAAGACCGCTCCGAGTTCTGGTTAGGAAATTCACCTTTGGGAGTTAAAAATAGCTACCGGCTACCGAAACTCGGGCTAATTCGATTGCATACCTACATTTGAATGTAATCAGAACCGACGAGAACCCATCCGATTTGAGGCTTTTGAGAGAACCGAAACCTAAGATCTTATGATCGTTGGTTTACAGCGAAACGAGTATCTGATGAATCACATTCGTGACTTGTATCTCTTTATGTGGTACCGAATTTTTAAATTTTATTTTTCAACTGAGCTCTGTATCTGATGGAAACCCATTTGGAAATGTCTCTTTGATTGTATACAACGTGAAATCTGAACTTTAAATTCACGAGAGAACTGTTAATATATAATACAACTTATTTCATATAAAATAGAGTTAGCACACACCCAGCTACGGCCTTTCAGTCCCCTTTTGCTCGGCTTATATAAAGTACAGCTTCGGGGCACTTATTGTCATTGAAGTCCCACGTCACTGCCAGTGTTGCCCCGCAGTTAAGTAGGTGATAAGCTCTACCTCTGGAACTTTGAATTGCTTGAAGTAGTCGAAAGCAGCGAACTTAATTCTTTATCCATTTCTGTCATTGTTGTTTTTTTACAATATGAAATTTTTCTTTAAAATAAGTTACTCGTTAATGCGGCACATTAGTGCCACGGCTACGTACTTGTAACAAATATTTGCCCTTCAGTTTTTAGTTACTAAAATGTATTTATGCCATATATTTTTTTATCTACATATATACCAAATATTATTGAGTCAATGGTGGCCTAGTGGTTAAAGGCCTGCCTCTGCCTCTCATGCACGAGAGCGCAGGTTCAATCCTGGCAAGTACGAATATGGTTTTTTAGAGTCATATTTACTTTCTGAGACTATTTAGACACACACACACACACACACACACACATACACACACACACACACACACACACACATACACACACTCTGACAGACGATGAAGGAAAACATCGTGAGGAATCCTGGACTTATAATTTCATAATTATAAGTTTGAAATTACCAACCTGTCTCTTGAGCAAGAGTGGTGATTAATGCATTTCCAAAATATTAGTAGTATTGCAAATTTTAACTTATTATTCATAAAAATGTTTACTTCATTATAATATGTAGATGGAAGTTTTGCGGAGTTATTTCATTTAATGATGTTGTAGACTGGCGCTACGTCGTGGCATGTACTGCCTGTGTTGGTGTTGCCATGCTGTGTAAAGAACAAGGCATCACGGTCACGGCTGTTTGTGTGGTCTACGAAATATTCGTAGCGCAAAAGGTAATATTATTATATTAAATGCAACTAAGAAAAGATTTTACATCATTAGTATATGGAAATCTTTAAGAATTCATTTTAAGGGTATCGAAAACACTGTTTTATAACTTATTGTTGAAACAAAGTTAACTGGAGATCTTGATGAATCATTTAGACTATGTATTCATATTCTATTGAATTTTATTAATTTAAGAATCGTTACACTTCTACATTCATCAATATTCTTGGTCTTCAGTGTCTCTATATGTGGTGTTACTTTGGTACCGACGTCATTGAGTCGTGAACCAAACTTCGAAACTATCACCGGGTGCCTTGTGATCTTAGATATTTGTTTCAAAACGGATCGAAGTTTGAAACTAAACTTCGTACATACAGCCATCCCTCCGTCAACAACATTGTAATTTTCGCAATACATAGATCTAGCAATTACACAAGTTGTACGGGCACATATTATTTTACGTAAATGAATACCAAAGTATTACTGAAACTATACATAAATGTATAAGGAAAATTTCTTTAACTTTTTAATTATAGCGACGTAGCAGCTCTGGGCGTTCCTGGCTGGAGTATTGGGGTAAGGGAGGGTGGGGATATGCCTGTGGGGAAGCAGCCCGAAGGGTTGCCACCGTCTGCTGTGCTACATTGGCGCTTTTGGCTGCCAGACTACACGTTATGGGAGCACAGCTGCCAGTTTTCACACGATTCGACAACCCTGCTGGAGCATCGCCCCCACCTGCAAGGTATGCCATTTACTAACTTATAAGATAATAACGTAAATATAGTTATAGGGAGAAAGAATAATTGTATTGTGTGCTCATGCTAAAAAAATCATAAATTTTCGCCCAGACATCTAACCTTCGCCTATCTTCCCGCGTTGAACGCTTGGCTGCTGACTCTGCCGGAGGCTTTGTGCTGTGACTGGACCATGGGTACTGTGGCTTTGCTACAATCGTGGCGAGACCCTCGGAATATGGCCACGTTGGGGCTCGCAGTCATGCTGGTTGCTGGAACCATACATGCCTTAAGGACCAGATCTTCGGCACTATCCATGGTAAGAAAACAGTATACAGCTGTAGGAATTCGAAAATCCTATAAGGCTATGCGGATGTCCGTTATTCTTTAGAACAAAAACAATTCTTTATTAGTATTTTTACTCACGTATACAGGGTGACTGGTGAATTACTATCGATACTTGAGGACGTGATTTGTGACGATCATATATGACAAAATAAAAATTAATATAACATAAATATTAATAAACTTCTAAGTAAAGTTAACCAAAAGTTATGTAATTAATTACGCATCGTGTAAACACCCTACAGATTAGGTATACACCCACACTCACACATACGAGTGCGGTGGCGTTGTGTTGTATCAGCACGCCACCACACGCGTCCACACTAGGAACACTTGGAACGTGTCAACACTTTATTTATTTATACGGAAATTTTGTCAAAAATTAAGTACCTATTTTTTTTTACATAATTCGAATGAGAATCATGTACCGAGTATCCTCCTTAAATATTGATAGTAATTCACCAGTCACCCTGTATATATATTTTAATTTCGTCTAATCTGGTTTTAAATATATCTTTTTACGAATTTGTTCAATGATATTATTGTCAGTGACAGTTTATATAATTCCTATTTAGATATCAAGGTGTCCATCGTAATAACAAACCTGAGAACATCAAACACAATCTCAAACATCACTTTAATAGTTTAATCGACAAACATGTTCAAACAGGGTCTTGCGCTACTTGTTCTACCATTTCTTCCCGCATCAAACCTGTTCTTCCCCGTGGGTTTCGTTGTGGCTGAGCGTGTTTTGTACATGCCGTCTATGGGCTGGTGTCTGTTAGTGGCACACGGTTGGAGGCTTGTAGCCAAAAAACAAGCTAAACTGGCCGCAGGGGCACTCGTGTTCCTCCTGCTGGCTTTTAGTGCCAAAACATACATCAGAAACTGGGATTGGAAGACTGAATATACAATATTTGCATCCGGACTGAAGGTTTGTGTTGAATATTGTATTATAATTATAAATAAATCAACACTTGTTGCGTAAGTTAGGAGTAATTTAACTTAAATGTGACAGAATTTCTCGAATCTTAAATCTTCAACAGTTGAATACCGGATATTTTAGAAATGTTGAAAATGGAAAGTACCTACTTGTCCAAATAAAATTGCTTAATACTTTTCTAAAACCCTTTTTGCTGAAATGTTCCTAAAGAATTCGTTGCAGTATCTGCCTAAAAGTGTTGTAAGTGATTCATAAAATAACTTCCAGGTGAATCGTAATAACGCTAAGCTATACAACAACGTGGGTCACGCTTTAGAATCTGAAGGGAAATACGGAGAAGCTTTAGAATTCTTCAAAATTGCCGTCAACGTCCAACCAGACGACGTGGGGGCCCACATCAACGTTGGAAGAACTTTTAATCATTTAGGGAAATATCAGGAGGCAGAAGCCGCTTACGTCAAAGCTAAGTCTCTTCTACCTAAAGCCAAACCCGGGGAATCTTACCAAGCTAGAATAGCCCCCAATCATTTGAACGTCTTCCTTAATTTGGCTAATTTGATATCCAAAAACGCGACCCGATTGGAAGAAGCTGACTTATTGTATCGGCAAGCGATCAGTATGAGAGCTGATTACACACAGGCCTATATAAACAGGGGTGATATTTTAATAAAACTAAACAGAACTAAAGAGGCCCAGGAAGTATACGAACGGGCGCTATTGTATGACAGTGGTAACCCTGACATATATTACAATGTAAGTATATCTGAGTATAACAATGACAAATTTGGTAAAATTATATTAATACAACACAAACAGGTAGAGGCGGGAATTTATGGCCTATTAAGAAAATGTAAGTTGCATTAGAAAAGAAAAGCATCTTTTACTTCATAGTATTATGTATAGAGTATTATTTTTTCATAAGAATACTAATCCAAAAAAAAGAAATGAACAGAAAAATTTTAATATCTAATTTTCACTGTATTACATGGCTTTGAATACACGTAACATTTTCAGCTGGGGGTAGTGTTACTTGAACAAGGCAAGGCGTCCCAGGCGCTGGCATATTTGGACAAAGCTCTGGAACTCGAGCCGGAACATGAACAGGCGTTACTGAACTCTGCCATACTTCTGCAAGAGCTGGGAGCTGCAGACTTGAGACACATTGCCAGACAAAGATTACTCAAATTATTGGACAAAGACGGTAAGATATAAAACTAGGAACTTTAAAAAGCTAGAATCCTTTATTTTTAAATACTTAGCAGATATAGAGGATGACGAAATACCTATTCTTTTCTTTATTTCGGTTTTCATTAAGATTTATTAAGACAAGTAACATTATTTTTTATAGCATTTTAAAAACTACAATTCGACTTTTCACCAATAGTAAATTAAATTAAATCTAAATAGTATAACTTCTTCTATACCACCTAATAAACATATACAATTTTTTACTAACTGTAATTCTCAAACAAAAAGTTTAAAATGAACTTAATCCTTCACAAAACCATACATTATAACACCACTTCTATTACGTTGTCCAACTCACAATATCAACGCCCGTGGGCTGCTATATATAAGATCTGATTTTCCTTATTTACAAGAAAAGGAACACCACATCTGTGTATAACAACGTATTTTTTTTAAAATATAATAATTCTCCAGCTACAAACGAGCGCGTCCACTTTAACCTCGGGATGGTGTGTATGGATGAGGGAGACGCGGAGTGTGCCGAACGCTGGTTCAGGGCCGCGGTTCATCTTAAACCGGACTTCCGCTCCGCACTCTTCAACCTGGCTCTACTACTAGCTGACAGACGAAGACCCCTGGAGGCCGCGCCTTTCCTCAAACAATTGGTCAGACATCACCCCGATCACATAAAAGCCTTGGTTCTGTTGGGAGACATTTACATCAATTCAGTCAAGGATTTGGATGCTGCTGAAAGTGTAAGAACTTTTTTTTTCATAACCCTTATTATTTACGTCTTTTTTACCTTTTCACTGTAGAAATTCGAAATCATATGTTTTTTACCAGATTACATAAATTTTAACTTTTCCATTTACTATTTTTCCAGTGCTATCGACGTATTCTCGAACTGGAACCAGACAACGTGCAAGCCCTCCACAATTTATGTGTTGTTGCTGTAGAGAGAGGGAAGTTAGCCATTGCTGAAGAGTGTCTTACAAGAGCCGCGGTTTTAGCGCCACATGAACATTACATACAGCGCCATCTATCTGTAGTACGCACGAGACTGGCAGCTGTCTCGCTCACAAACTCCAACACCCGACCATCTGACGGATCCGATGCTGAAGTGCGAGCGAGATGGAACTACATCCCCCAGCAACCCCCCGATCCACACGAGTCGGATCCCTCATAGCTAGCTTGTGTAAAATGTAAATAGGTCTAACACGATTTTAATATGATTTGCTTATACAATCAGGGTATTTGCATTTTGATTTGTACTTTTCTGTTTTACTCTATAAACATTTGATTTTACTTTTCAAATCAAAGCGATCAGTTTTATTTGATCTCGTAGTCGGTTATTTGCTTGATATTTGGTAATATCTTACATTTAATCTTTATGTAATATTTGTGTAGGACTATCATGATGGAACGAGCTTTCCTCATTAGCCTGGTATACGGATAATTTGTGTATATTTAAAATGAAAATAGAATACTAGAAGACTTAACTGTTTAATGAGTGTGTCATCATAAAACGGTAATTGAAACCAGTCGAATTTTATTATAGTCTATTATTTCAGTACGTAAATTATGCTGTTATAGGTAATGTTTAATACTCCCGAGCTTTTTAGGCGTTGGGAAATAGCATTAGAGAAGACCCCCGCATTTATATGGCAACCCCGTATATAAATAATATTATTTAGATACATTTTAGCATTCGTTTTGCAGAAATTAGTTTTCTATTGTACCATTTGATACACTACCATTGTAACGTTGGACTAGTATCTAAGATATCTTAAGACGTACTGTTCTACATATTTCACTTTCGAGGCAAAGCGATCAATAATTATGAAAAATTTTCATATGCGTGCGCATAACTAAAATATAATTTATTTGTGATTCTGATACAAAAATATTTATTAAATTGAATAGTATTTTTGAGAAAACGAAGCTTTTGCCAACTATCGATGTTGCTTGTTCAATAAACACGAAAATTAATTCATTAAGAAAAATATTAATGTACTGCGGTTTATTTTAAACATTTTTCTGTTGTACCAATTATGAACTAAAGTTCGTACAGATTAGGGTAACAAATAATAATCTTGATGTATGTACTTACTTGAACTGTTATTTTAATAAATGCCAATGTTATACTGTATAAAAAGTGATCGAACGTTATTAGATATAATTATGTAGATGTGAAATGTAACGTTGTTAATGTTTTAAGAAAGTAACTTTTGTAAAAACTCAATTTTTTACAATGTCTTGAAACATTTCTGGTGGGAAGCCCCTGAATGGTTGAATCGTAAGGACCCCATATTATAAACTATTTGTCGTCAAAACATTTATTTTTATAAAATAAATGATGTTTCAAATTAATTAATTTTTATTTCTTTGTTACCTTTGTATGCATTATGAAAAATTTGATTACACAAAATCTTGAACTGTTTGATAACAATCGCAAATATGTGTTTATATAATATCTATACTAATATTATAAAGCTGAAGAGTTTGTTTGTTTGTTTGAAAGCGCTAATCTCCGAAACTACAGGTTCGAATTGAATAATTCTTTTTGTGTTGGATAGTCCAGTTATCGAGGAAGGCTTTAGGCTATATAACATCACGCTACGACCAATAGGATCAAAGATATAGTGGTAAATGTGAAAAAACGGGAGAAATTATTTCACTTTGAAGCCTTCCGTTGCGTGCGCCGTGAAAACGGTTCAAGATACACAAAAAATATGTATAAAAGAATAATAGCTCTTTTAATGATCTAAAAAACACTCCGCGACAGTATATGTCTATCTTTTAAGATTAACTCACAAAAACCGTTTTTATGGTACCTAATTTGGTCGAAATAATTTGTTGACGTTGTATCAACATAATAATATTAATCTTTATTCAAATAAACAAATAAATATGTTGTTGGTTAAGAGTACTTCATTGTGAATAAAAAAAAAGTAGGTTTTATCCTGAAAATTCTATGGGAACTCGACCATTCCGAAAACCCTGCAAGAACGGGAACTATGTGGGAAGAACCAAAAATCTGCCGTAAGTCACTATTCCACGCGGACGGAGTCGCGGCAAAAGCTAGTTATACATATATTCCAAGCTACTCAAACTATTCTTTAGGAGCTTGTATAAAAAATCAGTACATGGATTATCAAAAGTAACTTAATACTATGCAAGTTTCTATATTTTCAATCCTTAAATATAGTAACGGGAGGGAGAATAAAATATAACAACAATATGTATTGTAAAAGATTCACTATATTGTTTTGTACAAATCACATATTCAAAACAATAGCGCCTTTATTCATACCATACACCGTTTCACGCGTATAATAACATATACGAGTATTAAAATAAATATCAAATACTGTCCAAGTAAAATACTTAACAAGATTTTTATGGACAAAAAACGCGCTTTTTATCAACAATTTCAACATGACGCCAGTGAGGAGGATGTAATAATAAAAAAAAATACTATGAATGAAAATGAATGAAATGGTAACATACGATTTATGTATATTAATTGTAGTTATATATGTAGAGTTAAATCATACCTCGGATTTTCTCATATTTACTGATATAAGACTTCATGAAAAAACGGTAGTTTAATTCATTTAATCAATATAGATTAGACAATCATTAAATTTCTATAAAAATCATGTTAATTAACAAAAATACATACTTTCTTAATCCCTTCTCGTTTCTGCTATTTTATTTCATGGTTATAATGATTCACTTGATACCAAAATTTTTCATAGAATCGAATAATGCTAGCACATTCTGACTTTCTGAGGTATGCCACTAAACTACTAATGGAACTCTTAATACAATATCATTTTAAGTACTATCACGATCTCACAGTCCGTATGTACATGTATAAAAATACACAAAGATAAAACAATTTTTTTTCTTCAATTACAAAATAAACATACATACAATCAATGCTCAACTTCCAAATTAAACGTAACAATCTAAAGAAATATAATTTATCTAAACTATATATAACTATTTACATTACATCAATGTAACAAAATAACATACACGCATTTCTATTATAATTTGTCGACTTCACAAATTCAAAACTTTGTTAAGATACCCTCGATCAACAGGGAATCAAATAGATATCATTATAATGTATACTAACCTAATATCGATGACTGACAGTATTTCTGGTTACAACTAGCTATAGCCTGACAAATATAAGGCAACATAATTTACGGGACGCTATTCGTTCACATCCAAATTATGATATGGCAGAAGTAAACTAACGATTATGACTTTTATTCTCATTATTTTTGACAGATTTAATTTGGTTCTCCGAGTAAAACTGACAAAGATATCCAAGTAGCATATACTATTGACAGCCCCAATGAAAACCTGCTTATAATACTTTGCACTTTATTTCACTTTAACATTATTGCAAATAAGTCCAAAACTAACATAATAAACATAATCAATACAATAATAATATAATTTTAATAAAGTGCACATCACTCTTAATGTTTAACTGTGTTGAAGTATTTCAATGTATGGACTTATATTTGGTCCCAAATTATAATTGAGACATATTCCAAAGTATTAAAAACTGGACAATTAAAAACAGAATCATGAAAGCAAAGTTTTCATTAAAACAGTCCATAAAAAATCAGATCTATGTTGAGTAGTTTAAAAAAAATTACTGCAAATTTGAAAAACTTTGAACAAAAAGCCTCTTAAAAAATACCAGTTCTTGAACATATCTAGATAGACAGTAAAAAAACGAGACTAAGAACATATTACGAGACATTTTTACGATATGAAGATGTCAAAATAAGTGTCCCTAATATGGATGATACCAATAAAAAATTATATCAACACAGCGCTCAATGGACTATGTTTCTGATTATTACAAGATGCTAACAAAATTAATGATTATTATTATGTATTGTAAGATTTTAAAAATATATTGCTTTTGATCTTAAAACTACTTTCGATTTTACAAGTATAACATGTACACTAATGTGCGTATGCAGTTAATTCTAAGGATATCCCCGACGTTTAGTTTCCTATTACAATGTTTCTATATAATGCCCATCGAGCGCTATAAACCACGTCTCAACAGTTCTCTTATTCATCTACTTATATTCTTCTTCTGCATCAAAATCTCCTTCTTCCTCGACATCTTGCTGTTGTGGCTGAACTAATGACAATGGTCCCTTCTTATATGCTGTCATTTCCTGTTGAATATTAATTGTGTTAGACATTTTGGCAAAAGACTATTATAATATTTAACTACAGAAATCTAATGTTATAACTACTTTTATTGTAATGATATTGAAAGGAATATCTAATAATTATTAAAAAACACAAAGGTTTTATATGAATTTTCAGAATCTAACAGACGAAAAAATCAAAGCATAACTTACACTGTGTTACATTATAATTAATTAATCTTTAAATAAAGATTCCTTATTTTTTATTGATACTCAGATTTGAAAGATGCTTTAGTTAATTATGTATAAATCAATAATGTTAACAAGAATGTTATGTAGTATATTTGAATAATAGTTATTTCAAATTCAATCAAGAAAAGAGATTATTAAAATTATTATTTGTGCTACAACAACGAATTTCCTTAATGAAATAACAAGTTAAGTAATTTTTTGTATGGATCAACACATTGTGTTAAATGTTGAACAATGTATTAACAATTAAAATAGTATAATACTCACCCTATCGTACCTAGCCTTGTCCTGTTCACTGAGCGACTCATATTTGGACTTGGTGTCGGGCTCCACGGCCGCCCATCGTCTTCCTAGCTCCTTGGCTATATCACCCATCGTGAACTCTGGATTGTTGGCCTTCACCTTCGAACGCTCGTCGTTACAGAACCAGAAGAAAGCTGATCTGTTTATTAATAACAAAACATAACTTTAATAAGATCTAGAACTTTCGCGAATATTCGAAATATAGTGAACAAGGACAGACAAGATAAAAATTTCGGTTAGTAATCAGTCAATTTAAACATAGTAATCTGAATATATGTTTAATTAAAAACATAACTTTAGTTAAAGTTAGACATCAATCTATTTGTACTTCCAAACTTTACTTCCTTTTGTTTTGTGACTATTAGGTATAATATATACACTTTACAAATAACAAAGATTATTGCTTATATTAATATAATTATAGTAAATAATATAATTATAGTAATATCATTACATGACAACTCACAGAGATCTCTTGGGTGCGTTGGGATCTTTCAATGCATGCCTCTTCCTTCCTCTGATCTTAACATCCTTGGGAGGCACATAACTCGCCATTTCCATCTCATAACGCTTCTTATCCTGTTCGGCCATTTCATGGAAACGTTGCTTCTCTTTCTCAGACATTGTCTGCAGATGTCATTGTATCATTTAATTTATCAAATACTTTAGTATTATATCATAAAATGCACATTAATTCAAAATTACACTTTCTGTAATTGATATTTAATTCTAATTTCCGCTGACATGATAGTATTGACATAGGATTATGAGTTACAAATTAGCAACTGCCTGTATTAAGTATGACAATGTAAGGTTGTGGTAGGGGTTATGATATATTTAAGTGTGATATTCACTCCAACTGCTAGTAAAAATAGCAACACATATCAGACATGCATAAAAAACTCACATTCCACCTCTCAGCACATTTCTTGGAGAAGGCAGCAAATATAACATTTTCTTCTGGATGTTTCTTCTTATGTTCTTCTCTACAGGTCTGTACAAAGAATGCGTAAGCTGTCATTCTGCCTCTGGGCTTATTGTAGGCACGAGCTCTCGGCATTCTGGATCTATTAGTAGCTTGAGCTAGCAAGGCTTGCTGTTGAGCCTGTTGCTGCAATTCCTGAAAGATTTTAAGTTTCTTTATATTTCATGTCTTCCTTAAATATTATAGACATTAAAAATAATTAAATATCCAACCTGCAATGTAGCTGACTGTCTTTGAAGAGCAGCTTGGATTTGTTGTTGTTGAGCAACTTCTATGTTGTGCTGGTGTTGTTGCAATGTTTGAGCAACTTGTTGTTGTAATGCTGCCTGAGCAAGCGCTTTAGCTTGGGCCTGGCTAACTTGTATTTCAAGCTGTTGATTTTGCTGTTGTTGCTGTTGATGGTGTTGCTGTTGTTGATGCTGATGTTGCTGCTGCTGTTGTTGTTGCTGATGTTGTTGTTGATGTTGCTGCTGTTGTTGTTGCTGATGTTGTTGTTGTTGCTGCTGATGTTGCTGCTGTTGCTGTTGTAGCATCTGTTGCAGAGTTTGTTGTTGACTTTGCTGTTGTAAAGTCTGTTGCAGACTCTGATTCTGCTGCTGTAATGCCTGTTGCAGGCTTTGTTGTTGTTGCTGTAATTGTTGCAACTGGCTTTGTTGTAGTTGAGCCTGTTCCTGTGCCTGCTGAAGTGCCTGATGGTTTTGTTGAATTGTGTTCGTCTGGTGATTACTTTGATCTGAGTCTGGACTTGATTGATTCTGTTGCTGTAGAAAAAACAATTACGTTCAATAAGTAGTTATAGCATATACAAAAAATATTATTACCGTTTGAAAAATAAATTATGTCATAAAATATAAAGATGGTACTTGTAGAGTCAAACTTTAAACTATATTATTATTTGAGTACATATACATAATGTATTCTTTTTATGTAACTTGATAAAAATAAATAAAACATAATATAAATTAAAAAAATATAAATAGTAATAAAAATGTTCCTCTTTAAACTATTATTCTTCTAACGTGTATGAATAAAATTATAACAATTTGAATTATTAATTATAATGTCTTCATAGATTATATGAAGATGAATATATTATCATTAATACTATTACCCACAATTTAAGCATTAAAAGAGAAAAAAATAAAAACATGTAAAAAAACGCTTAAAGCTTAGGACATCTAATGAAGTAATATTGTGTTAAGTGCTTGAATATATGTACCTCCAAAACATGCATATAAAATATCTCTGAGTACGTTCACAAATTTTACTTTATAATTTTTCATAAATGACATCTCACAATCATTATCCCCAATAATTTATCTCTGTTTTTGAGTAATTATGAATTAAAAAAACAGTTCCCTTTTAAATATTTGATAACTCATGTCACATTAAAATTATATGATTATTTCTATAGACAAAGGGTATGTAGACAAAGGGTAGGTACCTCTTTGTATAATCACCTTGATTTAATGCTATATATAGCAAATGTTATGAAATTCAACATAATATTTTGTCATAAGGACTGGAAAATCTATGTACCGTTGGAGAAGAAGTTTGTTGTTGAGATTCTACACCGCCAGAAGCATACCACCAAGGTTGCTGAGGAGATTCATCCCTAGGATTAGATCCAGTCATTAAACGATAGTCGAACGCAGGCGACGTGTTATTTCCAGTATTATTAGAAAAGCCAGTAGCCATCTTATATGTATATAACTGATGCGTAACAGTGGCAGTACTCCTTGCTATTTCCTCATTCAGTTGTTGTTGATGCTGAAGCTCCCCAGAGCCACTCGTCCACCACGAGGCATCGTCGCGCGCACCCCAAGCGCCCCCCGTTGTGCCCCGTTCCCCCATATCACTATCGCTTTGGGCTAACCAATATCTTTATTCAGCCTCGGTTAACTTTTTCTATTCTTTATTTTGTATTGTTTTCCGAACCATATCCTCATAAAATATACTTTTTAAATAAGCTTCACTTTAATATCGACTTCGTAGCTTATGTTTTACGTATAACACTGTTACTTAACTCACAAAACCTATTTTCATCACAAAGTATCAGCTTTATTATGATAGCCAAACCATTTTTCACGAACAACAATTACTTAATGACTGAAAACACCGAAGTCTATTCAATAAAAAAGCTGCCGGTTTTAAGTTGAACACAACGCGCGTACGTTTTGTCTTGATTCGTGTTCCAGTCAATACATTTGGCAACGTCGCACGGTAGGACGCTAAACAACTATACGGTGGCGCCCCCAACGCGCAGCGGCCGATACGAAAACGTCCAAAGTATACACGAAGAGAGACCGAAAATGCACGAACCGGCAACAACCTCGTCCAGTAACCGGTCAATAAGGCGATTAGTGCAGCCTCACACTCCCTCTATCTGTATACCAAAATTCCTTAGTACGAAACATTTTCAATGATAGCACGATGTACGGAATAATTAAATATATATATCAATCTAAAGAGACATTGTAATTGTATTTAATAGTCTTAAATTGAAATGAAAAAATCATATCTGTATTTTTTGCAACATCGTGGCGAGAATTTTTTTTAACACGCTTTTTTAATTAAAAGATCATACATGTAAATAATTTTTTTATCGTAATAATTAACTCTTTTATTACAAGGTATTCTTAATTTTATTAAAATTTATGCAACCGTATGAATATAATATTATAATATTAGTTTAGGAAGCTATAAAGTGAAAAATTTGGACTTCTTCATTTCATATAATTATTTTTTTAAAGTTCGTGTTTCGTAGGCGGCCTGTGGGGGTCAAACCTCAGGAAAAACAATGTGGTCTAAAAAAATCAAAACAAAAAACAACGGTCAAAGTTTATTTTATGCCAAAAAAATAAACTACATAATATATCAACGAATCTTGTGTTTACTTTTTTTTAAATTAAATATGCTTAGTTAACTAGTTTTACGTACCGGTTTTGAAATATACACATAATTTTGTTATTTCATCTGTTGTTTTTATTTTCTTTTTAGCGTGTACGAGTTTAAATTATTAGGTACTAGGTACCTGAAACGATCTCGTTTAAAAATACTGATTTTAAGTGTTCCTTCCTTTTTTTTAATAGAGCGTAATTTATTTTTAACATATATACAATTTATTTTTAACATATAGGGGAGAGTTGGTTATATCGTACTAGCATTTAAATCGTATCACTTCTAAATTTCCCATTTAATGAATATTTTTTTCTACATTGACAATACTAAATCGTGGCCCTGCACCATCCCTCTTCACCCACTAGTTTAAATCGACGTGAGTTAACAACTGGGCACATAATAAAAGAAAAACATTTTTTGTAGGAATTAATATAAATATTGTCGTACATTCGTAAGGAGATAACTCGTAATCAAGGTAAGCTATAGTTATTCAGTTTTTTTTTATTATTCCACAATTGTATACTAGATTATTGGGGGTTTTTGTTGCGTGTCTAAGTTTTGAGTTTATGCCGGATATTTGCTTTTGTTTTAGAAATGCCTCAGTTGGTTTAATCGTACCACTTGCAGTTGGTTAAATTGTACTGGTACGATTTACCCGACTACCCACCGAAAGTACCTATAGTACTACCGCAAGTACGTATAGTAAGTACTACCCAAGGCCAAGAATAAAAGTTATAAGAGGAAACGATCTCATTCCATCACCAGTTGCGATGATTCAGGAGAGACACTTGTTGTAGAACTAGATGATGATGATGACAGCAATGATGATCTTGAAAATATATGTCGAAAGTGCAATTGTTCTTACTATGATAAGAAGGGTCCAAAATTTGATTGCATTCAATGCGTTCGCTAAACGGTGGCTACATGAGACATGTACTTCGAATCCAGACATTTGTGACGATTATTTCCATTAAGAAATATGCATAATAATTATATGTATTACAAATAACATTCTTGTCAACTGTTACTTTATTATTATATAAATGCCACGTTTTGCAATTGGAGAACATTCAGCGCAGATTTAATAAACATTATAGTTATAAGTTTTTGCCGCAGTGTCAGAATATTTCACACATTACGTCTTTGGAATACCGTCGCATGGAGAGAGACCAAGTGTTTTTATTTAAGATTCTTCAAAACTATATTGATTCACCCTTTTTGCTACAAAATATTGGCTTTAGATGTCCTAAAATTAAAACACGTAATCAGTCCCTGTTTCACTTACCTTTAACAAATACTAAATATGCTCGAAATACTTTTATTTTCCGTGCCTGTCAGAAATATAACAAATGCTTTTCTAATATAGATTTAACAATGTGCACAAAAAGTAATATAAGGAAAGAAATTAGTAAAGCTTGTAATTCGTAATTAATTTATTTTAAAATTATTATTATTATTATTATTATTGTTTTATGCTCCAAATGAAATTCAGAAGAAATATAACAAATGTTTTTCTAATATAGATTTAACAATGTGCACATAAAGTAATATAAGGAAAGAAATTAGTAAGGCTTGTAATTCGTAATTAATTTATTTTAAAACTATTATTATTATTATTATTATTATTGTTATTATTATTATTATTGTTTTGTACTCCAAATGAAATTGTAATTGGTGGAAGCTTTTTGGTTTGTGTACTTTTATATGTTTTATTTGATTGATTTTTTTAATACTGTTTGTTTCCCAAAAAAAATAAAAATAAAAATAAAATAAAAATTATAGTCTACTGTTTTTTTGTCTCATTTTTATTAGTTATGTTGATTGATCTCATTATCATAGTATAATAATGTTATTTTACTGAGAAAGCTTATACATAGTTCCTTTATATAACCTCAGAGTTAAAAATTATGTTTCTATTACCTAAAAGATATAAATAATGTTGTTTTATTACTTACCTAACAGTTAAAAATAAATTATTTGATTGAGAATTTTAATGTCTTTCATTCAGTGGTACGACTTAAACACCCATGGTACGATTTAAAGACTTAGTGGTACGATTAAAACGACTAGTCGGCTAAATCGTACGGATGGCAAGCCTCTATAAAAAAGCATTTTTAACAATGTTAGAATAATGGCAAGGATCTGTTCTCTTGCTCTCAAGCTAAAATATGAAACTTTATTTTACATATGTATTAATTATTATAAGACGTGTTATAGTCGAAATATTTGAGTTAAAGTGAAAAGTGGTACGATATAGGTAACCGACTCTCCCCTATTTCAAACATATTTCTTTAGAGTTTAGAACAAGCAGTTTCGCTTGCTGCGAAGAAGTTTTTAAATCATACCTACGTAATACTAAAAATAATTTTAAATCCTAAAAATATTTATCTAGGTACATGAAAGTCATAACAAATAAAGAGAATACTGAGTACCTACAATACATATTTAAGTTTTAACACCTTTTAATGAAATAAGTATATCGTTCACGTTACTAAATACTACACTTCACACACATATTATTATTATAAATGTATTCTTCTGAATAATTAATTATTCTTCTGAATAAATAATTATAAAATTACCAGTATATTAAAGTATACTGCACAAATGTGATTCTTTATGGTACGTTTACTAAATTCAATGTTATAAAAATAAAAATTCTATATAATAATTATATAAGCATGTGACACTTTTACAACGAAACGAAAAAGTTTATGATACTCGATTACATTCGTAACATGATAAGACAATTTCAAATTAGGAGATTGTCAACTTTATTGTGACTTTTTTTTTATGTATGTCCGAAAAGCACTTCTTTATTTCATAGGTAGGTACATGAGATTACGTTTATCTTGTGCTTACTACGTAAGGTTCAACTAAAAAGGTAGACAAGGTAATTAAAATAAAAATAAAAATACGAAAAGATTTTTTTCTTTAACAATTAGTTTGTTGACTTGGTAATTTACATAAGTACCTATAACTTTAACGGATGTTATACTGTGATTTAAATATAAATTGCTTGGATCCAAGACTTTGTTAAAAGAAGGTTCTGCTTAAGTAATTTTTTAGAGCGTCACAGATATTTAATGCAGCAGTCTCTAACACCTGATTAAATAATTTAGAGTATAAAAGGACGTTAAACAATCCAATTATTAAATGACCTCTCATAACTATTTCTCGAAGTTTATTCGATGGCTACGTTCTGTTATTTGGAAAAGTTAAAACAGTCTCATGTACCTACCTAACTGAAAAATATTAAGTAGATACCTAATTGAGAAAAGTTTGATTTCGAACAATGACGTAAATATTAAATATAATCAAACTGTGATTCGAGAAACATAAAACAATCGGTCAGTAGAACGAATCATTTCTTATTAATATTATTTATCACAACCTACATAACTTCTGCGAACGTATTTATACAATAGGTACTTAAAGTTATCTCATACTTTTGCGTCTACTAATTCATTTAAATAAAACTAAGATTTCTGAAAATACATCCTTTCCTTTTTATCATATCATTTTCCCGTAAGTAGTCATAATTGCTATAAGTAACTCAAACCTCCGGAACAAGGTACGTTTAAATTAATAAAAAACGCGTAGTATATCCGAAAAATCTTACTTTTATTTGTACTTAAATTCTTTATTCTGTACGAGTTAACATTTCTCTTAATATTTATACACGACAAACTTTTAAATTTTTGAGACGCATTAAAGTTGTAAAGCTCAACCGGTCCAATAATTCGATATTTTCAAAATATTTTATTATGAGTAAACTATAAGAGATATGATAACTTTTGATAAGAATTTAATGCGAACAATGTTAATTATACAATAGATACACTAAACGAGATCTTTAAACAAAAAATATTTTAAATATAAATTAAAGATAAATGACATAAAAATTGAAATACAATCCCTGAAATGATAAGATTGATGACCTTATTCTCTGTAAAGGGCACAAATTATGGTTACTTCTTGAATTTTTTGTTATTCTTAAATTTCACAAATTTAAAAAAATATTAAATGACGCGCCAAAATAATAACAGATAATAAAGAATTTAGGCTTGTATACAAATTGAAGCAATGTACGTATATTGTCGACTCTATTTTAATAAATAACCTTCAATAATATAATTACTTACAAAAACAAAAAAACAATAAAAACTATTTCATTTCGTATAAAATATATTAATGTTCGGAAATCTTTACTGTTAAGGCTACTTCGACCGAAGTCATTTCTGATAGTAGAAGATATAACAATTGCCAATATACGGAACATTAATGAGAAATTAATAAAAATACCTACCATATTTTCGCCGCTTATAAGAAAAGTAAAGGTTAAACAAAATATTTTCTAATTTTAATAATTGCAAAACAACATAAGTTGACATAATACTTAAAATATATCTCTAAGGAACATTTATGAATGAACAGCGTCAATACTATGTATATCATTATACATATATACTTACCTACTAGTCTACAATATCGTGTTATGTATATTGTCACTACGTCTGCACTCGGCAGCCATTTGCTTATAAATTTAGAATGTTACACTATAAATACCGCTTCAGTTATCTCAATAGGCTTAACTAATATAAATATTCTGCTAAATTTATATACTTTCAAACAGTTTCACTACTATTATTACAAGAAATTAAACTCACCGTGTATATATTCATTACAAATGAGCACACGATTTCAGCGCTTATTACGTAGAAACTTCGCGTTCGCTGGCACTGATATATACACAGCAGGAGATGTCAGTTCTAGAACGTAATCATTGGTGAAAATTGAATCGCCCGCCTTTTGTTGGCCAATCAGCAATATACTTTCGGCTTTATTTTTTTGTTTATACTTAACTATGGCTACACTGTCACACAATAGCGTCTATATGCACAGCTTCGACATTCGCATTACAAACTATTTTCACAAAGCAGAGTATACTATGTTTACTTGTGTGTGTAAAGCTATTGCTATTGCGTTCAGTAAGGTGACGGGACGTACACTCGAATGGCGATCGGTGGTAAATTCGGTTTTGTGGGAAATGGTTTAAATTAGAGCAGATATTTTGATAAAAACTAAACATATTCCACGTTCTGTGTAAATTGGACTAGTATATATTGATACTTACAGTGTAAGAATTATGAAATAGAGGAAGACTCAGAAACTTAGAGCTTTACATCGGTTAGCTGCAGTGATTTTCACTATTCTTTTCTTGATGCATTAGTGCATTGGAATATAGTTTTGATTGTGACTATTTGTTATGTTATTACTTGGATGTTTTAAAAATGGTTAGTGTTATTGCTAGTCATAACCTCAACCCTGAGGCTTGATACGTCGAAGTATTCTGTGTCGACCCGTGCGAGGTGTTGCGCTCTATATAAAACTATCTGTTATATATGATTCAACGGGAGTACCCAATGAACAACGGGTTTAGTACAGGAGAAGAAGATTCTAGAGGTAATTCCGATCAAATATGTTGCCTAGTGGATGACAGTGATCGATGTAGGCGACCCGCTGGCAATGCATCTTACGGTAAACGCATACAGAGAAATGTTAAGAGGCTCAAACTCAATATCGACTCTCAGGTTAGTGATACAATCATAATTTCTTATAATTTATTGTTCTTAATTAAATCAAATTTTACATTTATGTTTCGCTTACTTATATCCAGGCTAGACATACATATATCTGTGATCACCATAAAAAAATGATACAAGATGCAAGAGCAAAACAAAGGAGGCCCAAGGATTCTGAAGATGATAGTAATGAGGTGGAGATGGAAGCGCCAGAAGTGGACTGGTTTCAATTGCAAGTAAATACTCTTAGGCGGTACAAAAGACATTACAAGGTGCCCACGAGGCCAGGACTGAACAAGGCTCAACTAGTCGAAGTAAGAATATTTTTATACTACACTTAAATTAATGAAAACAATTATTTATTTATGATAAGGTTTAGTCACATAATAACCACTGTAATCAATTTAATATTTGTACCTCATAATAATAATAATTTTATATCTTTCAGGCTGTCCAAAAACACTTCAAGACATTGCCAGTTGATGAAAAGGAGATTGTCACTTACTTTATATATATGGTGAAAACTAAAGGGAATAAGTTAGATCAGAAAAATGGCATGAACTTAGACTCACTTTAGTGCTATGTAAATATTTGTTTAATTTTTAATATTTAGTACATAGATTATTTCTCTTCTTGAATTTACAATCAATTATAAGGTTGAAATCTGTTGATGTTAATGAAAATGAGCAATGTTATTAAATAATAATTTATATACCATATTTGTGATTTGAACAATAACTCACAGATGGCAATCAGTAGTAATGTAGAAATGAATTATAATAACATGTTGCCTTATACTCTTGAGTTGTGTAACACTCAGCAAAATTGTAAAATTATTATATAAAACAATGAAGTCTTGTATCCACTATTTATTTCATGTATTTAAGTATTGAACGTGATTGTTAATTGACAAGGGAAATGCAATGCTACTATTTCTAAGTAGATGTAAGAGAGATTTAATACAATAAAGTGTAGTTTATTACATTTTATTCAATAAACTTGTGTTTCATTTAATCTTCTTCAGATTCGGATGATATTTCTATCCATGAAGATTTAGCTTCCTTTGACTTAATTTCAGCTACATTTGTCTTTGTTGCTACAACTGAAAAAAAAAGGATTAAAATTTTGTACATAACAATCAATGTAAAAACTGTTATTTTATTATTGTTTAAATTAAAAATAATATTTCATAATCAATGAACCTCATTTTCTCTTAATGCATAGATGTTATATACATATATGTGGTATTTAGTAGTGAACACATTTTCAAATAACTCACCATCATATTTACTATCTTCTGTTATATTGTCCTCTGACATCTCTGAATCGTCTTCTCGTTTCACATCATTGATCTTGAAATTCTTAAGACAAATACTAAGATCCTTCTTACAAAGTGTCTGTATGTGATCTGTTGTAATTATATCGGCGAAATTGATCTTAACACGCTTTTGCCTAAAAAAAATAATATTTAGAATGTCTAGAATTATGATAATATCTGGATTGTTTTGTTTACTTCTACTGGATTAAAATAAAGACAGCAAAATATAAGCCTTGAAATGTTAAGACACTGAAAGTATTCAATTCAGATGCTTGCAATTAGAATAATTTGATCAAATTATTTAGAACAAAGAAAAATAAAAAAATTATAACAACTGTTATTTAAATCCTACTGCTGCATATTGATAGGCAGATTTTATTTATATAGTTTCATTTTAGAATTAAAACTACACATCACAGCACATCTAATTGTCTTACCTTAAATTATCATCAGTTACAATTTTACTCTTAACCTCTTCAACAATATTCTTACACCTATCAGATGCATTAAGTATGGCTTTATGCACAACATTTGAATTATATATAGCTGCACCAGACAAATTCAATACACACAATTCCTTATATTGATTCATTCCAACAACGAGCAATCCTCCTGTACTGCCTTCCTCAGAGTTACTTGTGCACACTGATTCTTCTATAAAACTAGGGTCTGATACGAGAATACTGTAGGAATTGAAGATTTTTAGTTATTTAAAAATTCTGTATATACAGTTCAGCTTATAGAAATACTTACTTATTGCTAAATATAGCAAAAGTTACACAAACAGGGTAGTGAAATAAGACAGTAGGTATGGGATCCTTTTCAGATAATGTGTGAATTATGACACTATCTCCACTACGAGTTACATCAGGTCTTTTAAAATGTGCCAATGACGCTAGCGTAGCGATGCTAGCACATTCAATTAAGTTTCCATCATGATTTAAAACTTTTATATCCACTCTTAATGACCACACCTACAAAATAAACTTTTGTTCTAACATAATGTGTGACCAAAAAACAAAATATACCATATAATTTTCTTAAAAATATATAACCTTCTCTTCTACAACAATGCATAGAGATTCTAAATCTATACATTTAGAGTCTTTGTAGCATTTCTCCAAAAGTCTGTTAAGGTAAACTGTGAGATCTGTCTGTCTGTTGGCCTCAAACTGTGGCGCAGCCATGGGACTTATTTCAACATTAATAAAAAGAATGCCTTCATTGGGCCTTATTTGCTTAGGCTGAACTACTTCACATGATACTTGAGCTAATATCCTGTAAAACAAGAAAAGAGTAGTAGAGTAGTAGAATTTTTTGTAGTAGTTTAAGAGTAAAATAATATATACTGTTTTACTATTGAGCACTAGTGAACTTACTTAGTTTCTCCTAATGAAACAATACAACTGCCATATTCTGAACCATATGATATATCTAATTTTCGGCTCTCATTGTAAATTCTGCCATCTAATCGCTAGAATCATATATTGTTTGATAATAATAATGCACGATGTTTTCTCAATCTTTTCTAACGATAATCTACTTACATGCCCTTCCGAAATAATTTTTTGAATAAAATTCTTTTCACAATTTGATAAATAAAGATCCCTCATTATTATCTCTTAAAGTATCATTATTGATTAAAAATTGCGTAAAGAAAATGCGTTGAGGTTATAACTCATACACTATTATGTTGACGCTTCTAATGACATTTATTTTTTATTATAAAGATAAAACATAATTTATGTATCATATAAAAACATTTTTTTAAAGTGTAATATTAACATCATTTAATAAAACATAACTGAGAATTTTTCCATATCAGTAAATGGTTTGGAAATAATAAAATCTTACTTAATATTTCACTCTTTTCTTTAACTGATATGGCAGATCTACGGGAGGTAAACGGTAGTAGTAATAGTTTTCCTCAACCTCTTTCCTCCATAGCCTCTATCGTAATTCCATATTCCAGAACAATAAATTTAAAAAAATTGCACCTTTAAAAATAACTTTTAAAAGTCAAACCATAATAACTTATATGACATATTGAAACATGTATGTATCGTTTCCTTATTTATTTAAATATGGAAATCATTTAAGTTTTTTGTAAGAAATTACTTTTTTAAGCTGCTCCTGCTCAGCGACATGAAATAATTTATGGAATATTATTAGAAATAACACCAGAAATCGAATACGAAAATAGGTGTTATTTGATAAGGACCTAAAAATTACCAAGAAGAACTTTATATTGTCATGTTTTGGAAGATTTTTTATTGGTCCATTGTTGGATTTTCATTTGGATTATTCGTGAAAATATAAGAATGTAAATATCATCATACTGATTTCTTTAACAACTTTTAAAGAGATGTAACTAAATGCATGAAAAGGACACAATAATCAAAATTTAAAACAAATATTCAGATTTTTTTTCAGCAAACTGAACCCTAAATATATTTCAATATGACCTTTCATTCCCACCCTGTTTGTATAGATAATGAGGACAGCCATAAGCAAACATTTTTTATGACTTACGGTATTACCATTAGTTGTATGACAATTTACATAAGAAATACTGCTGCAATAAAATATATAGTGGATACGACTTTTTAAAATATTATTTCTCAGAATCTTATGAGTCGCTATTTTATTTTAAAAACGCTCAAGAAAATTGCAATTGATTTATTGTTACGAATTTAAAGATTTATATTTAAAGATATTTTGGAAAAAATACTAATATATATTAGGTAAATGATATATATATTCTTGCTAAGCAATGTAGACTTGTATATTCAAAACATTTCAAAAAACATATTAAGAAGAGGAAAATTTCGACTTTAAATAAATACATACGTATACATTAATATTAATTAATACAAAAATCATAAAATAATTTAATTCTTACACAAGACTTCCTGTGTGTAAAGAAAATATATTTTTTATATATACTTACTTGTATCTTCTTATTAGTTAAGAATTTCGATTTTTGACTGTAAGGTAACGTATGGCCTCGTATCATGTAAATAAAATATGGTTATTACGTATGACATTACAAACATGGCTCATTTTTATCACAAATGGGGTTATAATATCAAACGATATAATACATCAAAGCAACCATCATTTTACCGGATTATTAAATAAAACTAATTATAGATGATTACCGCAACAGTGTTATGTATTATTACGTGTTACCAGTAAGGCCAGCCCTGATTTATTATACCTATGTAGGTACCTACTTAACAAACAGCAGAACAGTATTGTTAGTTCGTCTCTATCTATATGCTGAATGGACGTCGCATGACAAACATGCAATGGCGGGGCTTGAACTTATTTTTTCAACAATTTGTAACGCTACCTTCTGTGATGTTTTATACGACAAATCCCCTATAGGTTGTTAAATTTTTAACATTAAGTTTATTAATTATTAAATTATTGTGTCGGATATTTTAATTTCTGGTTTTGAAACCTAATTTAATCTAAACAGTAATGACATAGTCAGAATTAGATTTAAAAGTGACGTTTAATTTTTTAATTACATGTCTATACCCTTTTGTTTCGTTATCCAGCTCCAGTTAATTTAGCTAAACAAAATGAATTACTGGCGTTGAAAAATGAAGTAAATGGAAAACATCTTAAGATTGGAACGTACAATGTAAGTTTAAGAAAAAATATTAGTAAGAAGTTATTATTTTTTTTATAGTATAAATGTTAATATAATTAATTTGCCTTCAGAACTACCCCATGAGTTGGACTGAAAGATTAGAAAATGGTACTCTGGTTGGTCGTGGTGTTGCCTTCGTGATAGTTGACATTCTTCGGGAAAAATTTAATTTTACTTATGAAGTCGTGACACCGAGAAAAAATTTTTTGTTAGGTGATCCCAGATCAGAGGACTCTTTGTTAGGGCTAGTCAATAGCAGTGTAAGTATCTTAATACTTCTATATTTTTACATACTTATTATATCATATCATAGAAGTTTAAACTTAAACTGAAAACAAAGACTGAAAAACGAGTTTATTATTAACCAAAAAGACGTAGTGTACGTGATCTAACAAGATGAGATATATATTTTGGAGAGGTCGTAGTAAAATAATCTTCTATACAGGGTGACTGGTGAATTACTATCAATATTTAAGGAGAATACTCGGTACATGATTCTCATTCGAATTATGTAAAAAAAAATAGGTACTTAAATTTTGATCAAATTTCCGTATAAATAAATAAAGTGTGGACTCGTTCCAAGTGTTCCAAGTGTGGACGCGTGCGGCGGCGTGCTGATACAACACCACGCCCCTGCGCGCGCGCGTGTGTGTGTGTGTATACCTAATCTGTAGGGTGTTCACACGATGCGTAATTAATTACATAACTTTTGGTTAACTTTACTTAGAAGTTTATTAATATTTATGTTTTATTAATTTTTATTTTGTCATATATGATCGTCAAATATCACGTCCTTAAATATTGATAGTAATTCACCAGTCACCCTGTATATATAAAAATGAATTGCTGTTCCTTAGTCTCGCTAAAACTCGAGAACGGCTGAACCGATTTGGCTAATTTTAGTCTTGAAATACTCCTGGAAGTCCAGGAGAAAATTGGAAAAATTGCCGGGAAAACCCTAAAAACAGCCCTTTTCCATTTCCCATACAAACGATTTTTTGACATTAGATTTGACAACTAATATGTCAATCATTCTGTTCGATTGAAACAGTAGAAATTTAATAAATACCAATACCGGGTTATTGAAGACGGAATAGAGTTTGCCCGGTCAGCTACACATATATTACTAATGACGAAATTAACGCGGACGAAGTCGCGGGCAAAAACTAGTTATAAAATAAACCTTCAAGCTAGATCTATAGGTTCATATTTTTTTAAATGTTTGACTTTGGAACCCGTTTGACTTGCAGCCTATTAGGTATATACCTTTATCGGGCATTCGTTTACCTTTAGCGGATCCGGTGACTGAGAAAAACGGTAGCAACTTGTGCCAAATTCTACTTATTAATTAAACTCAACTATTTATATATATTATTACATTTCAATTTCTGGCTTTTTGTCTAAATTTCACTTTGGACGTCGAGTTTTTTTTATATTAATAAAAATTACAAATTTACTTACAAATATGTACGATATTTTCTAGTTATATTTAAAATATGAATGAAGTATTAATATTTATTTGATTAGTAGTCTGATCAAATGTAAGCCCCACAAAAATATATGGTGACTTATGTGGTGTCTAGAATTTCAAGCCATTATTATTTTTTAAGTCAGTGGTGGCCTAGTGGTTAAGGGGCTCGCCTCTCGTTGCCGAGGGCGCGGGTTCAAACCTGGCAAGTACCAATGTGATTTTTCGGAGTCATAAGTACTTTCTGAGAGTATTTAGACATCACTGACATACGGTGAAGGAAAACATCGTGAGGAAACCTGTACTTATAGTTTCACAATTATAAGTTTGAAATCACCAACCCGTCTTGAGCAAGCGTGGTGATTAATGCTCAAACCTTCTCCTTGCGGGAAAGAGGCCTTTGCTCAGCAGTGGGCGTCGAACAGGCTGATGAGATGAGAGATGATTATTTTTTAAATTTTTTTAACTAGAAAATCGATATGGCGGCAGCTTTTTTCCCAATGATGTTAAAGTACAGAGAGATAGTGACGTACTCTGACTATCTGGACGAGGGGGTGTGGATGATGATGTTGAAACGGCCGAAGGAATCAGCGGCGGGATCTGGACTCCTAGCGCCATTTGATACTTACGTGTGGTGTGTAGTATCTTCCTTCAAATCAATCACGCATATACATGTTGTTTTAATCATGTGAAAATTTACATAGAGAACATGAAACCAAGTTTCATAGCTATAAGTCTTCTTCTTATTCATGTCAATTATCAAGCTTTAGTCAGGGTCTGCCTTCCTGCTCAAACTCCTCCACTTTGTCATAGCTATAAGTATGCAAGGAAATCTAAGGCCCCATTATATTAAAATTAAACATTTCTTTGAAGTACTCGAATAAAGTCATATAGGTACATAGAGATTAGGAAATTAATTCTTATAAAGTTTAAGACTTTAAAGCCAATGAGGGGCTGTGGGTAACAGGTGATAAATAATAAATTGTTTTACTGCGAAAGTACTTTATGGCTTATAAGGAAGGTACAACACTTGTGATGCTATTAAATAAAATATAACCATAAAGCTTAACTTCTAGAATGGCTATGCACGAAAATTAAAACCTTTAGGTATATTTTTGATTGTTTGCTCTAGGTATTTGATTCTCGCTGCAGTTCTAACGTACGGTCCCTTCATAACTCTCATAACATGGATCCGATCAAAGTTAATTCAAAACGACGAAGGCTACATTTCTCTCTCACCGAGCACGTGGTTTGTATACGGAGCGTTCATTAAACAGGGAACTTCTTTGTCACCGGAGGCTAGTAAGTTGAATTTGTTAACAGAGAAATCCTTATTTATCATTTACTCTATACGTATTTTAATTCCCAAAACTATCTGTTGAAGCCTATTCTTTCTTTGGGAGACAGAATACTGGGATAATGCATGCTCTGACAAAATAATTTGTTAATTATTTTAATAAGTCGATATTTTGTAACTTATCTTTTTATTTAGTCTTGATTAATAAAAACTGCGTGAAACAATATGTTAAGACGAATGAAAGGTTTATATAAGACAATAAACCAAACAAACAAACATGAAAAGTATTAATGAGTAGCTGTGGAAATTATTTAAAGATATAAAAATTTAATATTAGAGAGTGCATATTGCACTAAAATATGTTTTAGCGTTTATAGCGTGAAATGTATGTAATTTAAGCTTTAAACGATGATTGTCAATCACATGGTGATATTATCGTTAATGGTGTTGTCGTTTATCACTCTCGCGTCACGAACTAAAACCGTAATTGCAATTTAGAAATTGGGCCATAACAATACACGAAAATGATTTTATTGACGTCCAAACTTATGTATAACGTTATTAATCACAAAAAGTACTTTTCTTTGTTTACATACAAGTTATAATAATAGGAGTAAAAGAAATAACTAACGTTTATGTCTTTTTCTGATTATGGTGTCTTTAAATAACTACCTAAAGATGCAATACCTACCTACTTAATACCGTCAATTTCGTATTATTAGGAGGAGTTTTAAGTTTCTTAAATACTCATCGAAACCAATTGTACGATTTTTTTCAAATGATATATTAGATATATGTATTAAAATGGAAATCGTCAGTATAAGCTGAGAATATAAACTCGTAGTACTAAGCTCCAATAATGTAATCCCGACAGGTGGATTGAATTATACTCTATGTCCTCTAATTTTTTCATTTCTATTTATACAGGGTGACTGGCGAATTACTATCGATACTTGAGGACGTGATATTTGACGACCATATATGACAAAATAAAAATTAATATAACATAAATATTAATAAACTTCTAAGTAAAGTTAACCAAAAGTTATCTTATTAATTACGCATCGTGTGAACACCCTACAGATTAGGTATACACACACACACACGCGCGCATTTGGCGGTGTGGTGTTGTATCAGCACGCCGCCGCACGCGTCCACACTTGGAACACTTGGAACGTGTCCACACTTTATTTATTTATACGGAAATTTTGTCAAAAATTAAGTACCTATTTTTTTTACATAATTCGAATGAGAATCATGTACCGAGTATTCTCCTTAAATATTGATAGTAATTCACCAGTCACCCTGTATATTGGAACTTCCCAACTTGACCTTTATTTTACACTAAGTCTGAATCATCACTGTACATAAAAGACATAAGATGCTATTCATTAATAAATGGTTAGTACTAATACTTACAGGCTATGAGTGAAAAGGAAAATGCTTTGGATGTAGTGTAACGATGCAAAATTGTGCGTAGCAGTTGAGTTTAATTGTTATTTCAGATACTACGCGAATTTCCTTCGCCACCTGGTGGTTGTTTGTGATGTTACTATCAGCTTTCTACACAGCGAACCTGACAGCATTTCTTACTTTGTCGAAATTTACTCTGGATATTGAGAATCCTATAGATTTATATAAGAAGAACTACAGATGGGTCACTTCAGAAGGCGGAGTCGTACAATATACTATTAAAAATGTATAATAAAATTGTAATGAAATAATTTTTATTTAAAAATGGTATTTTATTTTGTGTTCCTTCTTTTAGCCGGAGGAAGATCTGCATTACTTAAATAAAATGATTCTCAATAAGCGAGCTCAGGTTCGTTCGGTGAGCGATAATAAAGAGTTCCTGCCGATGGTGTCAGGCGGCGCTGTGTTGGTCAAAGAACAGACGGCTGTCGATGAGCTCATGTACAGCGATTACTTGAGCAAGACCAGGAAAGGAGTTCCAGAAAACCAGAGGTGCACGTACGTCATGGCACCGTATCCGTTCATGAAGAAACAAAGAGCATTCGCCTACCCCAAGAACAATACGTTAAATATATTGTTTAGTACAGTGTAAGTAAAAAAATTGTTACGATTAATTCGTATTAACTATACGGCATCAATTAAAATTTGATATTTAACATTACATTTTCTTTGTATTATCTTTTGTGAGGCATTTTGAGTTGTTAATTATTCAATTAGTACTAATGTGTTTATTTTCCTGGAGATAGACTCAAGTATTTACTCCAGTCCGGTGTAGTGGATCATCTGGAACGGCGCGACCTTCCCAGCACGAGGATCTGTCCCCTGGACCTTCAGTCCAAAGACAGACAGCTTCGTAACGCTGACCTCATGATGACGTACTTTATAATCATCACGGGACTAGCGATAGCATCTGTGGCTTTTGTTTCAGAGGTGACCAATTAATTTTATTCGATAAAATTATTCAGTCCACTGATAGATGTATTACTATAGGATTAATTAATGAAGAAGTTTTATGGATTTAAATTATAAAAAAAATACAGCTTTGAAAATTATTTGATAGTGACTTATGAATATATATATTACATATTATATTTCTTTAGGTATTTAACAAAAGATATTTTTATTGAATTTATATAAAAATAAAATTAAGTTACTTTTGTTCATTTCAGTTAATCTTTACACGATATTATAAAGGAAAAGTTGAAAATATGACGCAGAAGACCAAAATAGGTAAAGTCTCGAAAATTTTGAAGGAAGACGATGGCCGGCCGCCTCCTTACGACTCGCTTTTTGGCAAATCAAGATACAAAATAAACGAAAATTTGGTTAAAAGAATTATAAACGGCCGAGAATATTATGTTGTACATAATAAGAATGGAGACACTAGGTTGATCCCTGTACGATCAACTTCGGCTTTGCTTTATACATAATTACTAAAAGATATTAAATAAATAAATTTAACAAATAACCTTAAAATGCTATAGTGCGTTTGATTTAAGCTGAGCTTTGCATTTGTGTGAGTGCACACGGATAGTATAGGTGTGATGTCAAATTTTTGAATGCCAAGTTCTTTTCTAGTTTTGAACCGGTTTATACTGCTTTTACTCCGCCCCGCACCTTCCTTACTTCATCCTTTGTACTGGTAGCAGCGTCAAATGTTGAAAATGCAATGTCAACTGAAGAAGAATTTGTATTGTTTTTTCAAAATTTTTATTATTAATTAATTTTATTTCCATAATATTTCCATCTGAACTTTTAAAAGCTTCGCTTATTTTATTTTTAATCTAGAATAGCTCTAGCATTTATGTTATGTATCTATTTAAAATATAATAAAATTGAATTCTAAATGTTTTTTGTCTAACTCTACTTTTACTTTCACTCACACCAATGCAAAGCTCAGCTTAAGTCTAACGGACTATACGTATTATAATAAAAAAGGTTAGGAACAATATTAGGTATAATGTAAGATCTCTTGGGCAGTGTTGCCGTAATAAACGATTCCAGAAAATGATAGTTGTTAAACACGATCCTCTTAACATTTTTAACCCTAGATGTATTTACCACCTTTTTATATTATAAATAATATAAACAACACTCTCTTGTGTTACGTACGTGCTACATATTATGAAGAAAAAAATGAACATCTCCGAGACGACATCTTTGTATCGGTAAAATATCATATATCGAGTGACGCTGCTGACTCCGCGGAACGAACACAAAGCCGTCTGAATAAGAAGATTCCTTACACCATACAAGCAATAGAATGTTATTATCATCCTAACATCGAGGATATCATGTAGTCTTAGGTATAGGTTACAAGTTTTAACACGTAATTTTTATGTTATTATACATATAAATATGTCTCGTAGTTTTCCTGGAACCTCCGGTTGCCACCCTATATAATTCATGTCATGCAGTAAACAATTTGTTGACATAAACTGTATTCAAACATGGGATTTCTGAGATATAATACTGCAACAATGTGATCAATTTAATGTAAGGTTTAAAGTAGAAATTAATAGTGGAATATAAATAAGGAATTATAGCGTGATTACATTTTATTAAATATACCACAAATCTGAAAAATAAAAACGAAAAATTCAAATCGCAAATTTTTATTAACCGTGAAAAATACATTTCCACAATTCACTAACATACGAACCAAGATTAACAATTTTCAATAATAGTTTAGATTTCACTATAAATAGGTATTAATTCTTAGTAGCAGTAATTAATAGCTGAAATAAAATTAATACCGCGCCCGGACACAAACAAACATGTTAATATATTGAGCACTGATAATTAAATACTATATTTTTTTATAATATTAACTTACATTTTTAAATTCTAATTAGCTATTAAATTCATATATTTTTTTATATTATTTTAAACTAATGAGTGAAGGCAAAAATGAAAGCCTTTCACAGCCGTAACTGAAAAGTTAATTTGCTAGTTACTTTGCAAGCCTCTGTGTACTAGCTTCTATTGTAATATCTTTGAAATGTCGTTAAAATTTGTGTTTAAATACTAGTAAGTGACTTGAATGAAAAGTTTTGTCCATGTGCGTTCTTTTAGATTATGGATTTGTCGTTATACCGATTCTAATAAAGAATCCAATTGCGCATTAATTTTATTTAAATATTTTATAATTATTGCATACTTAAGTTAGTTATATCTAATACATGAAAATGTCGTGATTTTTGCAAGCCTTATTTTTGGACGAAAAAATATTTTTCACTACATTTTTAAATAATCTGAATTTTATATTAAATATATTTAACCGAAGCTGCAAGGATCGAAAGGTTAAAAAAAACAGTTAAAACTAACAGCACATAGATACAGAAATTAGTAAAATAATACAACATATACATTAAGTTAATTTAGGAAGTCTTAATTTAATTAAAATTATGCCATTTAAATCTATTTTTAGTAGATTTATATAAACAATGTTTTTAGTAAATAAATAATAATAATAAAACATTTTGTTTTCACGATCGATATTTATAATGACAGTTTTTGTTATAACGCATTAAAATATAGATTTCACTTACTGAAATGTCAGTTGAAACCAGCTCAAATATAAAGCTAAGTTTTCGACGATAACTTTTGGACGAACTGCACATAATTTTTGATACACTATCTACTGTTACCCGTACATCTAACTTCCGCTAAAACGCAACTAAACGAAGATACTTAAATTATCACATTCTTTTAAGTATATTTTATTAAATGATGTTGTGAATGAAATCAATGTAGTTTAAATCGCTTCATGATATTGAAATTCGTAAATTGGACTTATGTGTATATATCATAAGATAAAAACGAGCAATTATCGAATCTGTGCTCAAAAAAACAGTAAATCTCACATCGTAAACTGTTAATGTTTGTAAATTGTAATATATCGGTGCTAGTAAATAAAGGCGGTGTAACTCTATACTGACCTGACTTATATATTATTTATTGCTTTGCTATCAAAAGGTAGTTTGTTTTATGATCACACGATTATACTTAAATTAATTATTGATAACTATAATAGGTATATGTTGTATAAAATACGATAAAGTTATTGGCGCTAAATGCTATAATTATGTTTATGCAAAGAACACGCTGTATAAAAATTACAACTAAAAAATGTAACGAAAGAAACATCCCTTCCGTTCACGTTATCTTACTACAGATTTACACTAAACCGATAGTGTATAGTAATTTAATACAGTAGGACCCCGATTATCCGGACCTCGGTTATCCGAATTCGCGATTATCCGGACTGCCAATCGCGACGAGTTTATTCTAACACTTGCTGTGCCCGCGACTTCGTTCGCGTGGAATAGTGACTATGAGCAGCATTTTTTTTTAAATATATACTTATTTTTATTTTGGATCATAATCACAGTCATTTTGGGTAGCTAAAAAACCTACTTTACTGTAATGCTTCTCTATATACAATATTAGACGTATGGCCATCGGGGGTGAAAGCATACAGGCTGCTGGGATTGCTAACACGGGACAGAGCCACATACAATTGACACACCCGGTCGAATATTGAACGCAGTTCTTCAGTTCTTTAATTTGACATATCTTTTTTATTTATGAACCGATTGACATGAAACAAATACTAAAGCATAACTGAAGCATACCACAATATATTCGTGAAAACCGAATCCAACTCGGATCAGCCGTTTCTTAGATTAGCGTGAACAGACAAACAGACAAAAAAAAAGTTAATTACATTTTTGGGTTCGACATCGACATAACAATAATCCCTGTTATTTTTTTTATTTTTATTTTCAATGTACAGACAGCACTTTTCTACAATTTTATTATTGTATGTATAGATTAACATGTCAGAACTTGCATAACGCCACGCCACTTATCACACTTATACGTAAATTATGTACAATTTCTTCCTAAACGTTGATTTTCGCTCATATGTATTTGTTGTTTTAAATAAACACCTAACATTACATATGTATGGTACAGACTACATATGTACATATGCAAAAAGCCCGTTTTTCTTCATATATTGGATTATCCGGACTTTCACTTATCCGGATGCCTACCGACAACAATTAGTCCGGATAATCGAGGTCCTACTGTACTTTGATAGTATAATTTTCGGACATTTATGAATGAAGTTTGTGGTGAAGGCACAGTAAATTTACTATAAAATTAATTAGTCAAATTCAATACGGAGCACTTTCAAGTTTAAATTCTTAAAATGAAATGTGGTATAGTGAGTTTGATTTAAGCTGGCCTTTGCATTTGTGTGAGTGCACACGGATAGTGTAGGTGTGATGTCAAATTTTTGAATGCCACGTTCTTTTCTAGTTTTGAACCGGTTTATACTGCTTTTACTCAACCCCACACCCTCCTTACTTCACCCTTTGTACTGATAGCAGCGTCAAATGTTGAAAACGCAATGTCAAGTGAAGAAAATGTTGTATTGTTTTTTTTTTAACATTTTTATTACTTAATATTTTTTTCCATAATATTCCCATTTGACCTTTTACAAGTTTTGCTTATTTTATTTTAAATATATATAGAATAGCTCTCGCACTTATGTTATGTTATCTATTTCAAATATAATAAAATTGAATTCTGAAAGTTTTTTTGTCTTACTCTACTGTTCCTTTCACTCACCCAAATACAAAGCTCAGCTTAAGTCTAACAAACTATATTAGCTATTGTTTATTAACGTATATACTAACGATACTGGTGTTCTATATGAATATTTTTAATTTACACTAATATATACTAATGTACAGCTATAACTATAAGAAATCATTTCAACACACTAACGTGCTTTTTCCTATTAGTTATATCTTCGTACTTATCTTTGAAAGGGAAATTAATATTAAATTCATGATCGTACACTGTGAGGACAGTGCTTTATACATTGCGTCAAAATAGACAACGCATTTACGTCCTATTATAGCGTAGGTGTAGCATCAATACTACAATTCTCATTACTCCCGTATAAACTTTGATATTTAAAAAAATCGATAATAATTCTATATATTCTCGTCTAATATTTCAAAGATCGGATTTCATTCAGAAAACCGACACGAGTTGTATTGTTGTTGTACTTTGAGATTAATTTATTATAATTGCGATGATCTACTCAATATAAATAGTATATTGTTGCAGTTAATACTTGATTATTTTTACTCAATAAGAAGAGTTCAAACTCAAATTCAATAAGGAGAGTTTAAAGTTTTATGAACGACAATCTGGCGACTCCACGAATTTAGTCTAACGATGTAGACTTGTGTTTAGAGTGATAATTATTTTTATTATTAATTGCTTCTGATATTAATTGCTTTGATGATAATTTAACTTACAACATTAATCTTTTATTTTATAACTAGCAACCCTGACACGATTGTCTTGAAGACTTTAACAGCGGCAGTCGCCGTCCGATTGTTTATCAGATAAGGCGTTTTCAACAATCTCTTTATATAAATCGTGAAAGCTTACACTAACAACACATCCGCTTACGAGCACACGAACATTTCACCGTATTACCATTTGAACCGTCACAAAACAAAGCTATATTTATTTGGTTGTAACAAAATTTATCATTAATTTAATTAATGTAACTGATTAAAAATGAAATTAATTTAATGTCGTGAATTTTTTAAAATATTAATTGTTTCGACCGCCAAACATTAAGCGGCTATCCGTCAAGCTGTCAATCGTCCTTCTAGCATCGGGAAAGGCAACAGTGATCTGGAATGTAATAAAATGGAGTTAAATCGTGTTAACGATTAATAACATTAATATAATATTTTTCATAAATATAATATAATTAATACGCAAGTTAATTCCTTGTTAACTTTGCAATGCATTATTATCCTTGTTAACATTGCAATTGCAAAAAAATATACAGGGTGACTGGTGAATTACTATCAATATTTAAGGAGCATACTCGGTACATGATTCTCATTCGAATTATGTAAAAAAAAATAGGTACTTAATTTTTAACCAAATTTCCGTATAAATAAATAAAGTGTGTACAAGTTCCAAGTGTTCCAAGTGTGGACGCGTGCGGCGGCGTGCTGATACAACAACACGCCGCCGCGCGCGAGTGTGTGTGTGTGTGTACACCTAATCTGTAGGGTGTTCATACGATGCGTAATTAATTACATAACTTTTGGTTAACTTTACTTAGAAGTTTATTAATATTTATGTTATATTAATTTTTATTTTGTCATATATGATCGTCAAATATCACGTCCTCAAATATCGATAGTAATTCACCAGTCACCCTGTATATGTCAGATAAGCATGTAGGTAGTGTTGCGTGTTGAAAAAAAATGTGTATTAATTGCAACAAAATATAATGTATGAAGTCATTTTCTTTTGATATTTTTTTATCTTGATATAATGAGGAAGCTTTTTTACAACCTACCCGCATTCCAAAGCGTCAAGATTCCTAGCGGTGGGATTTCCGGAGCTATCGAGGTCAGAGTTCAAAGGCTCTGCTCGCGACCCCATGTTTCTTTGACGACATAAATAGGGGGTGCTCTGTTTCTGAAATTAAAGAAAAAAATCATAAAAAAAAACACAAACATAATTTACTTTCAGTAACTATCGTGATATAATGATATATTGGAATCTATATGCTACTTTTCAACTATTAAAGTTACAATGAAACCATCTATATACATTTGTAGATCAAACACTTACAGCATTAAGAATATACTTCAACGTCTCGATATAATATTCTTAACCATAATGTCAATCCAGTTACAGAACTTAATATAAAAATCCACTTATATCGGAAATTGCTTTTAAAGGGCAAATGTAAATCGAATCGTTAATATTTTATATATGTACATCCTAACCACGGTTTACCAAAGCTAAACTCTTCCTTGTATTTATTCACATACCCAAATAACAGTAAAATGTGGAGCTTAATGATTGGAAACTTGAAACTACTTGTGTTTTACTTTGGCGGTGAAAAATTTCATAGTAAGATCAGTATTTAAGCCTTTTTTATTATTAATATAATAACACAGATAAAATATACTTATATACTCTATGAATATTAGTGACAAAATTCAAATTTTACCGACATTAGTAATTTAGTCTTACTTAGAAAGAATAGGGTTCAAATTTCATTGTGTTCTAAAATCAGATTTTTCAAGTACGTCCCAATCACCTTTTATCATTGTGATATGATATCTAGATAACTGTTATATTTTAATATCAATAAATAAGTTTTCTTTAAACAATGTACACGTTTTATGGATTTCAATAATAAAATCTATATTTAAATACTATGGTTTAGTTCGCACTGGAATGGTTGAAAACATTCATTTGTATGTTAATAAGAAATGAAAGCTTAATGTCAATAGGTCGGTTTTTTTTTTCAATTTCCACCTTTTTACTATATTTTATTTTGTGCCAGTAATAAATTATTAACGGAATTTAATTTATATTCTGATATAATATGGACGATGAAAATTTATATTAAAATGATATTTCGTGAACAGAAAATTATTTACTTCATTAATTTTTAGGTTCAATATTTTTTTATTTACAAAAAATCATAAGTGTTTAAAAATTAAAAGCCTTTATTCTGTGATCATTAGTATTAAGTTTTTAATATAATAATAATACATATATAAAATATAATAATGTTATATATCTTTACATTTGCATGCAATGATTTTATTAAAGGGCAACTAATATCTATCTGTATATCGAATTACTTTAAACTAGATTTTTTTACTAAATATATTTAACTCTTTTTAGTCACTTGGGTTTTCAAGCAAAACAGTTTTATTCATAATACTTTTGAACTTTATATTAATATTAAATGTTTTTTTTTATTTGGCTGAATGTAATGGGATCTTGGTGACGAACAAGACTAATTGAGACATTTAATGACAGATGACTAATACTGTGATTAAATAAAGGCCGGTATTAAAATTTTACTATTTTTAATATTATATATTTTTTGTACATTATAAACAAACATATTTTGGCATACTGAGGTAATAAAACAGTCACTTACAACGTTAATACTATTTAACAATTTCATAACATACAAAACGATCACATTTCCGTAATACAAAAATAACAATATTTTTACTAAATTTAATTCCCCCCCTACACAGACCCAGGCATTTAAATATTTATAAACATATATACAGTATAGTAAAACAATCAAAAAAGGCCACATTATATTAGATTTTTTTTTGATTTTGGCAGCCACGTCTGAAGGGTCCAATAGTCTATGATTTCACGTTAAAATCTTCAAAAAGTCCTTGCCGCGGGTAGTAGGTTTGATGCTCGCGTTCGATCGCATCTCCTTGAAAAATATTACCGTACCCTTATCGTTTCTAAACTGAAAAACTGCAATTAAAAAAAAAGCTCTAGACCAAAGCATAAGCTACAAAAAAACTTCTCAATTTATGGAATTGAAAAAAAAGTTGTATTTGATTAGAATAGTTTTTAAAATAAAAATTATGTATTAATAATTCATCTTTATATACATATATGTCTATTGAATAGATATTTGGTAGTAATTCATTGATATAAGTATTCATATTACGTGTAATTAAAAAATCTACACAGTTTTGTGAAAAAAATATTCAGAACATAAATATTTTTATTGGTTTTTATGACATTCTGATGGTGACGTCTTTGTTTTAATTGGCTCAGTATTTTTATGACATTATATATTTTTAACTTACGTGACTTACGTGAAATTATCTGTATTTACAACGTACATATAGTGCAAATTATCGTGTATACATATATATGTTAGTGTTATTTTTGCATATTTTTATACATATATAGAGTTTTTTAAGGTAAGTGGTTAAAATAGAAAAGATTTTGCATTAACAGAGATTAGTAAACAATAAGTTAGTTTCAATTTCATTCATCATTTTCCTCACCTAGGTCTCGCTGTATCTACATCTGGACCCCATTGATTCTAAAAATTCAATTAAATCATTAGTGTTTATACACGTTCTTGATAAAATAAAAATCCCGTTAAATATAACATGAAGTAGAGGTATATGAAATATATCTCTTTTAAAACAAAATCTTTTAATTGTTCTTATGTATATGTTTGTAAAATAAAACTGATAGTGGTAGATTTAAAAGGTATGTAAAAATGTGTATTCAATAAATTACTTTTTATCGAAATTCGATGCCAAGCATCATAGATCTATAGCTACCTCAGGTCTCTTTACTCCATTCCCTAGGTGTGTATGTTCTTAAATATACATATGTATTTGTCTCTATGATTTTTTTGAGATTATTCATGCTTGTTTTCGCACAACATACTCCAAGCAGAATGTCTATATGATAATGTTTTATTTATAATATGCGTGTGTGTATGTGTGTTTGTTCTACATACCTCCTGATGTGGTCCACAGCACGTGGCGTTGTGACAGAGGTCGTTGGGGGGACAATGTAAAGCACACGGAGCCTCCGCTGAAGCACCGCTAGTGATCTGACATACGAAAACAACGTTAATACAATACTTACAAAGCCAAAAACAATTATTATAAGTTACCAATATATATGAAATATAGTTAATTAGGGCTAATTATATACACATATAATGGCAGTAATGATAGATAAGGAAATAGGTAAGAAATCTCTAATTTAATTCAGAAAATGTACATACGCACCTAGATACAAGTTATAGCTGTAAATATGTGACGTCACCGAACGTATAGCAACTGGTATAACATAATATAATAAATTATCTTGACCCTTAAGATATCCTTTGATATAATTGTTTCTATGTAATATTTATAAACTCGGCTGTTTCCATGTACACTTATAATCTTTGTTTTATTTTCCTTGAATTTTTGTGTTAATTTCTTGACAAAGGAGGCATTATCTATAATACTATTATTTCATACAACATTACCTCGTTTCCATCCAACGGCAGTTCCACAAACTCTGGCTGTATAGTAGTAGAATGTATGCCCTCGTTGTGGAAAAACTCCTTTACTTTCTCAGCTATCTTCATGTACTCCGACAGATTCCTACACCTATAACAAAATAACATTATTAATTGATTAATGTAATCAAACTTACAATTACATAATTTTTATATATTTTATTTACAAAGAACATTTAAAGCTTGTTTTTTTCTGAAAGAATTAACTGATAGCGCCATCTATCCTTTGCAGCGTGTCTTCTAACCAAACTATGTATTAGAACGTGAGCTCTCTCGAAAAACAATATTACGGTATAAATTACATTTCATACTGGTTCTGATGTATGAGCTATATTATTGTAAAATTTTATCAAATTGCTTAAAATAGTTTTGGTATGGAAATAATTTTTTTAGTTTACATTAAGAATATAATTTTTTTTAGTTGATTAGTAAATTCTATGTAACGCTAGGTATAAAACTAAGTTTAAATTAAAACACAATAGAATTGACTATTTGGTCCAGTTTTGCTTGTTTTGGTCTTAAAGCATACAAAAAAGTTGATTACGAGAGTTAGTTAACTTGAGTTAGTTAACTCATTGTATAATATTCGTTTGTTTATCGTGATAATAGTTTCAAATGATAACTTTCATGTGAAAGAGCCGAGATAAGGGAATTACGGACATTTACGTTGTATTTTGTCCTGTCACTGTGACATTTTATAGAACTTTTATCAATAATATTAATTATTATCAAATAACTTTATTCATTTAATTACTGACATGGATTTTATGTTAAATTCTTCATACTTTTAAAACTGAAATTAATATTTTATATAAACATTTTGTCGAGCAATTCCATTGACAAATTAAATTTCATTCTTCGATGAAAATATTCACAATGGGATCAATTTGTATTGTTCAAAATTGCTATTGAATAGAAGTATTTTATATTCGTTATGAAGAGGCTTCCTCATTATATCGAGCTATACATATAAATAGAGAATGGCACGTTTTGTTATATTTTTAGTTCGAAATATTTGACCTAAAAAGTGAATACTATATAAGAAATAGATATGCAATGAAATTCAAATAATTATTATTAATTTGCCAGTTCGCATATATTACTTATTAGTAATACAATGGCAATTAAATGTATGACAAGTGAATCGATATAATTGAAGTAATTGGATCGATATCCATCGAATCGATCATAGTTTCTCTGAGTGATATTCGTTATCTTTTGACACAATCCACCGTACAAAAGGGACTAATGAAAAATTATTAAATGTAAGAAATTTATATAAATGATTTTAAAATTAATACATAATATTCTTAATTTGGAACAAAACAAAATATATGTTTAACGCAGACGAATAAATATATCTTTTTGTAATATTTTTTGGGACAAATTTTTGGATGTGCGCCAAACTGCAATCGCAGCGTACAACATCGGGTGAGAACATTTTGAGATGACGACGCTAAATCGTTTACATCGAAAAATAAAACGTTGTTATAGAAACAACTATATAATATATATTTTTAATTAATATTTTAACGAGAATCAAAGTAGTCATTGCATATATTGACTAATTGCACTGCAATTTTTTAAATATTAATATTTTAAATAACAGTTTTTCACAATAATAATGTCAGGAAAAAACTGGTCCAAATACTTGACCCCAGATAAATTTATTGAAGATAATTATATTAAACGATTTGTTATATGTACTTTTTTATTCTCATTCATTAAAAAAAATGTAGTGTATGAACATACGAGAAACGTTTTGTTTTAATATATTAAAATTTGTTAAATTAAATGAAATTGTATTTATTTCTAATATAAAAAATAAACGTGTACATGAAACATCACATATGTACATAATTATATTATTGTTTCAATGCCTATCTGCTTGTTTAGGCTAAGCCCTGAAACGGCAGGACCGTTTTTGATGGGACTTTCAATCGAAGATAGTTAGGCAGTGTGTAGTAAACTAGACTACATTTACTTATTTTATTTAAATTAAATAATTTAAAAATTACCCCGCATGGATTATGTATGGCGAGAGCACAGGTGATCGTAAGATAAAGCGTATTTTTTTGCAATTGATGTCTTTTAAACTAAAAGAAATTTGTTATCAGTTGCACATACAGTTTAAATAACAATCATATGATCAGATAAAATTTATTTCAAACATGTAATCATAATATTAACAGGACAGATATAAACAAAACAAATGTTTGTCAGATTGTACATCTTCCACGTGTTTAAAAAGCAGAACAAGTTTCTACGAGTGGTGAAAAAAAAACCTTAAGTACTTTTTTTTCACTATACTACGTTCTAGCTTGCGCTGTTTCTATACACAACCAACACACACTAACGCACACACACACTCACACAAATATATGTATATGTATAACGTGATGTTTATTAAAAAAAGAAATATATATTTAAAAATGTTGTATTAAAAAATATACTGAAAGATGCAAAAAGCAGTGGTAGAATATAACTATATTTCAAATAATTTAAGTTATTTCATATCTCCATTTAGAAGTACCATTATAACGCTAAAAGAAAACAGACTAAGTACTGTAACGTCATAATATAATAGACTATTGTTAAACTCAAGCCTCACTGTTATTCTAACTAAAACTGATCTCTATACGTATATAGTAAGACCTACATTAGCTCAATGCTTTAAGTTATCATGAAATTGACGTTACAAGCGAGCGTGAAAGAAACAGCGTACTAAAATCGACTAATATATTACTAATTAATAATATTATTATTCGAGCTAAAATCTGCTATATCTTTATGGGAATACAGATCTGTATTCTGTAAACTATTTTTTGTATTTTTCAATGATTTATAGTACATAGTAATATGTGTTTTATGTGGATATTTAAAAGGTACCTTACCGGATGTGAGCGCTTGCTATAATTCTATCTCCAGCTAACTGCCACACGTGGAACTCGTGCACCGCCAATACACCGTCCACCTTCTCCAAAAGACGTCTTTGGATTGCATCCACCTGGTAATGGAAAGATTCTAGATATAATATAAATATGGTAGAGTAAGGCATTTTCTATGGCTCTAGAACCTCAATAGAAAATTTTTATGGACAAAGATGGCATTTATTTCGAAAATTATAACTCGCGCTAAATAACGCAATTATAAAATTTATTATATATTATCCGTTTATTCGGTTTTCAAAATTACAGATAGCACAAAAATGTAAGAAAAGCGAAAAGCGCATTATATAAATTACGTGCAAAAAATTAGCAACAACGTCAGAGGATTTTTTTTATATACGAAAATATCCTATAATTTAACACATTTTGCATGACAATGGAAGGTTAAAGCTAATGCGGAAAAAAATTTTCAATACACAGGTTACAAACGACGGAACACCGAACAGCGCCGCCGGCATTCATAATTACTGCGCATTATAACGTTAATGTGTCAAACCCTCGACGAATGTGTGTCCCGTACTTAAAAACATTATCGCAGTGCAAACAAGATACGTGAGCAAACATTGTGTTTCGGCGTGTTGAATTCATTACGGTTTTATTGGATCGCGGAAAATTTCACAGCTGTAGACAGTCGAATTATTATCAAGTATTGCTCATAGGTAATTAAAGAAAAAAATTTTTTTTAGGCAATTTTGGGTAATCTCGAAAAAGTCACTGCCAAATAAACTTATAGGGTAAACTTGTAATATTTTTGGTCTTAAGAAAGAATCAGTACAAAACAAAGCGTCTGCCTCCTGCATGCGCCAGTCGGCTATCGTCTGATCTGCTAGCCGGTTTCGTCATACTATCGGACATCGTGAAATTTAATACACCCTTACTGAGATGTGTGAGACAGATTCCTACTTTGTACTGGGAAATTCACACTATCACATACATATATTCGCATATCAATAAGCCTGTGTCTACCCGCCAAAAGCTAAACCAACCGTTTTATCATTTACATTACTAAAAGATATTAGTGACTTTATTTACAGATAAGGCTGTAGTTATATAAAAAGTGACATTGCGAATAGCTAGGGAAACCATGATTTAAGAAATGCTAGGATGAAATCATAGTATTTTGTATAAAGCATAACCTTGATCTAGAAAAAAATCCTGTTAAATAATTCTTAGTTCCTAAAAGTATTGCTACGATTCTAAATGAAGGTGTCACTGTCAATTCTGTGTATATATTTTCATTGGCTCTTTTTTGCACTTGATCACTAACAAGCTAATTTTCTGTTCGTTTCATTGAACGCCCAACTTTTCCTTTGCCATAATTCTCGATCGTGGTAGGTAACAGGGATTAAATATGTTGATTTGGTAACTCTCCAAAATTTATTAATAACTGGATTTTTTTATGTTAAATCTTATGATAATTATCCAAATTATTCGAAAAAAAAATTGTCTTACAAAATGTATGGTTTGATCAAAGAATCTTCCTCCTTTCAACATGTATAGATAACGAGGTCACCGCAAGTGATTACTAACAAGATGATTTTTTTTATTTACTTAGTTAATATTTATATAATTTAACAGAAACATTGTCCCACAAGTTGCGTGGTACGTTATCCCGGTCCTACGCTTAAAAGTAGTAGTACTGATCATTAATTTTGATATGGATGTAATGTCTGAAATAAAAATTTATTATTATTATTGATAAAAAAATAATTATTATCAAGCCGAATCTTCGTGAGGAGCTCGATTTCATTGAGACGCCCAACTTTTTCCTGTGCGATAATTCTAGATTTTGGTAGGTAACAGAGATAGCAGGGATTAAAAATGTTGATTTGATAACTCTCCAAAATTTATTACTAACTGGATTTTTTTATGTTAAGTCTTATAATAATAATTAACTAAAATATACGAAAATATCGTTTACATCAACTAAATTTGTGCCAAGCTTGGGGATCATTTATCTTGTTCACTCGCCATATGCCATATTTTTACAGAGAATAATCCTGCATTCTTTCGTAATGGAAAAAAGAGACCTTTTAGTATTCTAAAAAAAATATTAATTTTCACGGGGCCTTTATTCAACTCTTACAAATGGAAAATACGGCATTAACAACATCGAATAAGGTAGTTCAAATTATGGAAGAGTATGTATTCATTAAAAACAAAAAATGATATCAACAAAAGGCGGTATGAGTTATTTCAAAAAGGGTATAAACCAAAAAAAGAAAATGAAGAAATATTAAAAAGAAAAATCGTAGGATATGATATGATCCTTCGAGTTTGCCACCAACAAAACAAGAATTGTTGCAACATATTAAAATAACTGCTTTAATCTGCACTACATGGTGTAACGTACACATGCGGTGAACCACAGAAAAATTGCCAGAAAATTTTGGATGGACAATTATTGATAGCAATTATGAATATTATTGGTTTGATGGTCCCCAAAGTCCATCTTTCGAGGAATTATCGTCTGACATACAAGGTATCCTATTAATATTATTGGTAATTATATTGATTCATTACGCGCTATTATATAATTTTCTAACTTTTGTTATGCCAAAATAATTATATGTTATTACAGAGTCAGATATCTCAAATGAGGACAATTAAATAAATGAAGATAACAGCGATATAAGCAGCGACAATTCATCAAATGAATCTGATGAAGATTAATTTTTGTTGATGTAATTTCACAAAATTTTGTACTCATCTCAATAAAAAGAAAGTTTAAAAAAAAAGAATATTTTCATTGTATCTTATGTTACAAGTAAGAAAACGAAAAAATCACAATTCCTGTCGGATAAGTGATACATACCTGTTTTTTTGTAGGACATTGTTTCATTTGGGCGGAGATCACACTAATCTATCATGTGGTATTTTCATCCTACAGTTAGTAATGAGGAAAATGGTCTTGTGGTATCAACCACTTTTAAGCGTAGGACCGGGATAACGTACCACGCAACTTGTAGAACAATGTTTCTGTTAAATTATATAAATAGTAACTAAGTAAATAAAAATAATCAGCTGGTTAGTAATCACTAGCGATGACCTCGTTATCTATACATGTTGAAAGGAGGAAGATTTTTTGATCAAACCATACATTTTGTAAGACAACATTTTTTTCGAATAATTTAAATACTTATCATAAGATTTAACAATTAAAAAATTCAGTTAGCAATAAATTTTGGAGAGTTATCAAATCAACATATTTAATCCCTGCTACCTCTGTTACCGACCACGATCGAGAATTATCGCAAAGGAAAAGTTGGGCGTTCAATGAAATGAAGCTACTCACGGAAAATTAGCTTGTTAGTGATCAAGTGCAAAAAAGAGCTATGGATCCTGGACTATAATTCTTGTCTCACCTGTATATGTGTTGGTACTGTCTGCAGCAGTATCAGAGCTGATTCCCTCAACAGCGGCCACACTGACGCCAGTATCAAGATTACTAGCACTATACTGAGTGCTGGGTCGATGTAGTACTTGTACCGCCATTCAGTCAGCCACACCACGAGCGCTGAGCTTACCACTATTAGAGAACCTACAGGGAAATATAACAACTGTTAAAGCAGAACCATGCGTATGAGAGGATACATCTTTACGATGAGTTACCACTTTGGAAATATATACATATGTATGTATATCATAATGTATAATATAGGATTTGTGTATCTGTTTTGTTGTCATAAAAAAAATTAGCCAAAACTATTCAAAACATGTAAAGCAGACCCTGGCTAATGCTAGGAAATAGCCAGGTAGAAGAAAGAAATATTAATAAATAATTTCAAACTGTAAAGGTTGAAACTAAAGAGGAACAGCAATTAAAAAATAGATATTATGGACAAATTGTATATACGACATACAAATACATATATAACTTTTAAAATATAAAATATACATTTTTATTGTCACTATATCATGAAATATTGAAAGATATTTTATAAAGTTTATAGTTAATGATAAACATCTTATAACACAATGCCTGTTTATGATAACTCAATCGTAATATAAACAGTTAAATTTTAGGTACTCATAACTCATGTTTTCATATGGGAATATATTACAATCCATCGAAATATAAGACATTGATATTTAATAAGATTCATCGATATGCTTAACACAAGTTTGACTATTACATTCGAAGCGTTTCACGTTTTTCATTAAATATGTAATTTAGAATTATTTTATAGTGTGAAGATACTTTATTGATAAACTATTATCTCTACGTCTATGAGTTAACACGTATTTATTTATTTCGAAAGTTATGTTAAACATAAAAATAAGAAAATTATTGATGCATTATTACTAAAGCGTTTCAATCAGAGCAGAGTGAATTACGTCAGCCAAATTTATATCATTAAATTACGAACATAAGCAAAATGAATGTAATAGACCTTGGAAAAAAAAAATTAAATACAGTATAAGCGAACGGTTGATATAAAACCCGAAAAAAATATTTTAAAATTAACCAATATATATGTATATATAGAGTACCTACTATTAATATTTAAAAAAATATTATTATTATTGTCAATACACTCAATATTGTATTATTGTTTGCAATAAAACCGTTTTAACGGCTACAAAATGATTTGTAACATAAAATTAGCAATAACACGTAAGAAATATTACAAATGTAAGTAATGATCCATAAAAAAAAACATAAGCAGCGACACTAAAGTTATGGAATCTTAAAATATATTATCATAAACATCTAATGTTTGTGATAACATATCTTGATATCTATATTAATCAATGTGTATTGTGTACATACATTCGAATCTCTCGCAACTTTAAAATCGATTAATGGAAATGTTATCTGATAACGCTATAATATACCTCTGATTATGATTTAGATCAAGGTTGGTATTCGCATGCTTTTACAGTAATAATGTCAATGTCGCAGGCAGAGTCGGGTGGCGAGGTTATAGTTGCTTTATTAACAGATGTTATGTTATAGTATGTAGAAATATTGTATTAAATAACTTTATTCGTATTAGACTCATTTTAACTTAAAAAACAATTACCCACAGCTATGTCACTGTATTATAAACACATGTATATGAATATATGTAACATATAAATAACTTACCCAATGCATCAGACAGCACGTGCAGGAAGACCCCCTTCATGTTCAGATTGCCAGGGTCTGAGTGTGTCTTGGGCGTTTGTTCATTTGGTATCTTGACCACTTTCGGTGGTACCATTTCGTCTGTCTCCTCAGTATCGGTGGTAGCATGGCCCAGTGCCATATCCGCGTTACTGTTCACCAGCTCCGATAAGTGGCGGACGTTGGATGGGGGTGGGACAACTCCGTGGCTATGACCATGGCTACTACCATGCTCTATGGTAGATGAAATAATGATATATTTGAATTTTGTTTTACATTTTTTCATAACATATTATATTAAATTATTCGAAACTAAATAATGATACAAGCAGCTTTTGTTTTCAGGATCCTAAAACTAGTTTACTTCTACTCGTAAATCTGTGGATATGAACTTCAAATATTTACACGTCTCTGTTAAAATTTCAATGTAATCGAATGAATGCAATAAAAAAATTATAAATAATCATGAACAAGGAGAACAAAATTGTTGTGGTTTTTAATTCATTACAATTGTAAATATTTGATTCCCGACGAACAAAATATTTTTGTCCAGAATTGTTTATAAAAAACTATGCAGCTAAAGCAGAACCTTGACATTCCAAAACCATGAACACATGAGTAGAGGGGACAATTAGTCAAATAATTTTGTAACATTAACTGTTGTAGTTAAGATATTTATTCGATTTTAACTAATGTCGTGCGTTGTATAATCAATTGATTATTAAAATTACAACGAGAATCATAACAATCATTAAATGCTAACAAAACGGTGTAATTGAAAACCAATAAGCCGCCATAAATTACTTGGAGCTAATGTTACAATGGACCATTCCACTGGATTTCGGAAACACGTTTCGGTTTCTTGGAAAGGTGAGTGACAAACCTCGTTGAAAACATGAAACAACGTAGCATCACATTGTAAAGACATAACTTAAATTTATTTTTTTTATTTTACAATAATGTATATACGACTACAATATTATAAATTTGATTTTTTTATTATATCCGTAATAAAGTTTATTGCTCTTCTGCGCAGAAAATACTAAACGGGTTTTGATATAACTTAATCATTAGAACAAGACATGGGTGATTGTTTATTCAGGAATCCTAAGTAATTGTCGCGGAATCACGGTATAATATTTGTATTTTCTATGACAAAACGTGACACATTATAAATGTAGCTGGTAATTAATTAATATATCTATTGTTTTCATAAACTCTATACATTTTTATTTCCGAAATTCTCAAAGGTCAAGTCGAAGATATAAACTACTATAGAACAATTCTTCCATATTCAAGCATAGAGGAAGAAATTGTTTATAAACTAGGTGAATATTCACTGGACACTTATAGAATTATACAACACTTTTATGAGATTGTAAAAACAATAATAATAATTAATCAACATGCTATTTTGGAAATAGCAAAAAAAAATTCAATAAGAAAAATACGTTGAAAGAACATGTTTGGAAAGAGAAGTCCAATAATATGTAGATTCTAGGTTAATAAGTAAGCCGGAACATGAGTAATCATCAGGTTTTAACTGCATCCTTAAATGAGACAATATTTTAAATGCGTCATCAATGACGTCAACTTGGAGTTTCGGGGAAAATCAATAGTCCATTAGGTATTAGTAGGCTATTAGGTTAGGTTAGATTGTGACTTTGAAAAGAAACGTTTCCTTTAGGCATATTCGGAATTTCGGAAAAGATTCATGCAAGCTATGATTATATGAAGCTATGTTGTTTATACTTTAAGGGGTAAAGAGAAGTGTTTGTGCCTAATCATTTTGTCAGCGGCTGCAGTGTTATCTATACACAATAAATATTCCCACAATATATCAGCCAATGGAACCGCATACATTATAAATTTGGTTTATTTAGAACAAAAGCGATATAAAAAAACGACCAATTACGACATTAAAGTTCTCATTTGGCCCCTTTTGTATTAAATTAAATGTGCATAAAATTAAACTTGTCTATGAACCAGCAGGTCAAAAATGTTTGGTGCATTCAATTCATTGGATTAATTCTTTAAAAAAGTTAATATTTTTTCTATAAATATTTTTAATTATACGGACGACAAAACAACTTAGTATTTAAATCATTAAAATCAACATATATTGTTTAGTTTAATTTACCAAGCTGCACACGAAGTTCCGGGTTCCTATTTAAAAGGTATTTATTACAAAATCACGGGATTGATGGATTTTACTATGTCTGACGCTGAAATATATACTAACTTATTTTATTTTAATCGAACAAATTTAATACGGTGTATATATGTATATACATAATTTTGATCCTTTTACTTTATTACACAATATCTTTAATTGCCTTAAACGATTCTTTCACAACAATTATTTTTAATAGGTAATATTAGAAACAATTAGAGGAGCGATAAAACCGTTTAATCAAAATCAAATTGTATCACTAACCTATATGTTGTGTTAGCATTACGATAATTGTCAGTTAATAAGCCAATTAAGGTATTACAAATCACAAAATGATAAATAATTTGACTGACGAAACCAGTCACTGCATCGGAACGTAGGGATTAGAGTTTAAAATAAAAGTTTTAATATTGAACGTTTGACCTTCACGTTAAATAGAGGTCAATGAACCCACTTCAGTAAATAACCCATCGTGCACATTTAAATGACAATGCTTTTGAAATATGTACCTAATATGTTTTGTGATATAATAACAGTTGCTTCAAGCAAGTTAGTTATCACTCGCATGTAGTAGCTATATATTTATATAATAAAACTAACAAAATATTATATTATAATATTTTGTTTTTATATGTGAGCTTTACTAAAGACACATAAAAATTCATACATTACGAGTAAAAGAGTGATCAAATTCACACATTTTTAGGATACATCTAAGGCTTAGCATAATGGATAATAATGAAATCAAATATTGCTCACCGTGGAACAGAAACAGTCCAATGATATTGAGTACGAGTCCTAAAGTGCCGACAGCTACCAGTAGTTGCGCGTTATGTATCATCTCAGCTCGGATGAATCTCTGCACAGCCTCCACTGTGATGCTGAAGCACAGAGCTACCAGGAACACAGCATTCACAAGAGCACCTAGAACTTCCGCACGAGCCCAGCCAAAAGTATTCTTCGACCATTTCTTTGGTGACATCTAATATACAAGAAAACGGATTTGTTTCAACCAACTATAAGTCTTATTTTTAAATGATTATATTTGAGAAATAATTAATATAAATTTATTATTAGTATAAAAACTTAATTATAACATGTAATAAAATCAAGCTTCTTTATAAATAATATCAAGTATCATGAATACTTAGAATCGCAACACTGACGAAGCAGACTCGCTCTTGAATTACACTCTAATAGCCTTAAAGATTATCTTAAGACAGTAACTTGATAGTAACACTTTGAGCGTACTTATAAAACTTTCTTCAAACTTAAGACAACTCAGCAATCAAGTTTTGTTATCAAGGAAATAATAAATAAATTGTAATAAAGTTTAAAATATTCGACATATATAGTAGCAATTTAACATTATTTCGTATTAGACAAATGAATGAAATCAATAAAGATTTTAATAAAATGAATTTCAATGTCTGTCATGAATAATAATTATTTCAAAGAATTTCGTCATTGCGCAATCCAGACGTGTACGCATAGCGTTCGGTATTGAATCTCGTTGGAGCCTGAGAAACCATTCGCTAAGGTCATTGGCATAGCTTAGAAAAGTTGTAAACACACATCGTACCACGAGTCCTAGCTATACTATCATTTGAGAAGATTCATCAATGAAATATATATAATTACATATCTGTTTCGTTTGACATTTACATTAGTCTAACAAAAATAGGCTTAAATTTCTCGATACGTAATAAAAACGGTACTTGTATCACATATAACATATTACACAAAAGACGAAATTGAAGTCAAATTAATGAGCAGGCAGTATGTAGAAACTTCAACATGGTTATTCCCAAAGCTGAATCAGATTGTAATGCAGATTTATTAATACCATATAATAAACATTTTAATTTTGTGTTTTTAGTTTTATTTAAAAATCTTCCTCCCTAGATGTTTTATTTTGAGATTTAAGAGACAAACATCTACATTTTACATGTTAAAATATCTACACAGAATTCAGTAAATTTTTAAACAAAAGAAAGTAATGCTTTGATCCTAAAACAACATTTATATCTATGTAGTATTAAAAAAACTGATGTCATACAACGATAAAATATATTAATATTTTATTTGTCATATTTTGAAATAGAAATCTTAAAAAGAGTAACTTTATGTACTATATAATAAACAATATTGAGTTTCCATAAATAAAAATATCATAATGATCCCTCTTACTTTGTCATTTTGAGTGTGACTCAAGGTGACTTGCAAATATTCTGCTCAACATATACAAACAGATGTTCAAAAATTTGACTTGGAGTTATAAGTAATAATTTAAATATACATGTATAGTTGTATATTAAGCAGAAATAGGTTGATGTGGAGTGTATGTTATGAGAAGGTATGAAAGGTACTTAACAAAATAATGTGGAATAATGTATAGATAATTTAGAAGAAATTTACAAGTCTGAATGTATTGTGTAAGACATTGTGTGTATAAGAAAGCACTCAATTCAAATATGCTGGCTGATAGTTTTGTAGAAATACATACTGAGTTGAATCCAATACAACTAAATAGGAAAAAGGTAGCAATATAATGAAATATTTTTCCAGAGAGTTTTGAAGACTTATATGTAATCACACCTTATCCTGTTATATAACATTCATATAACCATTTGTATATTAGTAAGTACAATAAAATGCAGAACCAATATTAATATAATATATAAAAATTATGACTGACACAAAATATTGAACTATATATTTAATTAAGAAGTTTTAAGTAGCATTTTATAAAAATATCACTCACCTTGACAGATAAAAATGCAATAACAAGTGCGGCGACATCACTCAACATGTGGAAGGAATCAGCAACCAATGCCATAGAATTTGTAACATAACCGACTATCAGCTCCACAAAGAAAAATGTCCCCGTCAGCCATAACATGGACAGTAAACGACACTTCTTACCAGAAAACTTCCCCATTGTAGATCTAAAAGAAAAAGCTATATTAGTTTCAACATTTAATAAGCTATTCATTAACTACAATATATATAAATTGTGTGAAAATGAATCACATATACTACACTATTATTTGACAACATTTTGTCATCAATATGATTATTTATAGCTATTAAAATATGTCAATAAGAACTGCAATAAACACAATATCATTATGATTTTGGAAGACAAGTACAAGGTAACTAATTAATAATTACTTAATCAATATGTTTAACAAAAATAAATATCAACAACAATTTAATTTATAATAAACAGAAATATTTTAACAAAAATACTTAGTTTCAAACAAATAATATCTTAACCAGCTTGAAAATGAACATTATAGTGACACAGACAAAAGGTTTAAAATAACATAAATGAATACATTAGTGCAATACAGATTCATTAAAGATAACTGTCCTACAATTAGATAATAGCGAAAATTTACATGTGTTAACCAAAGAGAGTGCTCAGAGACTTGGATGTAACATTATATGTCTATGTAAGCTCCATGATATAATGTAGTAAACTAAATTTGTATGTAATAACATAAAATACATGATGCTTTTACAAATATAACACAAAATTGCATCACACACATTATAAATAAGTGCAATGTAACATACAAGTCATTATTTTATAAACCATATCTGACTTGAAATTATTTTGCAAACTCATTGAAGAAACAAGAATAAAATGAATGAGTCACAGTTTACTCACCTAATTTATGAACAATATCCGAAATATGTTGGTATCAGTAACTTGGATCCATTAGGTCTCCTTTTGTCAATGGATCACAAATTGTGCTCATCCATTAACCAATTTCGATACTAGCTTAGACCCACACTATAGATTAAACAAAATATTTCAGGGAAAATGTAGAACACTTCCGCTGGCATAAAAGGTAAACATCTATGACTCGTATGGAATTCGAAAACAAATCCCTACTAGTTTGCTTCAAAGAATTACCCGTAAAACAATTCGACACGGGTCTCACTAGCAAACTAGGTACTTATTGGTTTACAAAAAATTTTTTTTAATACTATTATTTCAGAACAATATCATTTTAAATTATATATTAATTTATTGGTACACTTTATGTATTGGTTATTTAATAAATTAACTATCACTGAGAAAATAATGAAACTGACTGTTCTCTAGAATCTAGACTCTAGTCTGCTGTTATCTGTCAAAACTCAGAGTGTGCAGATTGATGATATTGTCGCACAAGCAAAATGAGATCCATTCATTGAAAGTTGGTTATTCAACAGATATTTATAAAATTATTAATTTATTAAAATACATATAGTTAAAAATAAGTGATACATTTTCACAACCTTTTTTTATTATAACCTATATATTCATAATTTAAATAAAGAATAAATGTTGCTCAAAGTTTGTCATAAAATATTACATTAACATTATTTATTTTTGAATGAATCGATTACAGGATAATTGTAGATGTTATAAATTGCAGTATTATTATGTGTGACCAATTATTTATTTTCATAATTTTAATACACCTTTCAATGTCTCTAAAATAAAATATGTAGTAATAACACTCGATGTCGTCTATTGTCTAGATTGTCATTAGTGATTAAACTTTAAAGTCAACTGTCAAATTGAAACTATAATTCTTGATAGCAAGATAATGTGTAGTTTTTGTGGTTGAAAATGCTTTATCGTTGTAATAATCAAAAAAAAAATTACTAAATTAATGATTTCATTTAAAAATTTAATTACATGATCAATAGAAGGCTTTATAGACTTCAAACATTTATGTGAAGATATTTCTTTACGTAATAATATAAACATGACTTTTATAAAGTTTATAGGAAAAACTATTGGTGTTACAGGCTATGTGTTGCAATATGCATGTTTAACGCACTGTACATTTGAATATGTAGGAGATTTTGTTATGGTAATAATTGTCTTAAAATCTTTTATTTTTCCTCAATAAATAATATTCTAATTGGAATTATATGTTACAGTGCTCTGGCCCCTCTATGGAACCAACTTTAGAAAGTAATAACATACTTTTTACAGAGCATATAACACCCCGATTGCAAAGATTAAAAAGAGGTGACATAATAATAGCAAAGAGTCCTGTGAATCCGAAACAGAATATTTGTAAAAGAATAATAGGTTTACCAGGGGATAAAGTCAGGGGGCACTTTCCTAAACGCAGTCAAATAGTACCACATGGTCATGTGTGGTTAGAGGGGGACAATTCTAGTAATTCTGCAGATTCTAGAGGTTATGGCCCAGTCCCACAAGGATTAATACGAAGTAGGGTTGTATGTAGAGTTTGGCCATTAAATAAAATGTGTTCATTAACTGAATACTAGTATGTATTGATTATGACAAATTTATTCAGCTTATGTATTTAATGTAAATAATAACTTAATAATTAAATAGTTTTAAATATATTGTTTTTATTCATTTGTAATTGAGTGTCAAATATTTATGCCATGAAAGTTAGTACATTGGTACAAATAGGATATTTGGGTTGGCTTTTTAAAATGTATAAAATTAGGGGCAGTTTAAAAAAAACTTGGGTAAAAGTAATGTGTTTGGTTGGTTTTTCTCACACATCATGTGTTTAAATTCACAAGTAAATGGAAATCATGGTATGATTTGAATTACCTGCACATCCACCATTTTTACAATAATTCACATTCTTCTTATATTTAATTTTAAATAAACAAAATACTAATCAACAAAAAACATCTTGGAAAAATCAGTTTTTGTTATATGGTGAGATGTACTACAAATTAATTTTCCAAAAAAAAAGGACTAATAATATTTAGGAAGAAATATATTGACTAGGGATTTAACAGGATAATTAAAAGATAGTTCCAAACAAAACAATTGTATTTAATATAATAAGAGATGGTAATAAACTATAAATTATTATAAAGATTGAACTAAATACTCAGTTGAGGTTTACTTCAACAGTCTGTATTGATTCTGGATCAAGGGTGACATCAATGTACCTCCTCCAAGCTACTGTTATTCGAACCCTCATCACAGAATTGTTCCTGAAAAAAAATAGTATAAAATCAAGTGAGAATAATTATTAATATTAACTTTTTTGGGACTAGAAGTAAAAGTAGCAAAGAAAGGACACTTTTCAGCATCCATCGCGTTGTAGGGAGAGGAACTTTAATAGTGAATGAGACTTGCGACCCAGATGTAGGTTTAAGGGGCCTCTATCTTACGCGCGTTAAACGCTCACCTCCACTGTCTAAGCTCCTCTTTTAACCTAACCAAATTTGAAAAGAACCTACTAGGGTTGCCTTCGAAGTACGAAGAAATGTGCGAATACAGAAATATATCTGGTCTGGAGGCCAACACACATATATTAATATCAGTGATGGCCTAGTGGTTAAAGGGCTCGCCTGTCGTGCATGAGGACGCAGGTTCGATCCTGGCAAGTACCAATATGATTTTTCCGAGTCATATGTACTTTCTAAGAGTATTTAGACACCACTGGCAGACTGTGAAGGAAAATATCGTGAGGAACCCTGGACTTATAAATTAACAATTATAAGTTTGAAATCATCAATCCGTCTTGAGCTAGTTTGGTGACTAATGCACAAACCTTCTCCATGTGAGAAAGAGGCCTTCGCTCAGCAGTAGGCTCTGATAGGCTGATGACGATTAAGCAACACACAAAGAATAATATTTATTAATTATAAATTAATACTCACGGGTTATGTAAAACCATCACAATATTTCTTTCTGGCGTGATGAACGCCACGGTTTCGACGTGTCCAATACTGGTCCTCACAACTTGTATTCTTTTGGAACCTCTTGGAATAAATTTGGAAAAGTGTCCCATAGCGTAGAACATGGGCTGTTTATAGAATTCATCTTTTTCACCGTTGACTAAAATGGGTGCGTCTACGTAGTTGTGAGCCCAGTTTGGGCCACCTTCTTCATCCAGACAGAGATTCCAATCCAACCATCCGACGACGAAGTTATTTAAGTCCTGAAACACGTCATCACTATTTAACGACTAACCTGGAAAAAAAAAGTTTACTAACGTATGTTTTTTGGGAATTAGTGTTTAATGTTTATTATTTTAAAACAGAAATCGTGGCAAATACACATTTTTGTCCAGTAAAATGTAAATTTAAAATTTATATAGATATATTTTCTAGTGACGTAAAAAAATTATAAATTGGAAAGCAAATATGATATGAAAACCTATCTACCTACTTATAGGTATATCAATAAATAGTACCTATACATTGTCTGTTTTAAAGATTTGTTGTACATTATGTAGTGATTATTGCTAAAGTTTATAATATTGTTCTTACATCAATAATATGTTTCGTGTATCTATCTGCTCGTTCCCAAGAGCCAATCTTCACTCTCATCACATCCCACGGCATTGGACCTGATGATCATCAACAATAAATGAAACGTTTATCGTCTAATCTCTCAAACTAGTAACTTTGTTGTTAATTAATGTATTGCTAAAATTTTTTATAGATTAACTATCTCGGTAATACATATAAAACAAAAAAAAGTTTCCTTTACTAGATTTGGACCAATCACATTTCATGGGAGTAGATTTATCAGGCGATTTAAAAGATGTATAATAATAACAATTCTATTAAAACACTATATTCATATTTATTTTATACAACAAACTCTAAATGTTTTGTAATAAACCAAAAACAATTATTTACCTTCACAGGCTTCGGTGGCAAGAATAATTTTATCTGGATACCTCTCCTGTATGTTCGTTAAAACTTGAGCAGGGAAAAAGTTGCCATAGTAATGTACGGCGATGCCATCTATGTAGTCGATTGCTCTTGGGGCGGCTGCTAACATCTAGAATATATACATGCAAACAGAAAATAAACAATGAAATAGTTCATTCCGTTTTCGGTGATTAAGTGTAGAATCTTACCCCTTCCAAATAAAGATCCAAGAGATAACGTTGTTCGTCGATAGCCAGAATCAATGTTTTGTTATATTTCGAGTTCTTAATAGTTGGACCGAGGTTATTCGCAACCCACCGACCCTAAGACGATGATATAATTTTACATAATAATACAACTAGATTAATTAATTTAATGAACGTCAATAAGGACAAGTGAATGGTAGAATTTACCAAATCCCACGGGAACCATCCGAGTGAATTGAAATCAACGAACGGAATCAGTCCGTTGATAGGTTCGTTAGTAGTTGTTATGGCCCACACTGTAACATTCTCCTTATCGTATTCTTCAATGAAACTGGAAATGAGAATTTTTCATCATCACATACAGATTTCGTGTAAAAACAGTGGAAAGTTTTATAAAAATAAGAAAACAATGATCATTAATTCCTCAAATATTAATTATTGTTTTCGTTTCGTGACTTCCTAAGTACCTACCGTAAGTGATAATCAGCGTATGACTGGTAGAACTCCGGTTTGACTTGAGCGAATCCGGTGATGGCGTTGTTGGTCTTCATCCATACAGGTGGAGACCACGTGCTCGCTGTCACTTTAATATCCGTTGTGGAAACGGCTTGGCCTCGTTTGATTAATGGAAGCTGACAATATATGTAGTATAATTAAATCTTGCCTTTTTCAATGCAAGTTATACAGTGGTTTAAAAAAGGAGTTATGTACGCACCTTTAGCTTATAATCCTCTTCGCTTAGTGAGAAGTTGGACAAATTGTAATCATTAATGGGGTACTCGTTGTATGTGTAAGGATAGGTAGAGAAGTCAGCGCCACCTATGGGCGTTCGAATCAAATTGTACTCCAGACCGTTTTTACTGAAGTAAGAACTGAAACAAACATTGTTATTCAAATTACTGTATTTCGTTATGTACTTATTTTTTGTACAGTCTTATAAATTTTTTATACAACTATCTGAAGTCGTTGGGACTCAAATTCCTTTAACTACTCTGTTTTTTTACGGTGACTAAAGATATAACAAAATATTCCTAACAGACAACTGATGACGACTTTCATGTATAGTTGACAAAAAAAAAAACACTTAAAATTGTTCCTTCTTGAACCGTAATTCAAGGTTTAGCTCTTCGGACTGACTGTCTTATATGAGTTAAAACACTATACTCACATCAGTTGATGTAAGAATATCAATTTAGCGGAATAAAGTGGTGGGATTCTAATATATTATATAATACATATATTAATCTTTTACAGATCTAGCTGACCTGAATTATTGTTTTGTGGTTGAAATTACACTCTATTATTTTATAAAGAATGTTTTTTAAAATACGATAATTGGTTTAGTTTTTATTATTAGTTATATTCAGGGTAACATCAAAAAGGCTTACTTAACAAAGTGATCCTGTGCTCTTGGTGAGAGTTTTTGCCAGTTTATGGAAGCGGCATCTGTAACTGATCCTCCAAAACCTTCGATACTCTGGTACTGAATTTCCGAGATTAATGTGTATGATGCAGAGTTTAGAAACTTGGCTGTAAAAATCAAATAAAAAGAATGTTTAACATTATTTATTACACAAAAAACCAGCCTTATTAATTATACAGTCAGTAAATTGATTTCATATTTTCATGTTTATTCAGCTTGCTTACGTTTTATTTTGTCAAGGAAAGTCTCATTGACGTGAACTTTATTAGCACTTTCTTCAGATCTTGAAAAGTCTATTTGAATTGGACCACCACCCTTGTGGAAACGCTTTCCAGCCTGAATTAAAAAGAAAGATTAATTAAATTGAATTCATGATGTGGTTTACGACTAGTGAATAAATAACACCTACTTTGGAGCTAGTATAACTCACGAACCTCCCTCTTGCAGGAGCGTCTCTAGTGACTGTGTCGCAGTAGGTAGCATTACAGACACATAACACAGACCTTCCCTCTATCCCAACGTCTCGAGCATTACAAGGTAAGTCCGCTGGAAGTCGACAATTTTAGTAAGTAAATGCGTTCATACCAAATATAAATTGAGACAGTTAAATGTTCTTACCCATCGCTTTCAAGGCGAGGCATTGAAATATTGAGATTACAATGATCGAATATATCTTTGGGAAGATCATCTGAAAGAGTTCCTTATATTAGGTAGATTTTAGTAAACACAAAACACATACGTATTATTTTATATCACCAGAATGAGATAGGACTTTGTGTTGCTATAATCTATATTGGCTCTTATATAAATCTGATAAGTATTTTGATATAAACAAGAAAGAAAGTTTTAATGCGGTTTTAATTATATAACATATATGTCATGTATGTTGTTAGCTAAAATGAATTTTATATACATTGATTATATTTTATAATAGTATCGTGTAAAGTTGAAAGTAGGCCAAGTTTTATGTATAATGCAAAACACTCTCAAGTCTCACGTATGAATTTCACATAAAATATATCCTTTCTAATTATATGTCTGGACTTAAACAAGGTTATAAACTATTAAGTTATAAACTAATAATAAGAAAAGAAAATAAAAATCCTTATTCCAATAACTTTATGGATTCATATAAAATATTTTTTTCAATCGGTCATTAAAATTTGGACCCTCTATCTTAAATTATTTAATTATTGAAAATATGAATTTGGTTATCTTCTATATATATAAAAATGGATTGCTGTTCCTTAGTCTCGCTAAAACTCGAGAACGGCTGAACCGATTTGGCTAATTTTAGTCTTGAAATACTCCTGGAAGTCCAGGGAAGGTTTAAAAGGTGAGAAAAATTGGAATGATTGCCGAAAAAACCCTAAAAACAGCCCTTCTCTATTTCCCATACAAACGATTTTTTGACATTAGACTTGACAACTAACTAATATATCAATCATTCTGTTCGATTGAAACAGTAGAAATTTAATAAATACCAATACCGGGTTATTGAAGACGGAATAGAGTTCGCCCGGTCAGCTATACCTATATTACTAATGACGAAATTAACGCTGACGAAGTCGCGGGCAAAAACTAGTAATTAATATTATTTGATTAAAAATGTTTGGTTTCACTAAGAAAAAAAAAAACATTACGTTCGATTTTAAATACAAATATAAAAATACTTAAAATTATATCATAATTAAAAAACGAACACAGTCTCACTCACCTTTCTCAAAATGAATTGAATAATATGTAGAATTCACTGAATATAAATAATTATCACGGCAAAAACAAATATTATGATTGATTGATCGAGTAAGGAGTCTTGATAAATAACACATCGGTGATATTAAACATACATTATCATTTAAAACTTAATGCTATTAAAATATTCTTATACTAGGTACCCGCCCCAGCTTCGCAGGGAAACTTTACAAAAGTTTAATCAAGACACAAAAATTTCATCAACTTTCATACAAATTTTAAGTTTGAATTTAGAAAAACTGTATGTCTGTATGTTAATAATAGTTTTTTAATCTATTAAAGTTACAAAATTTTGTATACAACATTAATGACGTGATCATGGGAAAAGGTTTGCTATCGCGTGTATTTTATTGAGAATTAGGTATCAAACTTTTGGTTACTTTCAAATGTTATATCCGAATTAATAATTAAAAAAGTATTTTATAGATACTGATGTAAGCTTGAACACTAAGTAATTTATTCTGATAAGACTTTATACCATAATAATATAAATAGCCTACCTATAAACGCTGAATGAATGCCAATTTTTTTACAAAGTGCCTCGAAAATCACGCTATCGAGTGGTGTAAACTGCTTGTTAATTGGTGCAGTAGTTTTTCTTTTTATTGCGAACAGACAGACAGACAGACGCGGCGAGTAACTTTATTTTATAATATGTATTGATAATAGACTAATCTGATGCCTATGATTTACTTCAAAATATTTTTCTCGACAAAAATAAATCCTAGATTAGTAGTTAATTTATAATTTTTCCTGTTGTTTCATGTGTATAGGTTTTGTCTGTGATTGTTTTTATAATATCAAATATTTTTTGGCTTTTTGGAGTCTACGTAGGGCTTTAAATTGAGACAACTATTACACTTTTTAAGAAATATAATTGATTAAAATTTTAGTAAAACTAGAGGGTACCTTTTAATATTATCTTTAAATATTACTTGTTTCATTATCAGGCATAATCAGTCCATTGATTGTAAAAAGCGTCTTCCCAGGACGCCACTGATTTGGATATTGAGGTTTTTCCATTTAATCTCTATTGGCCACCTAAAATTACCTAGCTAAAACGCGTATATTTCGTTGACAGGTTCTAAGGTTCAAGCATGGAACCATACAGCCATAAAGGCTGTCGGTTCTCAAATGTGGCTTGTTATCTGCGACTTCAGCTTAAAAATCTGCTTAGTTTCAACGGTGTCACTTTAATGAAGCCTAACTTAATTTCGGATACGATTCCATAAAAAAAAAACTTAGAAAAACCTTGTATCTGGTTGACAAATGTCATTATGACTGGCCACTTTTTAGTTCAATACGCTACCAGTTTTGACTTACGGATTGAAATTTCTGATTTAAAATTGCAAGGTATGGTCCATAACAAAACCTCAAAAAAATTGTTCAAAAGCAACATTTATCAGCAATCCTAATCACGGTTGCTGCAATAAATCCGAAGATATTTGTTTTATTTAAATGAATATTCGAGAAAATATTAATCTTCATTTTTTCCCTAATCTACCTACTAATCGTGTATACCTAGTTAGAACACCTGTCGTGACTAAATGAACTTATACACAACTTCGGGATTTTATCCTAATTTATCCGGAGACCAATTATTTAAATAAACTAGATAGATAATGAAATCTAATATTTTCGATAGTTTTATTTATTTAAATGAAACTTTTTTATTATTTTTGTAAAAAAAACTACATAGGTACTCACGATTGCTGAAAAGTAGCCGAAACGTCGGGAGTAGATATGTAGTTTTTTTTTTAAAATAAAGTTGCGTAGTATAATCCGAAAAATATTAGTTTCATTTAAATAAACTAGACAAATATCCTGCCACATATCAGCTATTATGAAATCAGCTTATTGCAAATCGTGGGTGACAAAAAGAACTTTGACTTCTTATATCCTGCGTGTTGTATATATAATTAATCAAAGGAAAATTTCTAAGAGAACTAATTCTGGTTTAGGTAGAAAAACCTTCCCGGCTTGTGAGGTTGATTCCTACCAACCTTGTTTCTGGACAAACAGGTTCGAATCCCACGCTTGATACTTTTTTGAATAAAACACAGCAAAGCCGTTTTCCAGATTTCTGTTTAACGCGTGGAAACCTAAATATTCTTTTTGATAATTTGGTCAGAAAGTGGCCTTCATTCAGCACATGACTTCTATGAAACAGCTTCTTGAAAAGAGAGAAGACACATCGCTCCTGCGTTTCAAGAAAATTTATGAACATTTATTTTCTATCCTTACTACATCCGTAAAGACCTAGTTTTACTAAAGTCTTCTAACTTGATTTTATTTCTACCTTGGCGTGAACTTTTTTCATTATAACTTTGTAACTTGAGAGATGTTGGGGAGAGTCGTAATTATGTTTTAAACAGTATCTCTTTGTAGCTATCCGAGTGTGCTGATGTCATTTTATAAACCTGAACGAGTTTACCTCTCAGTCAGCTTAAGTATAAGATATTATGCTACACTTGGCAAAACATTGAATATTTCGACAACGAGCAAATAATCAATAGACCAGAGAACCGTTTTCATCATTGAAAGGTTGGTCATATTCTCATTACGAAAAATATTTAGATTTCATGTTTATGGCATTCTCCCCTACTCTTCTGGCTTCGAAAAGCACAAAATATAGACATTCACATCTGGTCTGAATATGTAATTTTTCATAAAATAAAAAAACGCGTAGTATAATCTGAAAAATAATAGTTTCAGCACAAAATATGCTAGCTTACACACCCTACGTCTTATTCCAATTGGAGCGGTTCGTGGGTGTTCTTTCATAACGTCCCTTACACTTATTTTTTGTAAGGTCATTGACCTATTAGATCTGGATGTGTCCTGAGACAACGTCACGTCGGTCAGAAACATCAGTTCAGTAGTCAGTCGTAGAGTTTTGCCATGTCTCATTTTCAATATAATATGTGAACACAGGACCGATATGCGAAAAATTATCACATCATGCTGCTGACTGTGATCAGTATTACATTTGATAAGGATAAAATTGTGTTATGTCACTTTAAATGGTTTTAACGCCATCATCAATCATAAGCGCCAGGATTTTATCAGCAGTATGTTGACTTTAAAAGCACACACGATAAGTTACATTTTTAAAATTTCATTAACAGGTCATAAATAATAAACACGTCAATTTAAGAAGACAATATAATTAAATTTTCATACAAATCTTTAACGTAATATTATCTTTAAAATACTGTACACTCGTCGGAAGGCCTTGTAGGTAATCATTTGCTTAACAAATGAATGTTTTATATGCTATATTATGAAAAAAAAAATCATTTAATAGCGAAAGAAACAATACAAATGATTCCCTTCAACGACCGACCGAACGTACTATCTTCATATTGATATGGCAGATTGTCGATATGAAAGACCATTTCAAGCGAAACTTATAGCTATAACTAAAAGAAATGCACTAAATTATATTTACAAAAATCTAAGGATATATGAATATCGTGAGAAACAAAATAGCATCGAAGTAATCTCATTTGAGTACATACAGAGTATACACAGATACCAGTGTGGTGTGACAGATGGAGGTCAATGACATGGAAGCAAAAAAACTTAAACGATCTTAAGTACTACGATGAGAACATCTGACCGAACGACGATCGCCATATTAAATAAAATCTTACGTACTAATCACTTTACAAATCACCTAGTATGAATCTATGTAATAAATACAGATATCTCTTATACATTAGCTATGATAGAGACAATATCTTCCTACCGTGTCTCAAACATTCCGTTAGGAGCTCCACAAACGAAACTACGGACACAGTGTATTTATTAGCATTCCTGTCAATATCTATGAAAATTGAGCTGATGGTAAAACATTAAACGGATGGACCCTTAAAATATTTGACTAAAAGAGAGATCAAATCATTGCTAAACTTATTTATAATGAGGGCGAAACTCCTTTTGTACTTTGCAAGTCGAAAAGGCTTTTAATAATAAAAATTGAATTTATACAAAGTGATACATATTATATTTCAAGTGTAAGTCGAAGACAATTATAACTGTTTTGTCATTTCCGGCTCTAGGTAATGTGATAGTAAATTAATTAATACACGATAATGATAACGGTTGTTTGTCACACTTTATATAAACTCAACCGTCGGTTTCTATATTTTATCGGATTAATATATCAAGATAGTACAACATAATAATAAGTGACCCCTGCGAAACATGTTTAAACTTTGTAAATTTTTCTATAAATGTTTATTAAAATACAGAAACCGATAAAAAAACACATATTAATACTAAAACAAGCCGCCAAATAAAGGACGTATGTAAATAAAGCATTTAACAACTAAATTAGTTAATATTATAATATCTTTTCACAATATCCACACTGAAAGTGAAGTCAAAGTCAAAGATAAAGAAAGATAAGGAAAGAATAACAAACGTTATCTCGCGTAGCGTAGCGTAAAGTTAGCTTTACGAGATATAAACAAAATTTGTAGGAAGTTGTTTGTACATATTAATATGATATAACATCACCTGCGCTATGTACAATGTGGCAAAGATCTGTGGCTGGTGGCGTGTGGAATTAAAGCGAAAAAACCCTAACTATAAAAAAAATATATCTGCCAAATACATTACAATTAAAACTTGTTCGCGTCACACTACACACAGACTTAATAGCGAGGCTATCGTAGGCGAGGATGACAAACTACGAATTCTCCGTTTTTAGTTCGACTTTAACAAGTGTTAATTGTGTATAGATGTATTGGACCGTCATGAGCGCCGTACGACGATGGAAAAAAAACAACATAATCGAATCACTATCTGGAACAAATAGTAAGTATCTGACTAAATATTCCAAAAACTCATGAATGTAAACAATGACGTCACAGCGATCCCGAACTTGTATGAAATGAACGTGCATTAAACGAGTACTTATAACATCATTAGCTTAACAAATACTTAATATTATATATTATTCGAAACCTACATTAAGTTTTAATGTTTCCATAGTATGAACGTACACTGGGAACATTAAACACGCTCATTTATGTTAATGTAACATAATTTTAGAGGCACTGTGTGTATCTTTATATTCTCTTAACATTCATATTTTACACATAGGCTATGTTCTGACAGAATAATAATAATAAAAATTATAATATAAATAGATTAATATAAATCAATAATAAAAATTAATCTCCCCACAGGGATGAGCTATTTGAATGACATTCAAAAATTGAACTATACATAAATTTTCATTTACAAAAATACATGTAGAATAATATATCAGATCACAATTGTTGTATCGCATACATATAACGATATATCCCCGCGGTCCGCTCTCGCATAGCTTAGACCGTATATGTCGATATCGATATGATCACTGCGACACTATTCCGATATCGATAGATCCACTGTCCGGTATTATTACTACAACTCTATTTACATGTTCTAATGAAAAATAGACCTCATTATACTAGTGATTTAACATTATATAGAACTTCTATTTACAGTTGACGGAAACGGATAGTGTCACGACTCTCAGGGGGTGGTGGGGGTGTTTGGGGGATGTGTGGGGGAGCGTTCAGTCTTTGACGAGCCGGTAGATGTGATGCTGTGCCCCGTGCTCACTGTTGGACACCTCGAACACGAACGCCGCACATAACAACGTCTCTTGAGTGTCGCGGTTTGACACCACCTGGGGAAAAATAAAGATGATATATATATATAGAAGAAATAAAATATATATTTTTGTATGAATAAAACATAATACAGAACAGCAATATAAGGGTTTAAAAAGAAGAAAGAATAGAAAATTAATAACTGATTTTGAACTTATAGAACGGTGTAATTAAAAGCTATAGCTTACAGCTGAGCTGTATTTCCAAGCTGTATTTATGATTTATTATGGCCAGCCTACAGCTGTATGGCAGTGTGTAATGCTCGTTACCTGTAGTATGGTGAAGTTCTCTAGCACGCTGTTCATCATGTACTTCTCGGGCAGGTGCTTCAGCTTGTGTATGAAGTTGACCATGTACTCGCACATGGGCGAGCGCGTGATGCGGTACACGAACCGGCCGCCCTCGAACCTCGCGTACTCCGTCTCGACCTTCTCGACAACCTGCTTGCCGAACGAGCACACCTTGGTGCTGCACGTTATAGTCATGTTCTCGTTGCTCTCGTAACTGGAAATACATATACATTAACATATAGAATATGAGCCATGGTATTTTTTTTTATAGAAATGTACTTTTTTAGTTTTCGCATGTGACTTCGTCTGAGTGGATATGGGAATCGGGATTAAGGAATATGGGAACAACAAACACTGTGACGTCGTACGAGACACAACTGTTATGCCTTGGGTAGTACAAATGTTATTTTAATGTACAATTATAATTTTACCATACTTGTCTAAATATTTTGTATGATATGATAAAACCACCCTTTATATGACAGTTAGTCTACTATCCTCCTTTCTCCATATAATTGAATACTCGGTACACACTATATGATACTCACACACTAGTGACCCCATAGAAAGCCCCCGGATCATCCAAATTGTTTGTGTTAAGGTCGGCCCAGAACTTCACAAGGAAGAAAGCGTTCCTTGGTCCCTTCTCATACAATTCCTTCAAACCGCCTTTCTTCTCTGGGAACTTATCGTTTATTTGCTGTACATCTACCGACTGCGAAAATAAATAAGATTTAGTAATACGTTTCAGTGACGTCATTATAACTTATTAGTGATTGGTAATTAAATTTCGTAGTTTGATATATGTATTAACAGAAATTAAAGCTGCTTCAATTTATAGTAGTATTGTAAAAGATATAAGTGTATTTAAGTAGATAAATTATTGTTTCGAAACTTTATATCAAAATTAGCACTCTAACATTATAATATGAGAAAGTCACGCGAGTTAAGAAATATCTGTTAAACTGATCATGGTTCGATGACCAAAATGAACAGCAAAAATTAAACTGTTTCGAAAGTTTTTTTTAATTTTTTTATTTTCTATTATGTCGTAGTATAAGTCCCAAATTCATTAATAAATTTCTTTTCATCATAATATGCTCTCACCTCCAATAGTGGGTCTGCATACGTCACAGTTCCTCCGATATGAACAAACAGGTGTTGTGCTGCAGCATTAGGAGGGAACTACAAGACAAACATACATGTGATTAGTACAATTACCATGAAATAATGTTACCAGTTCATAAGACATGTTTAAGTTATTTATTTTTATAAGATGTATTGTTCGATACACAACAGATATAACAAAAGAATCATTGTTCTCTATTCCATATATACAAGGCAGAAAATTTGACAATCATTAAATGTAGCCTCTTTAGTACGTATATGCAATGTTTACTGCAGAATATAAAGTTTTAACAAAACACAAAATAACGTTCAAAAGGTTTCTTACGTCAATGCATTACATATAATTAGTGAGTAATTTATAATGATATGATAATATATCCTCACCGTTTCAGGGTCTCTCGGGTGTTCAACGAACGCTGAGAATTCAACTAGTCTTAGCTTGTGTGTGGCTATGGCTCTACCCTCCCACGGCGGGGGCGCCACTTCCGCACCCCCAGACACCCCCACGGGGCCCACACCCACACCCTTGTACGGAGCACCAGGGAAAGGCTTCACACTGCAATGAACGATATTATTATAAACATTAAAATACATATAAGAATCTTTCTCTCTGCCTAGCCTTCTTACATTTCACTTGGGGTCGGTATATAAGAATCTTCTTCTTCTACCTGGCAATTTTCCCAGCTATTGCCAGGGTCTGCCTTTCATGTTGTGAATAGTTTTTTTTTTTTTCTTATTTTGGCTATTTGTTTTTACGACCGGCCGCCTGCCTGACATCAACCCTCTTTTGGGAATCAACATTAATCAGTGATGTCTAAATACTCTTAGAAAGTACATATGATTCGGAAAAATCACATTGGTACTTGCCCGGGCCAGGATCGAACCCGCGCTCTCGGCGACGAGAGGCGAGCCCTTTAACCACTGAGCCACCACTGACTTAAGGTCGGTATATAAGAATATAGAATGATAAATTCATAGCAACTGGAACGCTATGTTAAGAAGGTGGCTGATTCGAATCCCAGTCGTCTAGATGAATTAGATTTTTTTTCTTATATTGACTTTATTAAATGGATAAAAATTCTCTTGCAAAAACTGAAGAGAAACATTAACGTTTAAATAAATAAAAAAATTCGGATTATTACCGCCGTGATCACAGTTTCTGCGAAGTAACCGAAACGTCGGAACAATGTTGTTAAAAATAATTACTCGTTGTTTTATTTCAGTAAATACTCGCGAAAGTCTCAGATCTCATTATATGGAGCGTTACATATGTTGCAGTATTACACAACAAGGCAAAGTAATATTGTGGATGTATCTTTAGAAAAACATTGGAAAATATAAAAGATAATTTTTTTTGAAGATAATTTCTTTAAACAATTTTAGATACAACTCTGATTAAGAATAACATGAAAAATTTTATATTATAAGGGAATATTTTTGTGAACTTATAGTTTTTTTAGTAAAATTATATTAAGAGGGTTGCCGTATAAAAAATAATGGTAATTTCAAATTATAAATTTGAAATCAACAACCTGTCTTGAGAGCAAGCATGGTGATTAATGCTCAAACCTTCTCCATGTGATAAGAGGCTTGCAGTGGGCTCTGATAGGCTGATGATGATGATGACAATAATATTTAATGCCATATTCATTTAATGTTTTTTTAGGTATGTTAAATATGATTGTTTGTTGACAAATGTTACAATTTAAAACAAGCACATATAAATTGTATTTTTTTTCAATCCAATTTTAATTACTTAATATATGGATAGAATTATTTTACTTACTCTTGTGACGTGCCCGCTTGTAGACCCGGTTGCCAAAATTGCTGGAATAATAAAAGGTAAACTCAGAATACATAAACAACCGAAAAATATAAATGATATACAAATATCTTATAATTGTATTGTATGATGTACCACGTATTATGAAGGTATGAGTTATCAAGCATTTCTGATGTTTGGTTAAAGAAAAAAAATACATCAAAATATTACAATAGAACAATCAGAAAGAGCGTTATCGAAGCCAAATTATTATATATATATGAACAGATCTATGATAATTTATATAAAAAACTTTAAACCTAACAGCAATCTGTTACGTGAAGCCAAACAAGCTGTGCAATAAGTGCGATAATCGCTTGAATGCACACAGATCCATGCTTGTATATAGTACCGTGTGATGGTATGCCGGATGCGGCAATCCAGCCACTATCTGTGCACTAGACATCGTGCTCATTGACTGCATCGCCTTGTCTTTCATACCACCATCCTATATACCATCTCATATCAATTAACGTTATATATATAAACTTTAATGTTTCGCAGGTAACCTTAATATCAAAATTAAACATTCATTCTGTCTCTCTTTAAACGGCAGCGGCCGTCACGAATGTTTTTGGTCTGTAACGTAATGAGTTGTTTTAATTAATGTGTTATACTAACCACTTTAAGTTTAGCCTGTATCTCTCTCAGTTTCCGTCTCGCTAACACCTGTATATGTGATGAGACCTGTTTCCTTGTGCGCGTCTTTCCTGTCCTTAGTTTAATATATCTCGCTATCAGCTCGTTACGACCTGTAATGAAATAAAAGTAACATAAAATTAATTTTGATAAGGGTATATGATTTTTCACTTCGACATAGTACTGCCCTACTGTATTAAACAAATATTCATCTAAAGTATAAAAGAAACTGTTGTGCGTTTTTATAATACCACGATTCATATGAAAGTTTTTGAGATCATATAAAAAATGTTACATGAGACGAAACCTCTTAGCATTCAATTCACCGAGCGGGTGCCGGGTCCATCGATACCCGATCGATAATTAATTAATCCAAAAAATATTAGATTAGGTATTAGAGTATTAGTATTTGAGTTTTCATTTTAACTGTAGGGAAATTTAAAAAATTAAAAGTTTACAGCCTCTGAAAATTATATATTGGCCTAGGTAGCTTTGCTGGTCGCTTACTCTAGCCCTACTTTCGTGCTTTTCATAACACAACATGTGATAAATGAAAGAAAAAACTAAGGTAAATATAATATCCGGGGGCGAATTGGTGAATTGCCATAGCAGGTCCCAAATCGCCCCCAAATACGGGCAGGAAGGGAAGCCGGGGAGTTTTAGAGGGTATTCCCAGGGCCAACAACATCAGGCTCTAGGCGACCCCCACACAAGTCCCACTGTCGAGCCAGGGCAGTGGGTAGTCTGTAAGCGGATTTCTCCCCGAAAAAAAAAAGGTAAATATAATATAAGTTTTAGATTTGTAAGAGAACTGATACATGAAACAATCAGTTGGTATGTACGATTTACATATTTAATAAATGATTGTTACATCGTTAATTTATTTAAATAAATGAAATAATTCACGAGCAATCCTAACAGTTAAATCAAAATTGTTCAGAATGCAATGCAAACACTGGATCCGTTCTCGTTATGAAACAATTTTCAAAATATTTTGAATAGCTATTTTCAATTATTGAAACTGCAGCCGGCCAGGAATTCGGGGTGGATCGTGGAACTGAAATATATTTTACTAACTGATCTGTTACACTCAAACAATTTTCACGTGGCATTTTTGTGCCATGTTTTGTTCAAAAAAAAAAGATTAACGTTTTATACTCGGCGGATTGTTAGGATACGATTTTTTCAGTTGTCCGATGTTATATTAATTTAATGAGTGGAACAAGACCGGTACGGACCAAAGTAAATTGAAATCTCATTGAATTCGGGGAATGCGATGGCGATGAGAGGCGGCTGGTGCTAAATTAATTAACCCCTTGCCTACTCGTTGAGGCGTGCCTTCTATACATCTATCAGTTTACATAGGTACATGACGATTAAATTATCTTAATGATATCGAGATCAAGACATATAGGAAATATTATTAATTTATATCGAATATTACGTTATAATCTATAAAGTTTTAATATACGACACAGTCGGGTAAACTAAAGTTTTCCAAAACTTTATCCAAAATTAAAGTGAAAGGCAGTTGTAGTAACTCGGCGAACGAACTTCAGCGAGTCCGCTAAGTGAAAACATTCTTGAAATATCTCAGAAATTATGGCACCGTTTCATAAAGTTTTCAAGATATTAGGTTAAAATTAGTTGCCTCAAGAGATAAAGCTGCTTTTAATGTACAATAAATAAGAAGCGATTAAAATGGAATCGTGTGCTAATACAAGTCTACACGAAATTATTGTAACATAGAACGGAGGCCGACGTTAAGAGTGCTTTTAGCCGAAACGCTTGCATCTCTATAAATAAAGAGTCTCAGTTCAACTTAAACGTCTCTATTTAGAAAAGAAAAACAAGAGATCATTATTTATTAGTCGGCTAGTATCTAATTCTGTGAGGACGCCACGCTCTCATAAGCGCGTCGGCCTGATGAAATTGTGCATGTGACTGACGTTTACGGCTCTTTTTTGGACTAGTGATTTAAATTAGTAATGATAAATAAAACTATGATTGTTCTAATTTATTATTTAACATATAATTCTACTGAATTATTTCTACTTACCGTGATCACGGTCACAGTAGTCACCAAAAAAATTAAATAATAATTTAATATTCGCAATCTGATTATTATTCCGTTACAACTAAATAATAATTTACAAAATTGCTGATAAATTAATTCAATTTTATTAAATTAAAATTTGGAACTTCATTACTTCTTTTTGTATCAAATCTCTGTGAAATATTATCTTATGATTAAATTATTGATTAATCTGTTTAAAAAATGTAGATATATGTACATACATTATAATGTGCAATACAAAATACTGTCAGCAAAAAATTTTATATTACAAGAAAAGATATTATACTAAATGGTGTTACATGTATACCTAACGTAATATCAATATACTTTGTTGGTCATATAAATATTTATAATATAATAAAAGGGGTTGCAGATATTTCGGAGATGGTTTGTTCCTAATTTTTCACCACTTAAAATAATTTATTCAAGAGTTGGATATCGAAGAGTCATCAGAAACACATTAACGTGAAGCGACGTTGACCCCCTTCTTGATTTAACTTCATGGGGAAAAAATATTTTTATTTACCAGGGTGAAAATTGGAATATACCTATATGTATTTATTTTAATAACAAAAAAAAATGTATTTGTAATGTATTTTTTTTAATAAACAAATCTAATTACCTTTGAATGAAAGATTTTCTCGTAAAGTGGAGATGAATCATTATGTCCATAGGAAAAGGTAAGTTTCATAAAAAAGGAAAAATTCACAAATGTTTTTAATACATATGTAGTAGGTATATATTAATTTTCATAATTAAAAATATGAAATAATATTACGTTCACAATTTTATTCACATATTTGCTTTTATTAATCAATTTACTTGTTACTTTATATTAACGACATTTGTAATAATGTTGTCTAAGATTTTCGTCTGTGCCCATATGAATGAAATTAAGTTTTTTGGATGCTTCACGTTTCTTATTATTTTATATCTATATGAAACCAACGTATCGGATCCCTTAAAGCAACCATGATCACGGGAAGATGAGATAAAAATGTGCTTTTAGAATAACCATTTGTTGAGACAAATTAAAAAACTGATTAAAAAATTAAATCTCTTTCATTAATTTTCTTTGCAAACAACTTATACCCTTTTTATTTTCATTTAAAATCTTTATAGATATTTTAGAAAAATTAAATGACAATATTTTTTTTGTATCACTGAATGATAAATTATTTAAAATACGTTTATAAAAGACTTTTTTAAATGTGATAAATCGAATTTCTTAAGGCGCTATCAATAGAAGAAACCTTATTTGTAATAGAATCTTAGCTGCCATCCGTAAATTTCACGCTGACCCAAACTTCAGATATGTATGAAGGCGACTGAAGGGTTGAGTCTCAAACGTTTAGTCTAAGGAGGTCTGTGAGACAATCGGGAGTTATGCCTCGAGGCGGTGCTAAACAAGGGGTCCGGGTGAAGGGGCGGACCTTCTTTATATTTTCTTAGAGCGTTCGCTGAGCGCGGCCGGGCCCCTTACACGCTCGCTCGCTCACTAATTGCGCATTCTTCGCATAGTTTAGCCCTCCCGGTGAACCCCCGCCAACCCCAGCCGATCCCCGCCAGCACCCGCCCTGGACCACGTGAAGCCGTGCTCAGTGAAACTTTCATACTAGATATTGAGCGGTTTTGAATGTCTTAACTCACGAATAGTACAGGTCCAGAATTCAGCGGCGATGTTTTCCTCACCCAGACGACCAAAATGTTCCTAACGCGCTGGAGCGATTGTTTTCCGCAATATTGATATTAGCTGGTTATTCAAAATATGTGAAGTTCATTGAGGTAAAATGGGAATTATGTAACGAATCTAATACTGGTATTAGATTATACTTTTGTGAATTTCTACTAGCTAATGTCTTTCAAAGTACTATATATATAGAAAAATAATACTAATAATATGTATATCTAAAGCAAATACGTAGAAAGTCTGACAAAACAAATAAATTAAACTTACACATTTATCGTAATAAATAATAAAAGTTGCTTCAAATACTATGAGTTATAAAAAACAATATAAACAATACATACTAAAACAAGTATGTTGTTACAAGAATTGATGACGTTCTTATTTGAAGAGACGAGGTAAAGATTCTCATTTGTTTTCAGATGTTAAATTTGGTTCGCTTATAATAAAGAAAATTTTAGTCTACATCACCATCAACATAAAAAGTATATAAAAATTATAATAAAGATCCTCGTATTGCAATAACTTCGACAATCAATTACTCAAATTAACCAACATCCCAATAAAAGTTAAGCATAACGTTCTAGGAATTAAGTGAGGACAATTTTACGAAGTACCCGGATGGGGCGAGGGTGAACTGGTCAGAAGGGACAAACGGGACACGGGACATTCGGGACAGAATACGGGACAGTGACGCACTTTCAGACGCTAGATTAAGCCCGGGCCGACACGTCCGCGAGTAATGCGCTCATATATTGTAAGGACGAAACGCGTGCCCGCAATTATATGCCGTATTCTTTAACATTATACGACGTCTGTCCGTAATAAAGTTCAACAAAACGGATTATTGCTGTTTTAATTATAAATATAATGTCATACGAAAATTAATACATTTCAAGTAAAATTAATACATTTCAAGTAAACGGGTAAGAATATAATACAATAAATTTCCATGATGTAACCGAAAATTTAAGCGATTATTTGTACAGAGGCGATAAGATTAAGCCGGTACATTTCTTTCCGTCTATTAAATCACTTAAGGTGGACACATAGCTTGCGGTAGATTTGTTTTGTAATTCCATTCGGTCGGAGTCGGGGCAGTCCTTTAATTAAAACCCGGGTATAATGTTTGCTTGAAACGGACATAATGCGAGTCCGCCGGGTAATGGCAGTGACTTTAATAGTGCCGTGTCAATTGCAAATGTAACTTACGTGACGGTAGCGATCCCCTTTAAAGATAAAGTTACCACGTTAATTCTGAAACATAGTTTGATGCTAAAACGGCCTTTAGTTTTAAAAACATTCGCGTCGATTGCAAACGGACCATAAAATGAGAGTTTAAAAGATGGGATAAACCGCGAATCCCTTTGATTCTGAATTTAAAGACTATAAAAAATGTTTTCTTAAAAAAAAAACATAAAATACGAACAGTATCCAAAACACAACGGCTTGGCAATATTCCTAACGCTGAAGTCATGACAAATATAACGTTTTATTTTAAGTGTCTCGCAAATAAGTTGAAAGGAGAGATTTACTCGGCTGTTAATTTGTTGAAGGGGAAAAATGTTTTTTTTGTAGTAATTGCCACGTCCTGTTAACGAGCTATCCGACTTCTTTTAACACTTTAACGTGAATAAATTCCCCCACTCCGTTTACATGAACTGAGCTTTAATTAAAATCATTTTTCCATTCCCCAACAAACGTTCTGGGTCAGTATATCATTTCATGTTTTTGCGGTTTATTTTGAGGAGAAAATTTTACTATGGATCCGTTAATCTATTTAAACTATTTTAAAAATCGGTTAATGTAAGAGGATTAACAAAAAATATCAAAACATATAAAAATATCACATCATGAATATATCGAAAGATCAAATTACTTTTAAAGTATAATTAATAAACATTGTAATTTATAAGAACTGATAAAGCTCTTATAATCTAGGTATTGGAATAATAACTGATAATAAATCCATACGTTCTCATTTGTAGTATCGTAATCAATAATGTTTAGCACAGTGATCTTAAAACAAATTTAATTCGCACCAAGATACTGAAGACTAAACTGAAATAAACCAACCGTGAAAGTTTGTCACTTAATATAACTTTACATTGTAGGTACTTAATTTGTACAAACGCAGCATCATAAACAGGGGACGCGACTTAAAGTGTCAACATTGCACAGCCGTTAAGGAACTACATAGTTGCTGAATTTGAAAGATAGGGAGATTGATCAAAGTCACTTTACTCTGCTTCCGCGAAACGACACACTGATTGGAAAAGATAATAATTTTCGCTTCACGTATTTCCATGGAATCCTATTGCGCAAACCGCTTTGTCGGTCGCATCAATACCGTGCCTTTGTCTCATGAAGCATTGTTCGTTTTGGGACGGCCTTGATCATATATATTCAATTAATTTTACACGTACCTCGAGAAAGTTAGTACGTAAGTTATATTTCAGTTTTTTGGGTCACGATCAACTAGATTTATGATACTTTCATTTTCTTTTAAAAGGGTTATCGTAATATTCCTTTAAGGTGTTAATAAGTTACAAATATATATCAGACGTTCCACGATAGTGTAAAAAAGAATTTTTTTATGTCAAAGGTGGCAAACGAGCAGACATCCGAAACATAAATGTTGCGGATGCGTTGCCAACCTTGATTGTTGAGGAAAAGGGAGGGGTGGGAATAGGGAAATAGCAGGAAAGCGTGGGAGTAGGGAAAGGAAAACGGCTCTCTCACTCATCGGACGAAACGCAGCCACTATGGGCTACTTTACGCCGATCTTCTTTGAGAGGGTGGTACTTCCCCGGTCGAGCCAGCCCATGTTCGAGCTGTAGTAACTTGACCACAGCTAGGCTCTACCACCTAATGTATTCATTATTTTAACATTGTTGGACAGTTGTGAATGTTTATGTCGCGGGACTCACCGTACATCTTGCCCTCATCGGAGAGTATGATCTTGCGTCTTCCGCACGGCGGATATATCGCCAGCGCCTCTTGGAAGCTTTGCTCGATATCAGGACTCCAGACTCCCTCTGCATCCGCAGCTGACATATCCTAGGAACCAGATAAATACATTTTATAGATAAACGAATATAATACATGAAAAACTTTATTAGGTATATTATCACAGATTACCACGAAAAATCCCAATATTATCTAGCTAATTGAACGTCCGATAATTTACGTAATATTGCACCGTATATTGAATCAGTAAATGAATTTCATAAGTAACGTTGCAATATCTAGGATTCGTGGAAGTCTAAAAAGGAAATAAATGAAAAATCTATTTTCTTCTGTTAGCCGTGTTTTGTAACTTCTTGTTATTGACTTTGATTAATCGCCCCGATAAATCTGAGATCTGCAAGACTTTATAAGCTAATGAATGAAATGTTTTACCAACTATATATATGTATTAAAAGAAGATACCAATTCATATTTTAATTATAGACTTACTATGTTTATGTATATAAATACACACATATACATATAAATATACATATATGTATGTATGTGTTACATTGAAGTACTATTTCTTATAGTCAATTTAAGATAGATATGTGGATTAAATTATTTTGTGAAGGTTCCGTATTCGGAATAAGAAACTTTTGTGTGAAACTTCCAAAAATATATATATTTACATATAAACCTGATGAGCTTAAGCTACAAATTGCTCACCGTTTTTAAACTATACTGTCAACAAACCGTTTAGTAAATTTCAATGCGTACAATATATGAATGAAAAAAGCATTTTTGCTCAATAATTGATTTTAAATCCAGATATATTTTTGTTAAGAAAATCTTTTTATAATAAAATTAATATATATATAATACGTAATTAAAATGGAGTAATATACGTTCTGGTAATTCTTTTTAAAGACAGATAAAGGCATCAAGACTACTGAGGTTCTCGTTCTAATAGCTCAAACTATTCGGAAAACCTTTTTTTTACATTTCATTAGTTAAAATGGTTCTAAATTTTAATTCTTCTTATGTGGAAAAATTATCTCCTATTCACTAACTTTCATCTTTTCAATTTTTCACTGTTTATTACTATTATCTGAGAAAATTTTTTAGATGTAAAACTGGAAAACCTACGTCCAATGATGCTAACTTCTGGTATAAATAGTGATAAGGGCCACATTATTATTCTAAGTATTAATTAATTGGTGGAGTTATTATTTTAAACAGAGCTAAAAATCTTGATAAAATTAATACGTTTGTTTACTTTTCACAAAAAATAAACAAACGAAGACACTTCAAAATAAGGCAGTTCATGAAGTTGTGCAATATATGAAGGAGTATTTTAGGTTACAATATCATTGTGAGAATTGACGAGGAAACATCAAAAATATCGCAGTAAAATTTTCATTCTTTAAAAAAAAAATATTAATTACTTTCAGTAGAGAAACTATAACTATTATAAAACAAAAACTTTTTATAACTTCAAAAAATAAATGATTATTTATTTATAACAGACTGCATCCTGAAACAACCTATTTGTAATGTGTATGTTTTAATGTTAAATTATTTGAATAATTATTATTATCAATGATAAGTTATTTAATGAAATACAAGGTCCACTTAATAATTAGACCTCGACCGTCCATTCAAAATCCAAAAACACAGTCATTGCGAATGTTGATTGCTTTAATTTTGCAAAAAGCGAAAGTAAGCAGGCTTTGCCTTATTATGCATTCGTGACACAAATTTTACTCGATATGGAGATAAAAATATGCTATCCATAAATATTATCCATACATATTTGGTTTAACACAAAAATGTTAATGAAATTTCAAATTAATATTAAAACTACATATATATTTGTATTTTTTGTTACTCTTTTACACAAAATCCACTGAATCCTCTTCATAATAATATTCGTAAGCTGATTTGAACTAATGTTCTTTCTGTGGTCGTATGGTAATAAAAATAAAATAAATTTAACATAGAAGAGATTACTACTTTATAAATTAAAAAAAAACCCTTCTGTATCTAACTTCTAACTCTATATTCGTAATTAATTAACAATAATTTGGTTAGATAGAGAGAGGGGCTTGGACAGTGGAGGAGAGCGTTTAACGCGCATTAGATAGGGGCCCCTTTAACCTACACCTGGGTCGCAAGTCCCAGGCACTGTTGAAGCTCTAGTCCCTGTAACGCGATGGATCCAGCATCCGCACGGTGAATCCATGGAATGCTGAGAAGTTTTGTCTCTTCATCTAAAGACAATCAATCCGTACCCTGAACTTAGTATTGTGGAAACTCAACTTACGATTTACTGAGGCGTAATATTTTTTATACTATGAAGCGTATTCATTTTTAAGCTATTTAGATTAGATTCTTACAAGGAATTCGATGCTTTCATGTAAATCATAAATTCTATGGAAGTTTTGACGTCAAATAAACTATAAAATACATTCTAATAAGAAAGTAATGAACATTCTAATTCATATTATCCTCGTTTATAATCATATCTCTCCATATCGATTTTGTATAACATGTTAACTATGAAATTTATAACTAAGTTTATCCACGAACGCTTTGAAATTGCAGATCAAAATTGTGCTTAAATTAAGAGCCAACTCGCCTTTGAGCTTTGACACTCAAATGAAGTGATGCCGAACAGTTTCACATGGCGTTACAGTTGGAATAAAAATGTTTTTAGGATTTTAGATTAGTGAAGATAGAGTTTGTTAATGAAAACCAAATTATTTAGCAGGAAGTCAGTGGCGAGCCATTGTAATTAATAGAGCCGGTTCATTTTGAAAATATATTGAAAATAACATCTCGCAGTATAGAAGTGTGAATCACGATGTTTCAAGCAACTTCTGGTTGGCTTGGCGCGTTAGTGTCATCTAGTTTTAAAATCAAACAGTCTCTGCGTATTTATGAATGGGATAGTTTTAAACCGTCTGTTATTGATTTTCTAGCACGTATTAAGACCCAGTTTCACCAATCAATGTTTGTTAAATCTAAACAAGGCCTTTACTAACAAACCTTCACAATTATAAATGTCTGTTAAAATATTTACGTTCCACGATGACAAATTAACAACGTATTATTAAATGTCATGTTAAATGACTGACTACCAAATTATTCGTTCTTGTTATAAGACGACCAAATGGAAACTATAACGTTTAACACGACACGTTTGCCACCATGCACCACTTTATACTTTGATCGTATATATCCCTCGATACGTCACTTGTTAATTAATGCGACCAAACTTTATATATCGTTGGTTGCAATTCTTTTCAATTTACTAGGAGTAACCTGTCAAAATCGTGTTATAAATAAATTGATTTATATATATGGGCATAAATTGTGTTCAAATTATAAAAGATAAAAAGGAAATTTAATTTGTAATGTCCTAGAAAAGCTGGAGGTAAAATCAGCATAGGAAATAAATTTTAATTCACTTTATTAATAAGTACAAGGAAATAGTCGAAACTGCCAAAACAGATGCCGTTACTATGGTTAAAAGATAACAGGGCTGTGATTGGACAATTGAGTTTTGACATTGCATTAACAGTCTGTTAGCTATTAGACGGAGCTCTAGAGCAGGAATTAATATTAGTGGCTTGTTAAGACGTCATTTGTGCGTGGTGGGACGCTCGATGCATCCAATAGACCATCAAACGCTTTAACAAGATGTTACTTCTTTAACATTGATTGGACAAACTGGATCTTAGCATCAATTTGTTGAACTTCCATTAATGCCGTAACAAAATGACCGATTTTTATGTCATAATACTGTAAACTATGTTTTTTTTTTGTTTGGATACAAAATTTATATTTTTAATAACGTATTCAAATAATGCAATTTATATTCATGAATTGTTTTTAATTGTAATAATTAATGGGTAGTGGAAAATTTATTATAATAATGCTTAACGGTAAAACAACGATACGAAAATATAGGTTGAATGATTCCGTCTTATGTTCGATTTTAACATTTTATTCATTATAAAATAATATGTTAATATAATTACACCGTGCACATTAAGTCGATAGTTCATAGCCAAGTGTATTCTTAGGATTGTGTATTCTAGAAATTTGTATAATTAACGTTTTTACTGAGTATAAGTATAAAAAGCGAAATTAAAATAAAATATAGGAATTACAATTACAAAAGGTTTTAAATATATTAATTATTCACAAACAAATAATTTATGATGTCAGCTATCTAATTCAATAATAATTAATGTCGTTAATTAAATCAATGATATTGATCTTTCAAATTGTAGTTTTTAATGTGTGATAATTGGATTGAATTAGCGATTATCTAGGTATATATAAATACATGAATATTGAACACATTTAGGTATTCATTAGAAATATATTAAAAACATTAAAATGAAAATAATACGGCAATATACAAATATTCCTCAATGTTTATATTTTCATTAAATGTCAAATGTAAGTCAGTACGTTTCTATTGAGCTTAATTGATATATTTTTGCTAACGTGTCTATAATACATCAATATAGTACATATAAATACCTTCTCATCGTCGCTAGCATCTCCAACATCGAGATGTTTTGCGTCGGCGCCGCCCGAGCCGTTGGTATCGGGCGCGCCGACCGCCGTGCTCCACGGGGACGCAATGGTGCCGGCTGCGAGCGCGCCGCTCGCTGGAACAATAATACAATAATTCATATTGTGAAGATATATATATATGCATGTTTCTAGACCCTACAGGTGAAACGGACCAGTTTGATAACTTCTAAAACACACAGCGCCATCTGAAACTGAATACTGTTACGAATAGCTGTCCCCTCCCGCTCTCAGTCAGTGTCGGTGAGCCTGTCATACATGTGGAAAAAATTTTGGTGCGGTAAGGATTTTTTGTTGTTTCGATGTAAAAAGTGACATTTTTGACTAGCGTGCACTTTTGTTCTATTATGTATAGCGAATATTATATGCATCATCATCGTCATCATATTAAATTATATAGACCTTTTGATAGTGTCAGCAGAATCAAAAAAAAAATCAAATTTAAAACTTTATAAATTATTTTTGATTTAAATGTTCCCAAAGGCCAAAACGGTCCGGGCAACACCGGTCCTCCGTGCCCTCAAAGTAACAAATCTGCAAGGTGAGATTAGCAGCGAGACCTAGTCATGATACAAAATGTTTTTACTGCTCATCTCCATTCAGAATCAAAAGAAGGCTGGGTGTGATGCCAGATTTGTCACCAATGGGCACATTGTAGTTGTGCAGACGTAGAGGATGATGATACGGACCATATTTATATGAGACAACTTCTCTCCGGTCAAAGTATGAGCATGTTGAGCATTTTGCCCTCGCATGTGCTCCATTTTGCCTCTTTTATGTGGGAAAAAACGGGCCAAAATGAAGGTTTTGGAATTTATCTATTATCTTTGAACTATGTGATTTAAAGTTTGGTTATCAAAATATGTAGACTGAATAGTACTAAGCTTGTTCTCATAAAAGTTTCTAAAAATTAACCTATAATTAGTTGATTTCAATGAGTATTTCCTTAAGTGTCCCGTTTTGCCTGAATTTCCCCTATAATTAAGTGAATTATAGATAGGAATTGGTTCTATTTGAACCTAACCTAACAATCTAACCTACGTTAGCTTAGATCCTAACCTAATACTTTCGTAAATTACAAGTTTACATAGGGAAATACTTAGAAATGGGAATCCCTAATGATCCTTCACCTTCAGGTTCCCAAATAAAATAATGGCTCTATTCCTACCAGATATACTTATTGGTCGTTGGAACACATCAATTAAATCATGTCAGTTATGGTATTAAGTTATTAACAATTTAATTCGGAATTAATACAGGGTGACTGGTGAATTACTATCGATATTTGAGGACGTGATATCTGACGATCATATATGACAAAATAAAAATTAATATAACATAAATATTAATAAACTTCTAAGTAAAGTTAACCAAAAGTTATGTAATTAATTACGCATCGTATGAACACCCTACAGATTAGGTATACACACACACACACACGCGCATTTGGCGGCGTGGTGTTGTATCAGCACGCCGCCGCACGCGTCCACACTTGGAACACTTGGAACGTGTCAACACTTTATTTATTTATACGGAAATTTTATCAAAAATTAAGTACCTATTTTTTTTACATAATTCGGATGAGAATCATGTACCGAGTATTCTCCTTAAATATTGATAGTAATTCACCAGTCACCCTGTATATCTTTGTTTTAAATTTATTGACAATTAATTTTATGAAAATGTGTTAACTTGACTATTTATGTTCCATATATAAACTTTAGCTAAGCATTAAAGCGAGTTTTTATGCAAAAATTATAATTAATTAAATGAGCGGGTGTATTATGGGAGCACAGGTGGTCGAGACCGTGGACAAATTAATTAATTTTTTATATCAAAGGTGGCAAACTAGCAGACGGCCTACTTGGTGGGAGGTAGTTACCGTCGCCTATGGACATCCGCAACATAGATGTTACGGACGCGTTGCCAACCTTGATTGTTGGGGAAAAGGGAGGGGTGGGAATAGGGAAATATCAGGAAAGGGAGGGAATAGGGAAAAGTCAACCGGCTCTCTCACTCATCGAACGAAATGCAACCACTGAAGGCTCACGACGATCTTCTGTGAAAGGGTGGTCCGTCTTCGAGCTGTAGTTACATGACTACAGCTAGGCTCTCCCAAATATAAATGAATAATTAATCGTCTCATGTTTTACAATTACAGAATAATAAGAATATATAAATAAAATGCTGATTTGATAATTTTCCAAAATTTATTACTAACTGGATTTTTTATGTTAAATCTTATAATAATTATTTAAGTTACTCGAAAAAAATGTTGTCTATGTATGATAGGCTACAAAAAAAAAAGGAAAAAACAAACAACATACAATGAAAATAGTATTTTTTTATTAAAGAAGCTTTATTTTTTAGTGCGATGAGTACTAAAATTTGTGTATTCACATAAACAAAAATTGTAGTTAAAGATACTTTATTTCTCAAAAAGAAATTACATTTCACTTGAGAAAATTATGACTATAAACATATTTTAAACTAGAATACTTGGCGAACTTCGTATCGCCCTATAATCAAGAAATATCTACATATTATCGTGTTTTGAAGTGCGACAGAATGATTGACATATTAGTTAGTTGTCAAATCTAATGTCAAAAAAAACGTTTGTATGGGAAATAGAAAAGGGCTGTTTTTATGGTTTTCCCAGTAATGAATCAATTTTTTTCCGTTTTTATACCTTCCCTGAACCTCCACGAACATTTCAAGACTAAGATAAGATAAATCCGTTCAGCTGTTCCCGAGTTTTAGCGAGACTAAGGAACAGCAATCCATTTATATATATATATATATATATATATAGAAGAAGAAGATAAGAAGATTAAAACTTCGACGATTATAATAAATGTATCACTAGGTAATTTAACATATTCTTACAATAAATTTTGCTTTACACAAGAAATTTAAACATAACTTCATGGGTCAAAGCAACAATAATTGTGTACAAAACAGCGATAAGAAATGCAAACTCAAGTTTGATCATCAGTTATTTATTTCATACTTTATTTTTGTTCTATTTAATTTAATTTTATTTTGTTTATTTGTGCATTACCTTATATTAGTTATTTTATTTTAATAATGTGTTGTCATGGATGTAGTATATGAATTTTTAGTTTTATTTAAAAGATGTTGAAAGAATTTGCATTTTTTATCTCTTTAGGTAATTTATTAGAGACTTGTACTCCAGCAAAGATCACGGTGCCCATACTTAAAGCGGTTCGCACTTGAGGTAATAGGATATGGTCTCCCCTTCGGCTACTACGGGTGTGGGCATGATGAACTTTTATGAGTGAGATTTGTGAATTAATTGATTTATTCAGGATTTTTCTTATTAATATACAAGTGCCATATGCGTGTAATTGTTTTATATTCATGAGCTTTGTCTCCTTATACAATTTGACTGTAGGTGTTAAATAATCGTAATTAAATAATATTTTAATGATTTTATTTTGTGCAATTTGTAGATCCTTTAAGTTGCTTTTTGGAGTAAAACCCCAAATTTCGCGGAACACAGTGAACGAAGTTACGTACTCGTAGCTTATCCATTAAAGAACATAGCTTTGATCTTACGTGGTCAATCTGTACCTTCCAGTTCAAACAATCGTCTAATCGGAGTCCTAAACATTTTTCAGATTGTAATTGTTGTAGTATTTGATTATTAATTTCGAGAGGTTGTGTACTGGAATGTTTTTGTTTTTGGATTTAAAAATAACGTAACTAATTTAAGATGCATTGATCGTAAGTAAATTTTGTTGTAAACAATAAAATATGTTAATATCTTGTCGAGCTTGATTTATTATTTCGTTTAAATTACTACCAAAATAAAATAGACATGTGTCGTCTGCGTATAGAGAAAGACGACCTTGTATTGGATTCTTATGTATGGAATTTATGTAAATTAATCTTCATCAGATTCATTTGGTGAATCTTCGCTGTAATAACATGACAAAAGTTAGAAAATTATATAATAGTGCGTAACGAGTCAATATAATCTATACATATATATAAAAATGGATTGCTGTTCCTTAGTCTCGCTAAAACAAGAGAACGGCTGAACCGATTTGGCTAATTTTAGTCTTAAAATACTCCTGGAAGTCCAGGGAAGGTTTAAAAGGTGAGAAAAATTGGAATTATTGCCGGGAAGACCCTAAAAATAGACCTTTTCTATTTCCCATACAAGCGATTTTTTGACATTAGACTTGACAACTAACTAATATGTCAATCATTCTGTTCGATTGAAACAGTAGAAATTTAATAAATACCAATACCGGGTTATTGAAGACGGAATAGAGTTTGCCCGGTCTGCTATACCTATTTTACTAATGACGAAATTAACGCGGACGAAGTCGCGGGCAAAAACTAGTTACCAATAATATTAATAGGGTACCTTGTATGTCACACGATAATTCCTCCAAAGATGGACTTTGGGGACTATCAAATAATATTTATAATTGCCATCCATAATTGTCCATCCAAAATTTTCTGGCAATTTTTCTGTGGTTCACCGCATGTGTACGTTACACCATGTAGTGCAGATTAAAGCAGTTATTTTAATATGTTGCAACAATTCTTGTTTTGTTGGTGGCAAACTCGAAGGATCATATCATATCCTACGATTTTTCGTTTTAATATTTCTTCATTTTCTTTTTTTGATTTATATCCTTTTTCAAATAACTCATACTGCCTTTTGTTGATATCATTTTTTTTGTTTTTAATAAATACATTCTACGTGCATACTCTTCCATAATTTGAAATACCTTATTCGATGTTGTTAATGCCTTATTTTCCAGTCGTAAGAGTTGTATAAAGGCCTCTTGAAAATTAACATATTTTTTAGAATACTAAAAGGTCTCTTTTTTTCCTTTACGAAAGAATGCAGGATTATAATTATTCCTTGTAAAAATATGGCATATGGCGAATGAACAAGATAATTGATTACCATGCTTGACATAAGTTTCGTTGAAGTTTATGATGTTTTCGAATAATTTTGATAATTATTATCATAAGATTTAACATAAAAAAATCCAGTTAGTAATAAGTTTTGGAAAATTATCGAATCAACATGTTTTGTCTGTGCTAACTAAGTTACCTATCACAATCAAGAAATATCACAAAGGAAAAAGTTGGGCTTCTCAATAAAACGGATATTTGGAACGATATCTATTTACACCGCTTCTTTTATATGTTAAACTGTCTAGCGTTTTCTAAGAAGATACAAGACATTACATCTACACTCTACTTTAAACAATTTTTTTAACTTATACTAAGTCTATTAATAAGATAAAGTTATAGAAAAAACATGAAATATGCTAAATATTAAGTTATATTTGTTCGGAAACAACTACATAATCAATTGTTTTAATTTGAACTAAAAGTTTGACACCCGTATAAATTGTTTGAGCACTTTACATTCTGTAATTTATAATTTATTTATAGTATACCAAAGAGAAAAAAATTAATTATATATACAAAACAACAATTACAACAATGTTTTGATAATACATAGATAGGAACAATATTGTTAATTTTTAAAAAAACATTGGTTTTAATGATGAATGACTTGTTTTACTTTATACTGGTAGCAAGTAGATACTGATCGACAAAACATCTGCTTCTGTCCCACTATGGTTACAGTTATGGGTATAGATAACTTAAATAACATAAAAAATGATTCCAAAAGATATGATAAGGCTGTAAGAGAATATCTGTATTCAAAAATTAATAATAAATGTATTACCTTCCTAGGTTTCGAGAT